TTTATATATATATTATTTGTATATATTTCATCAGTTTTCTAATTATTTTCATAAACTATTAATATTATCTACCTAATTATTTAATATTATTTTAGCCAATTAATAGTTTTGTATTATATAATTTATTGATTCCAATGGTGCTTTGTTTGTTTAGCAGATTAAACACCAAGCTTAATTTGAATTTCTTTAAATCATCAATTCTGATATAGTATAAAGAATAAAGAAATATTAACAGAAGGAATTGTTCTAAACTATCTCTTCTGATAGATTTTATCCTTTAATTCTTTTTAAATTATTAAATAAACTCTAAATTAATTAGTTGATATAGAAATTAGAGGAAATACAAGTAAATATTCGTCTAAATTAATCTATATTATTTTTTATAGAAATATTTGATTATTCATTTTAATTAATATTGGTGATATTTGGGATTATACTCCGGTTTGTAATCTATTAATTTTTTATTATTTTAATGAATTTTATATTAATTTGAAAAAAGGTAGAAATGAAGATTATCACTATAATAAAAAATAACAATAAAGTAAAAACATTTAGTTAAATAATTGAACTTAAATGATATTTGTTACAAAATAGCAATACACATATATAGAATCAAGCGCATCCTAAAAATCGAAGTAACCAGTTTTTTTCTGGTTTAGGTTGATATAAATTGATCTCTTTTGATCTTGAGGGGATTGTTGGACTTTGATAGTGTGATAGATCATATGTTGATTTTCTTATTGATTTTCTGATTTTTTTTTCTGAATATGTTACATGAACTAAGGAAAATACGAAATTTCCTGTTTCTTCTAGTCTTAAATTTGTTTAATAAGATGGAAAATCCATTTTAGGTTAGCCAGTTTTCTTGGCCACATATATGTCATAATTATTTGGATTCTAATCTACTGGATTTTGTTTTGGCACAAGTTTGAGTGCTCGAGATGTTGCTTCTTGCAACTCTAGATGACATGGAAGATCTACAAGAACTAGAATTACGTCTTCTTCATTCGGGATAAAAAATTTATATGATTTCGTTAATTAAGAAAGTGCTTCTTTCAATGGACTTATAAGTGTTTTTTTGACTTTTTAACCTGAAGTTTTAGTGCTATCTGTTTATGACATGTGGTTGTGAGTAATATTTTAGAATATATAAATATTATTTTAAGATAATTTATTTTAAGATTTGGATGCAAATCGAAATTAAATATTATGTCACGATAGTATGAATATATTATTTTAATACTCCATTTTTTTATTCTTATTAATAAATAATAATCTTTTATATATATGATTTCATGAAGGGAATTGGTGAAATCAATAATAATTAATTTTGAACATCAAACAATCCTTATAATCACATTCTAAATTTGTTAGATAAAGTTTGATTTATTGTTTTTTTGTATACCCATACTTTTTTAAAATAAATTAAATAGGAGCAGACTAATAAGGTTCTAATTTTAAAGTATGAGTTATCAGTTAAAGAGCAGAATTTGATGAAGTAATTTATAAAAAAATCGCCTTATCAGAACGATTTTAATAAAGAACTTATTCTTATTTCTCTTAGTTTTTAGGACAATCAAGATTAAAGAGTTAAGAAACTTTGTTATCTTTAGGTTTAAAGTGAATCAATCTCGTTTCCATACTATCACCTTATTAAATAGTAAATCTAGTTGTTATAAATTATGATTCTATTGCTAAACATTAGACAGGTATGTAAAATAAAGAATCTTTAATAACTGGCATATCATCTAATTTAGGTCTAATAAGAAAAGGATTAGCTGGTACTACTTCAATTTTATCTGCTAAATTAGTTTCATAAGGTATATTTAAATTGCAGAGTCTTCCAACAAAATCATTGTATGTGATTGATTAACATTTATAAATTACAAATCTATATACTTAAAGAATATTTTCCCTTTCGTAGTCAAATAATACTAAAAAGGTTTCAGCTACATCATATATACTGCATTTAAAATGGATTTCATAGTCATTGTAATAATCTAATTTGACTGCTGGATCTCCTACTATTTTTAAGGTTTTAATATATCTAATTATAAATTATTGGATATACTTTAAAAAATGTGAATTGAGCATAATTGGATTATTCACTACAACTTTCGTTTCTTCATCTCCAGAATAATAAATCCTAATAATGTCATGATATTCTTAAGGCTAAAGAATTGGTTTTATTTTGGATTCATTTTCAATTTTTTAAGTATCATGTTAAGGTTTTTCAACAACTAAGATTTCTTTTGGTTTTTCTTAAAGGCTGATATCTGTTTTAATTTCATCATCTGTATATTAAACTAATACACCAATATCTAGTTGTCCAATAATGAAATTGCCATCATAAGAGATAACATCACATTCTTTATAATGAGAACAAACAATTGAAGATTCTTAAAACATAATAGAATCTTAAAATAATGGTACAAAACATCTTCCTAAGATTGTAATTGAACTTTCATTCCAAATTTCAATAATAGCAATTTTATTGGTAAGATTTTATTCTTTTATAACTTTTTTAAATTCTAAATGCATGTACATTCTATCTGACATCCATCTTTCAAATTCTTTTTAATTTTTTGCTTTGTGACTTTTAATTTCATCTTCTTATCCAAGTATATGAATTCTAAATAATAATGATGTCGGACAATAATTATCAAATAAATAAATAGGTTATAATACAAAATCTTCTTTTATAGGAGAATTGATTTTTAATACAAACTTATAAGATGTTAAAAGTAGTGTAATCTTCAAATTAAGTTATGTTTTTGATTCTTCCAAAGTTATTTAAACTTATCTACTAGCAGGCAGATCTCGATGACCAAATCCAACTTATAAATAAAAATCTAATAGAGTACCTAAAATAAAATATGAAATTATTTATACTTCTATAACATATTTCTAAATTTGGATGGTGAGGTTATTCATATTACCATTTATCAAATTTATGTTTTAAGTCTTCTGTTAAAGAATTTTATAAAATATCTAATTTTTCTTTTCTTTTTCTAAAATTTAATAGTCTTTGTTCTTCCAATTAATATTTTTCTTTTGCTAATTCAAAATTCTTGATACCAACTTCCAATAAGCCTTGAAATTCATGTAATAAAACTTGAGTGTTTGATTAGACATAAGAATTTTAATTAATCATACCTGTAATAAGATTAGTAGTATTCTATTTAATTGTGAATAGATCAGCTATCAATTTATTTTATCTCATTATATTTTCTTCTCTAGCAAGTCCAGTTTTAACTATTTTAGTAATTATTGTATATACTTTCGTTTTTCTTTTTGATTGATAATTCAATTAAACGTCCTTTTAATGTATTTGGATCAATCAATTTTTAAAATTGTTTTTTTTATTTGTTTTATTAATTACCTTTCTTTTCTTACTTTTATTCAAAATAAACAAAATCATATGTAATAATTGCTTCTCCTGGTGATTTAGGAGTTAATTTTGCATACCACTTTTTTGAATTAAATGATTTTCTATCTCCATGTATTTATAATTTTAATTTTTCATTAGCCTTTGTACAATCATTAGGAGTCAAAGCAAACCATCCAATATTCACTTCAATAGGATCTTATTAAATTTCTAAGATTTCAACTTCATAGTGATAAACTAATTAAAATATAACAGCAGAATCTTTATAAATTCTATCTGCTCTAATGGGTTTTTCAGTGGAGTATACAATAAATTTTTCATTTCTTTCAATTTCACTTAAGATATATATATTTTCAAATCCAAATTCATTAACATCTCTCCAACCATTATGACAAAATGGTATTAATTTAGTTTTAGCTTTTGTAATTTTAATAGTATCAGCGTCTTTTTCATTAACTTATTATATTTCTTATTACTTTTATTTTATATAATTTAGTATTTCTAAATCAACAATTTAATGAATATAAATTTTACATTTAGGAAATGATAAATTTAATGCTTCATCTAATTCCAAATATTTTAAATCATTAACTATAGGTGGTAATTTAGTTCCTCTCAATCCAACAACTGTATCGTCATAACCAAATAATAAAAAGGGACCTATCAATTTCATTAAAGGTGTTGGAACATGCTTAAAGTTTTTCCATTTATAACTAACTTATATAGGTTTGATTTGTTTTTATTCTCTAATATAAAAACTATTTGTCAAATCTCTTACACTACCAGCATATAAATCTGCAAATGTAATCTTTGCAGATAAATCAATTATAGCATAACCTAGAGTCTTAAAAGTAGTTGTCAATTTTGTTTTATTGCTATATTATGAAAGTGTAAATTCAACAGCTAATTTATATTCCTTTAGATATTAAGCTTTATTCATTATAAAAGCTACCCAAACAGCTGCATGTTAATATCTTGTGATTGCTTGTCCACTTCTTAATTTTGGTTAATTTCTAGTTTGTTTTTTTTGTGGGATTTCATTTTCATTTAACTCTCCTTCATCTGGATTATCTGCCATATTAACTAAATCAGTCAAAAATATTGTTAGATAAGGACTTTTATAAGTATTTGATATAAATTATTCTGTTTTTGTATCATATATAGTAGCTGACATTCTTAATTTAAGTTAAGTTTCATAAGCATCTATTTCTGGAGGAAATGATAAATTTTCCAATTTATCAATAACAATATATTGTAAACGTAATTCTTTATTATTTATTTTATTTCTGCTATAAAATTCTCCTCCATTTTTTAATTATTCTAACCAAATGCCTACATTTGAGATTTAATCATGTAACATCATTATTATAAATAATTTAATGAAAATATAACTAATAAAATATGTTTGAAGTTTAAAAGTTAGAAAATAAAAATCATTCTCCTTATTATCTTTAACAAGAGGCATCCCATCTTACAGTTTTATTACTATGTTCATTATTAGATGATGAGTTATTGGAACATTCTTTTAATGCAGGTTTTAATTTTTTTTTTAAATTGACTTTCCTACTCTTTAATTCAGTTTATTGATGAATGCAACTCATAGTTCTCTTTTTTCTATAAACATCATTAGTAATATTATAAACTGGCTCTATCTTATCAATCATACTAAAGGATAAATCTTCTTCTCTTTCCATCTTATAAGTTTGAGAAAATATCTTATAAGAATTGCTAGGTTGTACATGTCTTTTTGCAAATGATTCATAATCTTCCTCAAAAGAAGTATCACATTTACATTAATTACCCATTTTCTATATATTTTATTAATTTTAGAATAATCATTTATTAATATATATTCTAACCACATCAAACATATCATTTTGTTTTATCTAATAATAATATTTAATATGTTGTAATTTCAATATTTACTCCAGAATTAAACTATATACAAATTCTTATAGTATAAATTAGTTGAATATATATAATAATATATTCACCATTTTTAATGTATAAAAATAATTATATATTATATTGTTGTATTCCCAATCAAACATAATTCTTAAATTAAGAAAATGTTTTAGCAATTTCTACTATTAATTTATATATTAGAAAGATTAAGAATTCTATATTGATTAAAGCATTATATAAAATTGAGAATGGCAATTATTTTATTTCGGCTTTCAAAGTGTTTTAAATTTGATTTTAATTTTTCAATATAGAATATTAATAATTAATATAAAATTTATTTAATTAAATAAATCCACATAATCGTTGACGTAATTTTTAGAATTTAGAATAATTATATAATAGTCACACTAAATATTTCTTGATGATTCATTCATATGATAATTATTATTTATTTTATGGTTTTAACTCCATATTTTATGTAATTCCAAAGAAAATTTTAATATATAATGATTAAATTATTTAATAATATAAGAGATACATATTAAAATGAAAAGTTTAGAGAATTAGTATAAACAAGAATATCCAAATTTGATTGCATGTTTTGTCAGAAATACCTATCATTTACCATTAATTAAGGCTGATTTGCAAGATAAAATAGAAGAATAATTTGATCAAGTGAAAATAGAAAATGAATTCACAATTGATACAAATATATAAATTGAATAAGCAGAAATCTTTAAATGTTTCAATCCTGAAGCTCTTAATGAAGCATTATTTTAAAATGCTACAATCCTTAGAAAATTTGGTAGAATTAGATGTTTGATGTCTAGAGGTTAGTATTTAGCAGTAGGGAGTAATTTAGGAGCAGTACTTAATTTTTATATTGGTGCTGATCCTCCAAATAAGTCATATATTGAAATGAAAAGTTAATTGCTTTATGCAGCAGAAATATGCTAAACAGAACATGGTAGTGTAAACTAATTAAGTTTTAATTTGTCTCAATCATAACTTGCTGTTGGATTTGATAATGGAGTTATTGGAATATATGATATAATAAATATGAAGCATTTGAAATGGGTTAAGGTACATCAAATTAGAATTGTTTCTTTGGGATATGTTAATGAAAATTCATTTTTTTCAGGTGATGAATAAGGCAATTGTTTTATAACTAGATGTGCTAAAGGAAGAATATTTTATGATTTGGATTCCTAATTTATAATAAAATCATAACCAATGTCAATCATTAGGTCTATTCCTATAAAATGTAAGTCATTATTCAATTTTCCTGAATATACTATTGTTGCATTAGGTAATGGATATAAATGTTGGGTGTTAAGGATTTAAGATTCAAATGTTACTTAATTTACAATATTAGCAGATTTCTAAAATGATGCTCCAGAAAATAATTAATGTATTCTTGAATGGGACATTCTTAAAATTGAAGATAAAGATAGATTAGTATTAGGTATATCTTGGACTAATTAAACAAAATCTTTTTTATTTTAAGGAACTGAATATGTGGAAGGTAAAATAAGAGCAAATTTTAAGTTATGGAAAGAATTAAAAATGTCTGCAAATGTAATATTTAATTAAATTATTAGTTTATATATATGAATTCAATTTATAATGATTTAGTATTATTATTAACTGAAAAAGGAGCAGTATATACAAGCAATTTCTCTAATTATAAGACATAGAAAATTATGTAAATGGAATAATTTGAACCTTTACCTCTTATGTATTGGAAAGATAATAAATATGAGAGTTAATTTAATGTATGTATTTCAAATAATGAAATACTATAAGAAATATATATTTTAACTAGCTAAAATGTTACAGTATTGAAATATTATAAATTTGAAGATAAAATTAGACATTTTATGGAAAATTAATAATTTTTATTGTGTTTTTAATTGATTTTATGTATACACAAAAAAGTATTTATGGAATTTGATAGATAAAAGTTAATATTATTTGCATAATAAATTATTGATTTATATAGCAAATAAATAGCTAGATTATAAATTAGTGGTAAAACAGAGGAAGCAAAGAAAAGAGGAATATCTTTGGTTAAATTTATAATAGATATCGGAACTGAACAATATTTAAGTTCTATATGTGATTTACTATCAAAAACTTTGAATGATGAATCTACTTTTTTTTTAAGTATTGTTGAACCTTTTATTATTAATAAATAGTTCAAATTCATTCCTGATGAAATCCTTTTAAAGTTAATTTCTCTTCTTAAAGGTCAAAAAGCAAAGATTTTTCTGTTGCTTAATTAATTAGATCTTAATAGAGTGAATTACTCTATTTATTTATAAGCTTGTTTAGAAAGTTAATTGTTTTCTCCTATGATTTATTTGTGTACTAATTCAGGTAAAAATGAATTTTTAACTCCATTATTTTAAATATGGAATTACAGTATGAAGTAATCATAATTAGAGAATTTTGAAGAAGAAATCATAAGTGTTAGAAAAGTGATTTCATTTATAGAGTATATTTTGTTGGGCAAACTTTATGATGGTTAATCAATACCTATTACTACTTTAAAGGTAAGATAGTTGAAGATTAATTTAGAGTACTATTGAAATGATGGTTGTATGGATTTTCGAAGAGAATAATCTAAGAAGAATGATATGGGTTGACCCTTATGGTGCATTTTATATATTGTATTAAATAATGTCAACAACAAAATTACATTAAATTGAATTAGATCATTCTAAATAATTGTAAATATTTGATATTTATTTTAGAAATGTAATTTAAAGTGTATTAAAAATGTTTATAAATCCTACTTATCGTTGGAAATTTTAATAATAAGAATTTGAGATTTAATAATAATATAATGATATAAGAGGATATGAAAACTATGATATTCAAACAGCTTATTCATTTTTTATAATAAAGGTTATTTTTATATTGAAATTGGAAGTAGAATTTGATATAATGATGGACATTCTACTTTTTTGTACATTTAATAAATCATTTCTCTTTTACATAGATTATAGATCATATGCAGAAGTGATTGAAAAAATTGAATTAGGTTAATTAGAATAACATTAAAGTCATTCAGAAATTATTGAATATTTTTAATAACGATTAATGCTTAAATTTGTGCATATTTTAGTTAATAAAATAAAAACTACAAAACATAAAGAATAGATAGAAATGTTAAATGGATTTACAGATCTAAAATAAATACCATTAATTTAAGCTTATCTATATTATTATGTTGGAGAATATTAAACTCCTGTATCAATTTATTTAAAATCTAATAATATTTTAGTTTAAAAATAAGTATTTAAATATTTACATGATACTTTAATCTCTATGGTATTTATTATATATTATTATTATAGCATGGTAAAGATACTTATTCTAAACTTAATTCAATAATTGTATCTAAATTATAAGATTTAATAAATTTAGATATACAAAAAACTAGAGAATTAATTTGTTAATTTTAAAAAGATAATGAATTATAAATTATAGATAAATTAGGTTAGAATAAGAAATTATAATTAAAATATATTGAAACAGTAATTAAAAAAGATATTAATTCAGAATTTGGTTTAAGTAATATTTTATTAACAAAACATATTGAAGTAACTTCAATCTATTATTTTAATAGCTTTTATGTGAATTAGAACCTGAAAGAGTATTGTCATAATTGAAAAAAATACATTATCCTTTAGAAGAAGTGTTGGAAATTTGTAAGAAATTTTAAAATATTGAATCCACTGCCTATGTATATTGTAGATTAGGTTTTATTGGAGATGCAGTACAATTATAGATTGTTCTATTAAGAAATATGATATCAAAAGTAATTGCTAAATAAAAAAATGTTGATACAATTGAATAAAGAGAATATGAAGAAATAGAGAACAAAATGAATGAAATTTCAGATATATGTCAATATCATTCAGATAATCCTGATAAAAGTTGGTATTATTTCATAGATAGTCTAATCGAATTAAATACTCAAATATCAGAAATTTAATTAAATAAAATATTAGTTAGAAAAATTGGACAATTATTTGAAGTATCTATTCATAACAATATAGGATATTTCTACTCATACTCCATTAGATTTATTTGCATAACGATTAGGTACTAGATATAGTAATATTAATATTAAGGAATATAAAGGAAACTTCATTAAATTAGTCAATACTTTTTCTTATCAACATTACTTCATTTAAAATGCAAAATTTATAATTTAAAGATTTTTCAATATGGAATCATAAAATTTTTTGAAGGCTCATCTTGAAGGACATTTTACATTAAATTATTGTGACATATGCAATGAATAAATTGATAATAAGGGGTATAAATATTTATGTGGTCATTTTATTCATGTTGAATGTAAACAAAAGGATCATTAAGCATGTTCAAAATGTTTATAATCTGAAAGATTCTTTTTAGAACATACAGTTTAAAAATAAAAGTTAAAAATTAGTAGAATGAAAAATGATGAATAAATTAAATAAATAGATACAAAATAATTAAGTAATTAAATTATTTTATTAAATAGATCCAACAAATTAAAGATAGAAAGAAGATAAAACTGAAGTAAAAATCAGTAATTCAGGGAAACTTTTTCTCTTTGATATAGAAAGAGAATAGAAATATGATATGAGAATCGAAAATGATATTAGTAAATTAATCAGAGCTAATATGTGATTATTAAAAAATCTATATTATACATTATAATTCTAAATGACATAAAAAAAGTGTATAGGCTAAAAATATGAATACTATCTAAAAGATAAACTAGGATCTGGAAGCTTTGCAGAAGTTGTAATGGGAAAAAATATATTAACAAATGAAGTAGTTGCAATTAAAGTAATCTAAAAATCTGTTTTGTCTAAATATGGGTAGTCTTTCTTAATTAATATTTTAGTGAAGGCATCATTAATTAAATACAATTAGAAGTTAAAATACTCCATAAATTAGCTAATCTCACAAAATAAACAATTTGTCCTTTTATTAATCGAATATACGAATTTATAGAAACTGCTAATTACTTTTATATTATTTTGGAGTTCTGCAATTAAGGAACCTTATTTGATATGATATAGAAATAAAAAAAGATTGAAGAAAGAGAAGCTATTTTTATATTATTTCAATTACTTTAAGCTTTTACCTTACTTGCTGATAATAATATAGCACATAGAGATATTAAACCTGAAAATGTGTTTATTAAAGATGGAGTTTATATGGGCTTTGGGACTTCTTACTCATGAGATACTATTTGGAGAAATTTATTATGTAGGTAGAAGTTAATTTGAAGTTTAATAAAAAATATTAACAAAACCTTATTTATTAAATGATCAGAAGTATAAGATATCAGTTCAATTTAAAAATTTATTATGCAAAATGGTCTATAAAGATTAAAATTTAGTATTTATGGAAATTATATCAATAGAGAATAAGTGCTTAAGAAGCCTTAATGGATTCTATATTTGATTTGTGTAAATATAATCCAAAATATCTAAATATTATGGAAATAGAATAAGAAAAATTTTAAATTTTAAGAAAATAGAGAATTATTAGAATAGACTAAATTAAAATAAGATGAAGATACTAAGATATAAAAAGAATTAGAATAGAGATAAAAAAAAGAAGAATAAGAGGAACAGAAACTATTATAAGAGGAACAGAAAATATTATAAGAGAAGATAAAACAAGAAAAGAATCTATTTATTCAAGAAGGAATAAACAGTATTAAAGAAGAAATTCTTGATAAAGTTGCTGGAATTATTCTAATGGTATAATTAACAGATTATTTAAATGATACTATTTAACAATTATGTAGATTTGAAATTCTTTATATTTTGAAATAAGCTACAATTCTAATTTAATAATTAAAAGATCGACTTGAATAAAAGGCTATTTTAGGGATGCATGATCATATTAAAATTAAATTTGATATTGAAATATGGATGGATTTTTATGAAGATAGAACGTAATAATCTTATTAATAATAGTGTCTATTAATTAATTGTTGAAATTGAAAGTAAAGAAAATTAAATTAAAAAAAAATATATAGATTATCTAAACTTATTTAATAATTATACATATCAAAACTTTCCAAATAATTAGTATTAATTAGAAGTAATTGCTAATCTAAATCTGAGCAAACTCATTGATATTCAACTCTATTAAGATTAATTATTCATAAAAATATAGTATCTAAGATAGGATTCTTTGAAGACCTAAAATGAGGCTACTAAACATTAAATATAAAAGTGCATATTGTGTATGTAGTTTACGAATATTAGAAACTTTGTTTCAGGTTAGTTGTTGAATATCTAAAAATTTATATAAGCAATAATAAATGAAGATTTAGAAGAAATGAAATCCTCTTTATTTAAAAAATGAGGAATTAATTTTAAATAATTATTAATATATATAACTATTAACTTTTTAATTTAGATCATATTTATAAATTGTTTTATCTAATTTTGATTTTCTTCTTATTATAACAGAAACTTAGAAATAGAATGATTTTTTTTATCTTTATGTGATAATAATTTAATTATTATACTTTTTAATAATTGAAATCTAATATTTAATTGATTATTTTCATAAATAAGATTTTGTTTTGATACTTATTATAAATTTTATTTTATTAAACTTAATATTGTATATAATATAAAATATATTTTAATAAAATTTATATAATTTTAAATAGTTTGAATCTAATAAATTATTTTATAATTATCATTTATACTATTAACTGATATAAACTAAATTTTAAATTCAAGAAGGGATTATCCTAATTGATAAATATGAATTTGAGTAGAGAATTAAGTTCATAGAGGAAGACATATAAAATTTTTAACTCACATAAATTATTATCTGAAAGTCTAACAGCCTAAAAATTTGCTGTATTATGTTAACAGCAAAATATTATACTCAAATATAAAAAATGAAAATGATCTTTAGATTTCATTAAGAAATTTTAACAGTCCATAAATGTGTATTAAAAATATAACATGATATATAATTTAATATCATTGATGTTATTCAATTCTTTATCTAGTTTTTCTTTTCTCTTTTTTTGATCTATTTCTTCTAATCTATACAGGATGAGTTCTTGATAAATGTCCTCCAAGAGATTAAGGATTATTAAATAACTTTGAGCAATTGGGACATTTATAAAAAGCATAATGTGTAGATTATCGAAGAAGTGGGATTTATGTCTATTGGTCATCTGTAAGATCATTATCTTCTTATTATAATGGTAATTAATTCATTATTTTTATTAATTCGAATATTGATATTATTATCTACCTTATATAGTAATATTAAATAAGATATATTTTATTATTATAGTATTATTCAAAATAAATTTAATATTTTACATTTACTTATATATAATTGATTAAGTTTTTATGAATTTTGGGTACTAATTCTAAAATAGATAGTTAATTCTAGACATTCAAAAAATCTCAAGATTTGATAAGAATTTTAAAACATAATACTCCAGCCTTAAAAGAATTATTAAAGAGAGATGATTTCTTAAATGACTTGAAAGCTAGTGCAATGCATACATTTATTGAATAGTTATTGTTATTACTAATATCAAATCAGTATTTTAAAATAAAAGGATTTGATAGAAGAGATGATAGGTTTAATCAAAAGGATTTATTTTATTGAATATATTATTTAATAATTAAATATTATATGATATTTAATAAATTAAATATAGTACTGTTAACATCTAATAAAAATCAAAACAATTATCCTTTTATAATAAGTGAAATATTTGAACATTCAACATTAATAGAACATATATTTGCTGGAAGATAACCAAAATTAGCAAGAATAGAGAGAAAAGTAAAAGATGTAAGTTACGTAGACAACTCTTGAGTAATATCTGTCAGCCAATTAAGATACAATAGATAATTAAGAAGAAGATCAAGAAAGTCAAAGTTCAAGTAATATAAAAATTATATAAATATATATTTTAGTTAAATTTCTACCTGATACAACTGATATTCTAGGCGATTAAGACGCTTTTTATTTAATTCAAAAATTGTTCTCTTTTCTAAAATTTTCTAATGTAAATGAGACTTAAATTGGATATTTTGGAAAAGCCTTAAATATTATATCTAAACATTATTGTATCGAAGTAATATTACTTTAATTATAATTAAAGTTTTGGAATTTCTCTAAGATTTGTGGATCTATTATTAGTGATATAAATAGTCATTTGAAATTCAAATAAATTCAAGAATTCTTTGCAAAAGTAATAATAATGGTTCATCCTTCAAAAAAGAATTTTAATCATCATTTTAAATAAAGAAAAAAATTAGTTTAAGGTCTCTTTGAATGTATGTTAGAATGGGAAGATAATTTAATTGTAATTTTTAATATTCAATTTAATATCAGTTCCTTGAAAGTGTCTCTAAATTTTTGAATTGTATATTTCAATTTGGCAGTCATTTATATGAATATATTAATGAAATGATAGATCTTATTATAAAACCTGTGTTTTATTTTGAAATAGCTGTAATTAAATTATATAATAATAATATATAGTACAAATCAAAAGAACCTGCTGTTAATAAATTATATTACAATTCAATTTGTTTCTTAGGAATACTCAATACTTCATTACTCACATAATAGAATGTATAATTATATCAACCTATGGAGAATGTTTTAAAATAAATGATTAAATTAAATACTCAAATTCCATCCTTTTAATAAGACATTTAATCAAATCTGGCTAATATGTAATTATTCTTAAATTATTAATATGAAAAATACTAATATCTATTTGGAAATAATAATCTTATTATTATTAAATCAATAGATGTTATCATAAGATCCAATAATTAAGAATTGATAGACCTATTATTTGATTATAAAATCTTTGATTATTTATTGGTTTATATTTATATTTATTCATTTAATAGCATTAAACATCATTATTTCATTTAAATAATTAATTACATAATGCTGTACTTTCCATTTTCAATTATCTCATTATATAAGATATTCAAAGAATAATTAATTAAACTTAGATCCTAGAGTATTTGAATACAAATATAGTTTTATCTAAAAAGTATTAATTCATATTTTATTAGAGCAATTCAAAATTAGGTTATATAGGTTGTTTAAAAAAGATAGGTTATCTACTTCTATCATACTTAGAAAATTTTGAATAGTATTAGTCATTAAAGATTTAACTGCTTGAATTTAAACATTAAGAGGACTCTTTCCTTTTAAATATTAACCCTAAGGATTGTAAAGAGATTGAACCAATTCAATTGAGTATTGACAGATAAATTGAAATGTTGCTTGATTAAAAGGATAATAATAATAATTAAAATTAAGACATATATCCCTAATGAAATTTTAAATTAAAATAAACTAACACATTTATAATCATTTTTATTAATAACATTCATGTTATACCTAAGAGTAAAATGAAATAATTATCCACTAGGAGCCTGAAGAAATCTTTGAACCTTCAAAACCTAAAGTTGAAAATAGACTTTTAAAATATGGCAAAAAATATGAAGAAAAACGAATGAAACTCAAAGAATCAAAATATAATGAAATGATGTAAGATCGTCCCTTCATTCAAAATATCAACTCCCAAAAAAGAATCAATTAAAGTGTAGTTGATAGACTATATGAGTCTCCACATTGTGGAAATAATTGTGGTTAAATTGAAAAACTAGTAAAAAAATCATCTGTTAGATATCCATTATAAGAAATAGTCAGACCAATTAGTTCTTAAAATCCTTATTAAAATATTCCATCATAACAATCACCTCTAAAACAATCATAATCTTTATATTCATAGTAAGGTAAGTATTTGGAAAATACATACTCACATTCATAAAAAATCAATCCTATTCGTTAATCTTAAACATTAAATTTCAATAACAACTCTGTTCATAAATCAAATAGTATTATTTAAATTAGTATGGATCTCTTTTAAAGAAAGAAAAGATCATAAAACATATGTTGAATATAAATATTATTTTCAATTCTAATATTACTATTCATAATTTTTTACATTAAGTAATTTCAATAGTTTATTCTCTATCTACTTAAATCCAAACTTTAATCTCATATTTCTCTTGTTTCTCATTTCCCTTCATTGTTACATTGAACTATAATCCTAAACACATTTACATAATACAACATTCCTTATACCATCTAATTCTTTGAACCATCCAAACTCTCCCATTATAAATCATTCAATTTGCAACTTTCAGCATAATGTTTTTATGCATATTAAAGAGCTTTATTATAATTCTTAATTAGATTTACATGTAGTACATCAGAATTAGAATCTGTTATAGGAAATACTCCACCAGCAAAATCATTATCATCATCAACAAATCCATTATCGTAAGAAACCAATAATCTTTCAGATTATATTGTTATAACAAAGAATAAAACTAATACAATTTTCATAATAAATTATAATAAAATCTGGAATTTATTAATTTATTTTCCTATTATCGAAATTAAAATTATTTCATAAATAATAATAATAAATAAAATTCTCAATCTAATCAGGATTTTTGGTTAATCATTTTTTAAGTGATTTCATTTAAATTTGGATTAAATGAATGATACTAATATAATACTAATAATATATGAATCTCTATCATATAAAGTACTAAGCTTATTATGAATATTTATAAAAAATTAAATATTTTAATAAATATATGATTAAGCATAAATAATTTATTTTAGATATCTCAACATAGTTAATGGTTTCTTATTTTCCATCAAAATAACAATGAAATTTTAGCCAATGTTGTCAATATAAGTTTACAAAATAGATAAAGATTATAAGATAAAAAAACTACACAATTTCCTAAAACCGACTTATCAATCCAAAATCTTAAACATTTTTTATTATACATTAAGATCTAAAATTTGAATGTTAAATTCAGATTATTATTATCATAATAAATATAATTTAACTTTTAACAGCAAAAAGTTTAAATTGAATTATCATCTCTTAAAACTAAATTATTCTTGATGATCAATATTACCTTTATTAGAAAAAGAGGTAAATTTATTAATAATAATTAATATACTACTTTAAAATTAACATAATAATCAATACATATATAATAAATAATACTATATATATAATATTGTATAGATTTCTTAGATATGTAATTAGAGATTTCCAGAATTTAAAAGTATCTGATAATGTTTATAAAAGTCTATAATGATTGTTCTACATAAATATAATAATTAATATTAATCAGATTTACTATAATTTGTAGTATTATATAAATAATATTAAGATAAATTATTTTGCAAATAAATATATATGTAATATCTTCTCATTTTTTTACATATTTTTCATATCTACTCATATTTCTCTTTAAAATTTCATCAACAGGTCCAATCAATCTTCTGAAACTGTCACTATCTAAATATACGACTATCACTTCGCTCTTGAGATTTATTTTATATTTACTTAAGCAACAATATTTGCAGCTCTTGGCTCATGTTTTATTAAAGCTAATTCACCAAAATAATCTCCTACTTTATAACTGTAGACTTCCTTCTCAGTACCTAAAATTAAATAGAATTTGAAAATTACCATTTTCAGTTTTAGTAGCTATACAATCACCTTTTTGAATAAAATAAAATGTATTTCCTTATTCTCCTTATCTTATAATATAGTCTTTCTTATTGAATTTTTAGACTTTCAAAGCATCAGCAATTTGCAATCTTTCATATGGATCCATATCTAATAAAGAATTAAATGAAATGGATACCTTTCAATAATTCCACTTTGCTAAGAAATTCTTCATATTTTTCTCTCTTTTTAGCAGCTGCATCCTTAACAATATGATTAAATGTTTCTCTATCCAATGAGAAGCATATAGCATCAGTTTTAGCTTTAATTGTTGCTGCTCTTGGTACATTGTATAATAAAGCCAATTCACCAAATGATTCTCCAGGTTGATAAACTTTCTATGAAGAGGAATTAAATAAATATATACTAAATGTTTTTCAGGTTCTCCCTTTTTGAATACTTTGAAACAGTCAAGTTATCCTTAATCAACAACATAGAGTACATCACCATCATCACCTTGTTTGATCACAAAATCACCAGCTCTAACAAAAATATAAAGAAATGGATACTTAAATTTCTTCTCTTCCATTGCATCAATAACAATAGCTAATTCATGTTCATCTAAGGCACTAAACATAAATGCTTAGCTCATTCTTTGTTTAATTCTTTTAACGGCATCTTCACTTTTATTAACTTTCTTAGCTTAGTATTAACCCTTTAATCAAGATGATTAAATACTTTCTTATTGAATTGTCCATAAACTTCAGCACTTACAGAAGTTCTTGTTGGTTTATTAGCTTTAGCCTATATTAACTTTTATTTGTCTTATAATTCTTCAACATGTTCATCCTCACTGCTTTCATCGCTGCTGCTTAGAACTTTCTTTTAAATCATTTTATTTAAAAAATAAAAAAGGCAAACAAAAGATCACCTATTTCAATCAAGGATATACATGTTATACTAGAATCTCTTATATTACTAATAAATGAATGGATCAAATTTTATATATATATATATATATTCATTTCTATTATGACTTTGCAATCTTTTCCTTTATTTATTTTAAACTTTTATTAGCATCTTAAAATTTAGGATTCACAGCTCCTCTACAACTATTACGAATCTCATCCAAAGCTTTTTATTGTAATATTAATTCCTCTTTTAAATTATTATTTTATCTCAACAACCTCTAATTTTCTAATGTTTATGAAGTGTATTATGTAGATAATTCAGATAACGTTTGTTCTAAAAACTGAATCTATTCTAAAATAATTTAAAAGTGATCCCTATTTTCATGAAATGAAGAATGTGAAGATATTTCACTATAATTCTATATTTACTGTAATTAATGTATTTATTGTAATTATTACTATTACTATTACTCTAGTTTTTCAATCAAATTTAATTTCTATTTATATTATCTTTTTAATTCTTTTGTATCCTCTTCATATGCAATTATTAAATTTGATTAATCCTTTATTTTTTATTCTTATTCCTACAATCTTTTCTACATTGTTATTAATTCATTGCTTAAATCTTATATTTATTTATCCTTATCATTTCCCAAATTATTTAATCTCTCATTCTCCTCTACAACTTTCATAATTTAAGATTCCTAAATTAATAATATAATATCAATACCATTTATTCTATTGCATATGCTCTCTCATCTTATTCACAAGCTTATTTATATTTTTATTTCCATTATAGAATTTCTTCACTTTATAAATCAATAACTCCTTCCAATCTCTCAATTCTCTCTTTTAAATTATTCAAATTTAAATTATCTCCTCCTTAATTACTTATATTATATTATGTATTCTTTTGTTTATCTATTATTGTAACTAAATCTTATTTCTCCTTGAATAATCTCTGAATCATTTCATTTAATTTTCTATTCTCTTATAATACTGCCTAAGAATTTAAATCCATTGAAGTAGAGTCTGTATACAATCTTCTACTTGATGACCCATTTTCTTTATTATTTTATACCAATGGACTATCAGAAACTAATAGAGTCTTTTAACTGCTCCCTCTAAAACTGTTCTCATTTCCTTATGAAGGCATATTGAGTAATTTAACTTCTTTGTATAAATTAATCTTCTGAGGAGTAGATGGAATTTAATCGTCCTATTCAATTATTGCCATTTATTATTGTCCAAATTATGTAGGTGATAAAGATTTGCAAGGAAAAGTCTTTTAGTGAATCTACTAGTATATTTTTTATGGTTGTTGCTTAAAAGTTTGTTTGGGTGTTTAATAACTATGAAACATATTTAACAGATTTATTTAATTTATTGTTAAAGCTTCTATCCAAATATATTAATTTTTTGATAATATTTAAAAATATTTTATGTACTCCTTTCATTCAGAATCTCCCGACAAACACCTTAAACATTAAATTTAAAATATCCTCACTTAAAACCTTTTATATAATAAAAATATATTTTAAAATTATTTATTTAAAATGGCATAAAATACAACAAGTGGACCTATGTAAAAATACAAAATAGTTTTTCTTGGAGAACAAGCTGTTGGAAAAACATCAATTATTAATAGATTTATTTTTGACAACTTCACTGGTAATGAATAGGTATAATCATAAATTCAAACTAAATAAAGCCCACTGTTGGTATTGATTTCATTTCCAAGACTCTTTAAGTTGATAATAAATCTGTTAGACTTTAACTATGGGATACAGCTGGATAAGAAAGATTTAGATCACTCATACCTAGTTACATTAGAGATTCATAAGCAGCCATCATTTGTTATGATATTACAAGTATTAAACCTTAAATTTAACTAAGATGAGAAATCTTTCCAAAACCTACCAAGATGGATTGAAGATGTTAAAGAAGAAAGAGGAGATGAAGTCTTAATATACATATTGGGTAATAAAATTGATTTGGAATCTGAAAGATTAATCTCTACTAAACAAGCTGAAGACAAAGCAAAAGTATTTTGACTTTTTATTTTAATATAATAGGAATTAGGTGCTTAGTTTTAAGAAGTTTCTGCTAAGAATGCAACTAATGTAGCTGAATTTTTTAAAAAACTTTCCTATGAGTTGTTAGGCAATCCTGCTGAGCAATCTCAAAATTAATAATAATAATAACAATAGCCTGTATAAATAAATTTTATTTTTAGAAAACATAACAACCATAAATTTAGTTATAGAACTAACCTAGAATTCAAGATAATGAGGATAAAAAATAAGGAGGAGGATGTTGCTGAACATTAAATGATTATTCATTTTTATGGTTTTGTACAGAAATTTTATTAAGTCTAAATTATATATATATAATATAGTTTATTTTTCAATACTCATCATGACTTATATAAGATTTATGAAAATTCTTAAACAAAGTTGTATGATATTTTTTCAAAGGATTTTCCTATTAAATCATATAATTCTTTTATCATTTTTGAATTGGATTTTAAGATATTTTCAATTATATCTTAATTCAACATAATTTGAGGAATCTATGGAATTTATTTATATTTAAATAAAATCTCAATTGGAATTTCCTCCTTCTCTGATAATAGAATTGATATTTATGATAAACAACTTATATGATGATTAAGAATTTTAAGTGAAACTTGTTAATCTTTAAGTTCCTTGCTGATCTTATTTAATGTTTCTAAATGAGAATCCTCAATTTTCTTTATTTCCTATTCTATCTAAAATATATATCATATTAATAAAATTACTTAATTATATTTACTAAGTTCTTATTATTTTTCATTCATCTTTTTTCTAAGATCATCTTAGATTGAACCTTCAAAATCTAATTAAGAATTTAACTTATCAATAGTTGATGCTGATTTATCATTCTTCTCCTTTAATTAAATATTAAATCTATCTTTAGTCTTAGAATATAAATTACTATTCAAGTTATTAGATATTATATTTTAACTTTGCAATTACTTTATTTTGATGTTTGATATTGTCCTAAACTGATTGCAATTAAGATTTCAGAGAGGCATTTTCTTACTTTGAAATATTAATTAAAATTTCTTACTTACAAATATATATTCTAACTTTTCAAATCCAAAAGTGTAATTTCATCAAATTGTTATCTTATTTTTTCTGTTGATCTCATCACAGAACTATTATTACATATAATATTTGTATATACTTATTTTAGTATCCTTCAAGTTAAGATCCATTCTTATTAACCAATTAAATTACAGAATTACTCTACTTTCTTTATAGACGTTGATCAACATTATCTATATTTTTAACTGAATTGAATTTTGAATTGATTTTCATGAACTCTTCACTAAAAGTAGAGGCAGGAGATTATATGTTGATATTTTGAAGTAATGAATCAGTGGATGGATATAATTAACTTTTTTTGAGTGATGACTCAACAAACTTATTCTCCTTACTAAACAAAATTTTTTGTTATTTTGGTTTATTTTTTGTATTTAGCATATAACGATTGGTCAGGGATCTATTGTCTGATAATTCTGCTAAAAAGTTCAATTTCAATTTGCCTCTTGAAGTGAGATCACAATTTAATGTTGATTGGGAATTAGGAGTTTTTGAATATATCCTAGGTGAATCCATTTTAAAGGATAAAGGAGAGGCTATTTGATTCGATTGCATTAATTTTACGATTCTGTCTTTGTCGAAAAACATTCAGATTAATTAACAGAAAATGTTATATATTATTATTTTTGGTTTTTTGTTATTCATATTTTTAATAAATGAAATATCTCAATAATCCTTTAATATTTGTAAGACATCATTATAAAAGTCATTATTTAGTCTTTAAATGTAATTCTCACAACAAACATTAACCTCAGCAACATTTCTTGCATCACTTATACAAGAATTTGCATCAGCTAGTAATCATAGATTACAATTTAATACTTGTGTAGTATTATGCCCTATTATATATTCTATCCTATAAATCCAACCAATTTTGCCTCAAAGAGAGACTATCGTAAAAGTGGACATTTACTTCTTTAATGTTGGTTAACATGCTTTAGATGCCTTCCTAAATGCATCTTTGATAGCTTCTTTTTTTTCAAATGGAATCCTAACATTTTCATATTCTCCAACAAATTTAGTGTCATTTCCTTAAAAGTCAGCAGTGAGTGCATTGTACTCAGCTTCTTTATTCATTTTCATAATCACATCTTTGGCTGTCATATTTATATTTAGATATAAATAATAATAATTTCATTCAAAATATATAAAGTTAATATATATATTTACATTTCTTTTTCTTTAACCTATTATGGATATAAAAGAATAAAACCCATTTAATTTTGATTTCATAGATCTACTCAAAGATTTAAGTATTATTCTATATCATCATATTATTTAATTATAAATAGAACAATCCATCTTACGATAGAAAACATTTAATTATTAATACATATGTACAAAGAATCAAGATGAACATTAACTAATATTTTATTAATTTAAAATCCTAAATTGATTTCAAGTAACCTATATATTGGTTATCAGAAATTCAAAATTTTAGAACCAACATAAATTTTACAAATTTTAATTAATTTTAAGAATTTTTCTTAATATTCTATATTCATTTAATACCATAGAATCTTTTCAATTTATTTCCATTTAAATTATCTTCTATCTTACTTATTAAGTTAACAGTAAAGACCAAATAAATTTTTGTTAATCCAAATTTATTTTCCACTTGTAAAAATAACAACAGATTTTTAAATAAATAAGAGAGATTATTGAAACATAATATAAACAAGTATAAATAAATAATGCGTATCAGCAAAAAGCAAAAAAAGTTTATTCATTATAAATAAAAATAAATTTTATATTAATATTCTATTTTCTGTTTATTTTGGAGCCTATTATGCTTTTTATCTTATAATTTATTTAAAAAGTAACTTTTGATATCTGTTCAACATGCATCAAACTACTATAATAACTCCAAAATTTAATTAACAATATTTATGTTTTTTATCTAGTTAATTCCTTTCATTGGTAATTTATCAATTGATCTTAAACATTGATATAATTAACATATGTATTTGTGTTCTTGACTATTAATTTTGATTTCAAAACAATTTTATAAAAAATTGAACAACCTATTTAAGTAAATTCACCTTGAGAGGTTATAAAGAATGGGTTGTTTCTTTAGTAATGTTTTTTGTAGAAATTTATGGAATCATTAATTAAGGATGTGAATTGATTAAACATTAATTATTGATATAAATAATGGATTTAGATGAAATATTTGGGAAAATAGAGAATAAAGAAAAAAATTAAAAAGGGAAATAAGTTTAAAAAGTTGATAAATAACAAAAGTCAATTTAGAATAGGGAATAACATTAATTGAAAATGAAATTGAATCATGAAATAAATAGATTAGAATTGGTAAAATTGACAGCTGAGAATATTTATCAATAATAAATCAATAAAGGCAGTGCAGATTAATTTGTAAATAATATTTATATAGTTCTAGTAAAATGAAATGATAGATTTATAAATAGTATCCATGATAGGAGATCCTGATATATATGGAGACAAAATCAAGCATAAAAATTTTTTGATTGGAAAATTTGAAAAACCATTTTAATTGAAAAATACTGCAGACAACGAATTATAATGTATTAATTTATTATTTAAGTCATTAGAACCTCTAAAAAATGGATTAAATAGATAACTTAAGATATTTAAGAGATCTTTAGGGAATCTAAGATATGCAGCTGTGACAAAATTAAATAGCTTATGGAAATTATACATTGAAGATTTATTGTGTAGAGAATAATCAGCAGATTCAAAGTTTTAAAGATTGTTAAAGGCTGATTTTCATGGAGCATTGATTTAGATAGTATATTCTAAATGCAAAACTTATGAAGGATAGGAGGGTATAATAGTAAGGGAGAAAAAGAAATCATTCATTATCATCAAAGAAAATGATTAATTAAGTGGTAAATTTAATCATGATATATTTAAAAAGTTATAGAGAAAGAAAATACCATATTTTTAATGCCAGTTGGAAATAAGACATATCGTTTACATGGTTGTCATCTTATTATTAAGCCATCTGAAAGAATTAGAAAGGATATCAAGTATCATCCTGCCAATGTTTTCTGTTATTAATATATGTGATTATTTTTTATTTCATTTTATTTCGCTTGATAAAAATATATAAATATATATATCTTTATTATTTAAATAATTAGATGTCTAATCATCCATATAGCAATGCCCCCCCTCCTCAACCTTTGGCCACAACTTAGGCTCCTAAATTTGGTCAACCAGCCCTATAACAACCAGTTCCCTAGGTAGTATTGTATTTTCATAGTAGTATGCCGTCCCAATGCAATAATCACCAATCCGATAATCATATATCCAACCTGTTCAATATGCTCCTGCTCCTTAACAAGTCTAATATGTTTAACAACCAGTCTAATACGTTTAATAACCAGTCTAATAAGTCTAATACGTTTAATAACCAGTCTAACAAGTTTAAGTGTAATAAGTTTAAGTACATAATTTTATGATATACAATTTAGCATCAATCAATCAAAGGAGAGTCAAGAATTGAGTATGTCCCTTATTAAAAGGCTGTGGTTGAATATGAAGAATAAGAAGTTGTTCAATACGTCCCAAGAGAGAGAAAGGTGACAGATTATTATGCTGTTGAGTACTAAACCGAATATGTTCCTTAAGTGTTTTAAGAGAAATACACAGGTATTCCTATATTAAATATTAAAGAATATGTGCCCGTTGATAGATATCAAGAGAGAGTAGAGTATTATCCAGTTGAGAGATAAGTTGTCCATCAATAAGTTTAACCTGTTTAATAACAAGTCTAAGTTGTCTAACAACCAGTCTAAGTTGTCTAATAACCAGTCTAAGTTGTTTAATAACCAGTCTAAGTTGTCTAATAATCAGTTTATTAATAACCAGCCTATCAATAACAAGTTTACTAATAACCAGTTTATTAATAACAAGTTTATTAATAACCAGTCTAGTATGTTTAATAGCCTGTTTCTTATGCTTAACCATTGGTGGCTTCTAGAGTTGTTCCTTAAGGCTTTGCACCCACATATGCTCCTTAATATGCTTAATAATACCAACCATAACAAATTGCTTAACAACCAAAGCCCTAATAATAATAATAATAGGCACCAAGATCTAATATTGGCCCACAATGAACCATATTCATAAAATGAAAATTTATGTCAAAGATTTACCATTTCTTAACCCAGCACTATATGATTATTCTTCATATATGGTTGTAAAATTAAATATAATTCTTTTAATTAATATAAATATATATTGATTATCAGATCAATTAATTAAGATTGTATCATCTCTTTTTTTAACTATTATTTTTCTATATTTGTACTATCTTCAAATATCATTTTTTAAGTAGTTCTAAGATGATAGTGATTTTTTACATAAATTGCCTAATAATTTGTAACAATAAGGATAATATCTCGTTTTCAACTAATGAAAGCGGATGTAAAATGTGATTAATTAATTGTTAAATAAAATGGGAAGTGGACTGTCTAATAATCAAATCAATAACTTTAGGTATGGTGTAGTTTCTAGAGTCTAGAATGCTTTCTCTATTTTAAGAGAAGTCTTTAGAAAATAATAAAGTAAAAGTTGACTAAAGTGAATTTAACAATAGATTAGACGATACGACAATGGTTTCACATAAGAATAAACTCAAGGTTTAAACTAATCTTATTGAATTCATTCGTAATAAACCAAAAAAGGTTAATGCAACTCCAATGGGTGTTAGTGGAGTTATTTCTAAATCCCATAGTATAAGGAAACCATTTATTGAATATGCTCAAACAAATCTCATAAATTTAGTTCGATCATCATAAAAGATGGAAGTCTCTATATTAAATATATCTAGAAAGCTGAACTCTCAATGGAACAATTTCTTAATATTAAAGAATCTCAGATGTTGAGTTCTCAAAGACTTAAACCTCGAAAATCTTTAGCTGTTTAGAATACACTCGAGGTTGTTTAGACATCTCGTTTGGAAAAAAGTATTAATGTTGAAGGAATGGCATAAATTAATTAATACACAGTTATTGAATCTTTAGGTTAGGGAGCTTTTGGTAAAGTTAAAAAAGCTCAAAATTTTAAAGGAGAATAATTAGTATTGATATTAGCTTTATTTCTAGGCGATTAAAATAGCAAACAAAAAAAAACTAAAAAAAAAACTATTATCTAAATCAAATGCTTATACAATGTTGGAAAGAGAAATTGCAATAATGAAAAAAGTAGGATTAAATTAAATATTCTTTATAGATCTCACATACTAATGTTGTATAATTGTATGAAGTCATAGATGATCCTAAATAAGATAAATTATATCTAGTAATGGAATATATGGGAAAGGGTAGCATATTAAGCAAGGGATTTTTTAAAAAGAATAAATAGACATCTAATATTTTGGATGAAATTGAAGATAAAAATATTAATTAAAGATTGACTGAAGAATAATGTAGACATTACTTTAGTGATTTCATTAAAGGATTAGATTATTGTATTTAAAATTGTATTAAATTAAGTACATGAATGTGTTAATGTTATACATAGAGATATCAAACCTGAAAATTTATTAGTCAATTTTTAGGATTAATTAAAAATTGCTGATTTTGGAGTTTCACATATTATGGAAGATGGATAAGATGGAAGAATATCTAATTAAACTGGTACTCAAGCTTATTTAGCACCTGAAGTATTTAAAGGTAATTTTTATTAAAATCTTAATTTAAGGATAGAATTTTGATGGAAAACCAGTTGACATATGGGCAGGAGGAGTGACTTTATATTAGATGGTTTATGGTAGACTACCATTTCCAAGTTAAAAATCTATGGAATTAAGATAATAAATATTAGAAGACAAGTAAACTACAATGTTATAAATTGAAGTCCTCCCTACCCTTAACCAATTGGATTTCATTCATCAATCCTTAAATTGCTTTAAGGAATGTTAGAAAAAAATCCTGAAAAGAGATATAAAATAGATTAAATTATTTTAGATGATTGGTTGACTGAATTTGGTAAATAACCATTACTAAATGAATATATTCAATATGTGGATGTTACTGAAATGGATATCAAATTTGCCTTAACTAGTTTAAATATATAGATGGCTCTGAAAATTGTTGTTAAACTTTTGTATTTATCAAAAAAAGCCAAAAAAGCAATTGCTTTGAAAAAATAATAAAAAAAGGTTTGAAAAATTATCAATTTAAGATATCAAATCACTATTACTCTCTTTAAATAATACTTCCAGTTAAAAAGTTCATATTTTTAAATTTACTCATATCTTAATCTCTATCAAATGTTGGATCATTAATTAAAATATCTTCAACATCTGATTGTTATTATTGTTCAACAGATTATATTTCTACATCATCTTCATGTTATCTAAATTATCTAAAAACTTCAAATTATGCAGGCACTCTATATTTGTTTATTCTAAAAAATTAATATCATAATTACATACTTTTTTTTATTTATTTTTTTTTCAATAGTTACAACAATTACAATCCTACCTACTTATAATGCTAATCTTTTTGGAGAATTTAATTGAATTTACAAATCTTCATCCTAAGCTAATACTAATGTTCCAAATTTTGAACAATTATCTTCTATATAAAAGGATTATTCTTAATGATTAACTAATACACTAGCATGATGTCTAGATACTGAAATATCATGTAATTTTATATCACAATCTTATGTTCTTCCTATTTTAATGGTATCTCTTGTTTTGATATCTATTACATATAAACCCTATTCTTTATTTTTATCACTATGATTTATTTGTAATAATAAATAAGGTTCCTTAGGTTTATTTATATCACATATATTATATTAAATTGACTTAAATTTAAATGATGCTATCATTTATAAATTAAACATTTACTTTTATACATTGTTTTACATAATTCACATTTCATACTCTTCCAATAATATAGAGTTACTCCATTTTATGTTTTTGTTTTTAATTGACTATTAATCCAACTTTGTAAACATTTTAAATGTATAAATTTAATTGAACCCATACATTTACATGGACTAATAAAAGGATTTTCTAATTTTGCCAATTTGCTTAGACAAAATCTGCATTATACTTAACCTTCTACACATTCACTATCATTTAAGTTATTTTTTTCATCTAATTCATCAGGTACTCCACCATCATCATATTCATAAGCAAAGCTATAATCAAGAACTGTTAACTTGACTCTTCCTAATTTTATTGTTGAATTTATCATTAATTTTTGACGATCCAGAGTAGGTAAATCTGATGCCTAAATAGGACGAATGACTTTCCAGAAAGCATTTTCAATCTTAGAATTATATAATTCAATATATTTTTGATTACTGCGAAACTCAAAAATTTCTCTTTAATTTCTTACTACTTCCTTTATAATTATCTAAATAATCTTACATTTTTTGTTAAAGCCAAAATATCTCTATCCAATTAAACCACTCTTCCTTATATATTTATGGGAAATACCTTAGAAATCAAAATCAATTGATTTTTTTACAAGGGAATCACTCTCATAATCAAATAAATTATGTCCATTATCAGACCAGATGTATGCCATCACATGAATACTAAGTATTTCAATATCTATACTTATAAGGTAGTTCCATGATGTTAAATACATTTGGGTTTTTAATATTTGAACAAGTTGCACCCATTCTTATTATTTTATTATTATACCTAGATTTATTATATTAATATCAATAATTACTATATTATTGTATTTACCAAAAAAATAAACTAATATTAACTATTGATTTCTTTTAATTTAGATTATTTATAGAAAATAATTTAAATGTTTCAAGAGTTTTCTACAAATATTCTAATTATAAATATTAATTAAGAAATATAAAATTTCCCAGACTAAACAAAAATTAAATGTCTTACTGAAACAAGGAATAAAAATTTAATTTAATAAAACTCTATCAATTGATATTTCAAGATGATTTATTATTATCAAATTAGAATAATTCAATTTAAATAATAGATTTAATTAATCTTTTCTTAGACTTCTTGAACTAAGATTTAATTGGAGTAAGCATATATCAAAAGTATAATTAAAACTTTTTTATTATTAAAATTAATACAATAAATTTCTTAAGAATCATATTGTAATGAACAATCTGTAAATAAATTAATTTTAATTCAATTATCCAGATTGATGTACAATTATGTATTCTTTAAAGGTAGTTTTAGCCACAATTTAATTTAATGGAACTAATTTTTCATATAACCATATAATTAGTATTAAATAAACATCTATATTGTATATTCAATCCATAATATATCGAATAAATATCAATTAATATAAATGATAATATTTGGTATGTGTTCTCTGCTTGAATAGAATCAAAAATCATATAAAAAAGTTGAAAGATAATTAAAAATAATAAATTTAAATACAAATCAGAAATCAAAAATTAACTGTTTTTATTAACATTTACAATTGATTTCATATTAAAATAAAAAATTTTATTATATATTTTAAATGAGAATAATCATTAATTAACTAGTTAATTTCAAAAGATTAAACATTAATTAGAAGGTAAAGAACATTATACTAAATTAAAATCTGATGGTTACTGCATCTTTTTTATTCCCTAAACACTCCATAAATCACAATTAATCATCTAATCACAAACTAATTTATATAGTATGCATAAATACTTATGATAATATTTGCAATAAGCAATTATCTATCTTATTCATTTTCAATATAAAATGAAGCCTTAAGATCCTATATTGTTAACTTGTATTGACTTTGTTCTTAATAAATTAAATAGGCAAAGTTGTCATACCCTGCCAATAGAAAATTGGTATAATACTTAGATTAGTTGATAGATTTTAACCATTCTTCCATATTTGGAATTTATTCCTAACAATATTCTATATTTAACAGCAATCCTTTTTTAAAAAATAAACCCATTTCTAATAATAGTTTTATTCAAAAATACCTTCATCTAATTTAGCTAAAATTCTTCTTTGATATCCTAATTTATCAATTCCATAGTTGTTTAATAAAAATTTGCATTTATTCTTAGTTGGCAATGATTTTAAAAGACTTACATTATCATAAATTCCTAAATCTATAAAATTTTGTAAGTAGATATCATTTAATCTTATATCTATTAGAAATGTCGCAATTGGTTACTTTTAGATATTATTGATAGGAGTTTGAAATTCTAAAGTCTTAGATGAATCGATTAGTAGAGGATTGATTGAAGTTTTTTGAAAAGGGTAAATGGTGTCTTAGGTCTTAGTTTCTGTTTATTGCATCTTTTGTTCATCTATGTAAGACTTCTTATTTTTAATTCTTGATTATGCTTGTTATAACGTATTTTTGACATTTTCTTGCTATTGTTGCATTTCCTCAATATTTTGCTAGAGACTAGTTATTTTCTCTTGCCATTATTCAGCAAAATTTGAATAGTTGGATGATTGGGAATCAAAATCAAAATTGACTTGAGATTTGAAATCAAAACTAAGTTCTTAATTGATTGACATTCTGTTATAAATTAAAATGAAATAATTATTCCTGAATTACAGGCATAATAATGAAATGAGAAAAAACACATATCAAGTACTATCTACATAGTTAATAAGATTCAATTTAGAAATGGTGAAACTGTTTCATCTGAAGGATTTTTAGAAAGTGAAAATAAAATTTAGAGAGCGAATTACATATTTCTTCTTTCTTTAAGAGCAATTAAAGAAAACATCTTCTACTTTTTACTTCTGATACTATAAGCATTTTCTTCTTTACCTTTATATTTTTTGGCGATTCCTTTAATTTTACAATAATGGATTATAGATTTACATAATTGTTTAAAAATAAGAAACATGGATAAAATGTTAAAAGAGTAAGAGGCCAAAATTATAAAGTAGTGGGATGATTGCATAGTTAATAAGGAGATAATATCTAAAATTAAGGAAAGATTAGATTAAAAAGATTAAAGTGAGAGTAATATGAGATTAAAGAGTAAGTCTTAATTTGAAAAGAATTCATAAAATAAGAAAATTGAGTATGGTCAAAGTTTAAAGAAAGGAATGTCTAGATCAATTATATGTAATAGAAATTATTAATTCATTTTAGCAAATGATTCAATACCCTTTTAATAAATACAATACAAATAACCATAAAGTAACAAAACCCTTAAAGCAAATGATAATATTAACAAATATAATTAGATGAGTCCATTGATTTATAAAGATATGGCTTTGAAATTACAATAACTTTAAATTATGGAAACTGATCCATTGATCATTCAATTTAAAAAGAAGGTTCCTAGCATATTTCCTAAAGATTTGATTCAAACAACAACCAAAATACAATTAAATGAGAAATTGAAAAAAATGGAGAAGGATAAAATGAATTTAATTAAATCTTAAAATGCTGAAGAGATCAAAATTGGTGATGTTATTTTATTACAAAGAAATGAAATAGCACCATGTGATATAATTGTATTACATTGTAATGATGAAAATTTTTGTGTTTAATAATAGTTATGTGATTATTCATAATTTACTGTGAGAAAACCAGTAGTTTAGAATAGATGTAAAAATTAAATATTAAATTTTAGCTGATTCATAAACTTTAGCTTAATTTAAGAAATCTTTAACTGGAAATATAGTATATTCTGAACAGAATTCTTAGATTAAAGGTTTTTTTTAATTAAAGAAAGATCCATAATCTAAAATGCTTGGATTTGATAATTTTATTTTTTGTTAAGAGAGATTATTAGCAACACCTTGGATTTTAGGAATTGTTGTAAAAGTGGGTAAAGGTTGTTTTTGTTTTGAAAAATTATAAGGAAAATTAAGATTTGATAATAATTAGTATTTTGGATTTTACTTAGTAATTGGTGTAATCATGATTGTAAATATTTATAAATAATTTAGATTTAAATAATAGCATTTAATTAGAATGAATATTTGAATGAATTAAGATCTATAACATAAATTGTAATTGATAATTGCATCTATTTAATTTTGATGGTTCCTCATTTCTTTAAGATATATTATAATATTTGCAGTTTATTTTAGTTAAAAATAATTGGTACTATTGATTAAAAATAAATAATGTCATGTCATATTGATAGATATTTGGAAAAGTAATATCTTACTGTTAGTGTAGAAGCATTTATAGAATAGTCTTTTAAATTGAAACGTATAATTTATAATAATTAATATTGTGATTTTGAAGAATAATAATTCTTACATTTTTTGACAACAGCCGAAAATGGTTTAAATAAATAAGATTTAGGTATGAATATTCATTTGACATTTTTTAGATTAAATGAATTATTAATTAAATTCTTAAGTCTTAAATTATGAAATGTAGAGTTCAAGTTCAGAGATTTTGTTTAGTTAAAGGGAATGTATTGTTAATTAAATTCCAAAATCAGTTGAGGGTAGGTTTATACATTATTATTAATAAGATTATAAAGATGATTTGAATTTAAATTAAGCATAATTTATATTTTAAGATAAAATTTAGAATGATAAAGATTTATTTGAAAATTAAGAAATAGGTGATAATCTTACAGCTTAAAGATAATCTAATTAATAAAAAAGTTCAAAAATATATTAATCATCTAAAGAATAAATTAAATAAGATAAATATTTAATTGATGAAAATACTTTATATAAATGTATGATTTAGAATAATTCAAAAAATGAACTCAATCCATTATTTTTATAATTAGCAATGAATCATCTTGCATTTTCAAAATTATTGATTACTGAAAAAAAAGAATAAAAAGTTAAAAATAAATATCTCAGTTTACTTGATTAAAAGTAAGTCAATATGGCTAAAATGATGGGTTATGAATTCATTTGTGTAAATAATGTTTAGTAATATATAATTTATATCAAATAGGTAATAATAACATTATATTATCTAAATAAACAAAGAGTTATATTAATTTAAATTAGTTAATACTAAATTACATATCCAAAATTAAAGATTATATATGTTATTTGAGATGGATGATTAATCTTAAGAATCTGATTAACAATTCATTTTATTCTTAAGAGAAGCTAATGTAAGAAAGAATGAGAGTATTGAAGATAAGGTATTGAAACATTAATCAGAAACTTTACATTATATATACTATTATTATTGTTTTTTGAGTTAAGAAGAAGCTAATTTATATTTATCTTCTGCTGAAAGTAATACATCAGATAATCAATTGTATACACTTATGGAACAATTACTTAAATTGAATATCATTTTTGGTTTGAGTTATGAGTTAAAATAGGATTGTCAAGATTTTATGAAGAATATTAGAAAATCAGATTATCAATTATTCATTTATACTTAAAATTAAGAGATTTCAGCAACCTCTATATTATATTAAACTGAATTATTATAATAAAATGATTTAATCTTTCATTTTAATTAATCAAATGAAGAAGATTTGAGAGCCTACTTTAAATAATGTTTAGAAGAATTTTCTAATTTATTTTCACATGCTAGTATCAATAGTTCAAGATATATCAAAATATCTAATTATAGTATGTAAAAATCAACTGAAATGGATCATATAGTAGAAAAATCCAAAACAAAAAAAGTTGTTGTTATTTTAAACAATTCTACTTGTTAATAAATAATGGACAATAATTATTTTAAAAATCATTTAAAATTATTACTCAATTTTACTAAAGTATTATTTTTGTACTAAGCAACTTAAGATTAATTAAATATTATTTAAGAATTATGGTGTACATCAAATAAAACAATTAATTTAATATATGAAAATTAAAGTTTATTAAGATGTGTAAATGGATGTTAACTATAAATATTATAATTATAATAATTTAGCTAGTTTAGAAATTAGAAATTTGGTAGAATAGATAAGAATAATTTCTTTACAAAATTAAGATTATCTTTGAGATAAAGACTTATTTATGAAAAATGTTATTTTAATGAATTGTAAATTAATTCAAATACAGATGTAATTATTTAAGGTTTTAAAGAATTGGATAGATTATTATTTTTTTAAAGTCCTTTATTAAAAATATTGTTTAGATCATTATAGTAATAAACTATATATAAAACAATAACATTTATATCTTATTTTACTTTTGCTTCAATCCTTTATACATGGAATACTTTAGATTAATAGAATTATTTGGTATAAGTTATATTCTACTTTTATATTTACTAATTCTTTTTATTTGGTATCTAACATTATTAATTTCTTGATGATTCAAAAAAATTAAAATATAATCGAGATTAATCTCTTTTACTTTAAAAATATTCTAAACATAAATCTGAAACTGAAATATAGATATTAATAATAATTAAGAATATTTTATAAGGAATACTCATTTCATGTATATTCTTATATGATATTTATCAAAAAGAATTTTATTTATTCATATTTATATCAATTAGTATAAGCGATTGGCTTTATCTAATAATCAATTTTGGATGGAAATTAAAAATATTAGTCTCTAGCATTTTTTCACTTCTCTTTTATATATACACTTTAATAGATTCTACATATAATGATGAATGGTAAACTCAAATAAATACATAGGAAATCTTTTCAATTATTTTAGGAGTCTCATTTATGCTAATTACTAATATATTATCTGAATATCTATAAAATTATAGTTTAAATGATCTTCCTAAAAGAGAAGAAGAATTTTTGTCTTATTTAAATTATATCCATCTAATTAGTGCACCTGCATAAAAAAAAAAATCTGTTACTATTTTGTAAAATAAAGTAAATGATCTCTTTGATAACATAGAGCAAGTGGATTTGAGCATCCAAAAATGTATATACTTATTATAAATTTTTTAGTATTATTAAATGAACAAAATTATTAAAGTAGATTTGGTTAATGGACATAATAAATTTTTCATAAGGCATAAACTATTTTAAAATGGAAATAAAAATAAACTATTTAATGTTTATAATTACTATTTTATAATTGTACATTTTTACTCATAATGTATTTTTATCAAGATTATAATAATTTCTTTTTAGTAGATTATTTGATAATTTTTGGACTTCAAGCAATTGTGTTTATTTTATTTACATTTATTCAATTACCAACAAATAGATAACAATATCTAGAGTATGCCAAATTTATTATTGCAACAGCATCAACAATTTCGATTCTTTTCACATCAAATAATTCTAATCATATTGGATCTACTTTATTTATGTAGTATTTTATTACTTATTAATTATCTATCAAATTTCATCCAATTTATGATTACAGAATGTATTTGGGATCAACTTTAATAACAATAATTGGTTATATAATTTGGTATATAATAGAAAATGAATATAATGTTTCATTCATTATTTCTATCTTGTAATTTATTGTTTTGTTTTCAGCATCTCAATATTTTGTGAAGAGCTATGTAATAATATTGTTATTATAAAATATAGTATATATTATTAGAAGAAGATTAGGCTTAAAACAAATTAAATTTCATTGAGTAAAATAATAAAATTAATGATATACTTGGAATTTTGTTACCAAAATTTATAAGAGATAGATTAAATGAAAGTATATTATGTTAAATTAATAATTATAGCTGATTAATATAACATTCATTAAAACTAAGGGTTAGTAGCAATTGTATTTTGTGATATTTGTAATTTTGATTAAATGGTCATAGAAGAAAAAGATAAAATTATTCCATTTTTGGATGATATTTTTAGAACTTTTGATAAACTCTGTTAAATTTATGGAGTTTAAAAAATAGAAACAGTTGGAAAAACTTATTTGGCTTCAGCTGGATTAAAGGCATGTGAATAAGAATTAACATATTTGTCTTAGGTTGACCCTGTTTAAAGAGCATTAAATTTGGCTGAATAAATGATGAATTATATAAGATCAAAATAGTAAGAATTTATTATTATTATTAAGATGGGGTACTTAAGGTTAATAATTAGTTGGGAAAATAGGAATTCATTATGGAGGAGCAATTAGTGGAGTCATAGGTTATCATAAACCTTAATTTTCATTAATTGGTGACACTGTTAATACTACAAGTAGAGTATGCTCAACAGGATTAGAGGATACAATAACTTTATCAGAATAAGCATTTGATTAAATTAAAAATGAAAATATTGAATTTGAAATTAGAAATATAGAAATGAAAGGTTTGGGTATTAGACCAACTTATATATTTAAATGTAAGATATAAAATAAAGATAATACTTATTCCATGCAATACGAGCAGGATTTGTAAAGTAGGGATGCAAGAAGCAATTATGTTGTAAGAAAGAATCCTGAATTATTGAAAAAAAACTTAAAGAAAAGAAAAACTATATTGACTTAAATAGATACTATGAATCAAAAAAGAGAATTAATATAAGATAAAGGCACTCATAATATATTTGGTATCAAACCTACTGATCCTGCTATTTATTAATCTTATGATGAGAAATCAGAATAATCAATTCAATTATTATCAAAGCAAGGTACTGAAGATAAATAAAAAAAATAATAATCTTTATAATAACCAAGTACATTTAAGAGATTAGTAACAATGTTGTAGAATAGATTTCAATTAGAAAATTATGAACCAGAAATCGATGAAATGATAGATTATGAATAATTATTGGTATCGTTTATGTAATTAATTAGAGAATGTTATTTTATTAAAGAATGAATATACTTTAGAACATAACTTAATAAAAGAAATATCATTTCTTTAATTGTTAGAGATTTCTTATTATAAGAAACAAATGAATTAGTTTATAAGTTATGATTAATATATGGAATTTGTGAAATTTTAATCTAAGAATCAAACAATTTATAATTTAAGGTTGTATACTTTATATTATATGATTAAGTAATTTTGTTAGATATAATTCTACAATGATTATAATATAATAGTAATTGTATTATAATGGTTTTGTTGCATTTTGAACTTAATTCAATTTTTAATCAATAGGAAACCCTATTTTGATAAATGGAAGATACTAATACAAATTTTATTATTTTGTTAAATTATATTAGCAGGGATAGTTATTGTTTTAGAAGAAAGTAATGAATTAAAAAATGTTCATGTGTATGAAATCATTTTCATTTAATGTATATTTTGTAGTGTATAGATTCTAAGTTTTTGGGTAAAAGTGTTATTTTGTTTTTTCAACTTTTTTTACTCAATAATAATCATTAGTATTGATGGAACATAATTAATTAGCATATTTTTTTTATTCGTTAGCTCAATGTATAATTTAACTTTGATATTATTTATTGAACAATAATAAGTAGGTTGTTTTAATTAAAAACATATTTTTAAAACTCAACAGTAAAAAGAATCATAACTGCTATAGTATTTATTACCAAAACACATTTTAAATAAATTTTTGGATGATAGAATTAATAATATAGGAATTTGTGATAAATTAGATAAGTTAACAATTTTATTTGCTGACATTGCTGGTTTTACTGAATATTCAAGTAAAGTTAAACCAGAAGAAGTATTAGTTATGTTAAAAAATTTGTTTGTGGAATTTGATCGAAAATGTTGTGAATTAAATGTCTATAAATTATATACAATAGGAGATTGTTATGTTGCAATTGGCATGATTGATTATAATAATAGAAATCCTTATTAAGAAGCAAAGAATATAGTAGATTTAGCTTTTGAGATGATTAAAATTATAACTTAAGTAAGAAAGTAAATTAATTTTGATGGCTTAAATATGAGAATAGGAATACACACTGGGTCTGTTTTTGGAGGAGTAATGGGCACTGATATTGTGAGATATGATATCTATGGTCCGGATGTGCTTATTGCAAATAAAATGGAATCAAATGGAGTTAAAGGTTTTGTACATGTTAGTTAAGAAACTAAATCATACTTAGAATAAGATTATGATGATCTTTTTAATTTTGAATTGCATACAACAATAGATCTTAAAACAATTAAAAGATAGATTGAAGGATTTCTAGTATATAAATTAGAATAAGATCATTTTCCAGAAGAAGAAGATTAATTTTTAAGTTCCTGATATCAGTACTTATTGTTTTTATGATTATATATATATCTAAAAATTCTATTATCATTTATTGAAAACAATTTTACTTACACAAGAATAATATATTTTTAGATATATCTAAGAATCCACAAGTAGATTTATACAAAAAAATTGTAATTAATTTATAAAATTTATGAGCTCAAAGAAAGCCACCGTCAAGGATTATATATCCACGAAAGTAAAGCCAGTATTTGATTAATTGATTGCTCGTATTGTTATTGAAAAACCTGATGATGTTTATGCCTGGTCAATCAATTGGTTATAAAAATAATGTATATATATATTCATTGATCATATATAGAAAAAGGTTCATAATTGTTGTAAGTTGTAAATCATGATCTCAGTGAAGAAGAAGAGGAAGAGGAGGAAGTGGTTTTGGAAATTAAATAACATTAAAAGCAATAGACAAGATCAGCAGTATCAGCTGAAGTTTATGGAGAATATAACAAAAAAGAGGATTTCAAACCAAGATATATCTAAAAATCTGAAGGATAAATTGAAAGAATTAAAAAGAGGATTCTTAATTCTTTTATGTTTTAAGCATTAGATGAAAAGGATCTTAATATAGTCTTAGGAGCGATGGAGGAAAAGAAGTTTTAGTAATTTTTATAAATTAATAAAAAGGGTTGGAGATTTTGTAATTAAGCAAGGTGATGATGGAAATGAATTATATGTAATAGATGAAGGTCGTCTTGAATGTTATAAAAGATTTGCAGGGTTGTAGGAAGAGAAGTTACTGAAGACATACATTCCTGGTGAATCATTTGGAGAATTAGCTTTATTGTATAATGCTCCAAGAGCTGCTACTATTAAGGCAATCGAAAATGTTACAACATTTGCTTTAGATAGAGAAACTTTTAATAATATTGTGAAATTTTCAGCTATAAAAAAAAGAGAATAAATGGAAGAAATCTTAAGTAAAATTGAGTTACTTTAATCTATGGATAATTATGAAAGAGTTTAATTATGTGATGTATTAAGGGAAGAAAAGCATTAGGCTGGGAAAACTATTATTACAGAGGTTCAATCAATTCTAAATATATTAGGGAGAAATTGGTGATCGTATCTATTTAATTATTGAAGGAGAACTTGAAGCTTATTCAAATAAATTAAATGAAAAAGTATATGATTATAAACCTGGAGATTATTTTGGAGAACTAGCCTTATTAAAAAATAGTCCAAGATAAGCAACCGTTATTGCAAAAGTAATATTGTCCAATACTTTTAGACAAATGTTACCTTACTATATTGTGATTTCAATTCTTTCAAAAGATTAATGGGCCCATTAGAACAAGTTCTATAGAGAAATATGGAGAGATATGAACATTATTTATAATAATGATTAAGAATTCATATAAAATAATTATTTCCCTATTTTAATATAAAATCTAGTAGAAAATATAATTAAAAAATTAGTAATATCAGATGCAATTCTTTTATATAGATCTTAATATTCTTTGATTTCTATTGTACAAAAGCTTATAAGATCTATCCCATGGTGTTTCCCAATCTAAGTCTGATATTACATTATATAACTGTCTTTAATTTATTTTTGTTCTCCTTAATGTTGATTATTGATTCTAAGAAGATAGAGTATTTTAATCATTTTCTGGAGTTTTAGATAAATTAAGCATTCTTATCCTTTTTGTCTATGATTCTGAAGATTTTTTCAAATCTAATTTATTTTAATCAATAGTCATCAGTAGTTTTCTTCTCATTATTTATACAGGTTTTAATTGAGGTTCCTTATTTTTGACTTGATATCTATAATACTCTAATAACCATTTAATCATTAGAATTATGAATGATTAATTTTTATGCATTTCATTTTCCAAAATCAATTAGATTTTTTATGCTTTATCTTAAAATTAATTTTCTTGAAAAAATTCCATATAAAGTCTTGCAATAAAATCATATACTTGCATTGGAAGTAAAGGTTGAATAGGTTTATTCATTAATTGTGCTGATTGTTCATAAAAATTCAATCTGATTAAATTAAATCATAATTTCTCTTACTTTTCATCAATATGAACTCTTTAGAAACTATATAAAACTTAGAGTAATTAATTCTCCTAATTTATACGTTCTTTATCAATTTTTGGGTCATATGGCTAATTTACATATAGCTGTTATTGTCTCAATTTTATCAAATTAATTAACTATAACATAAAATTAATATGTAGTATTTTATTATAATATTTCATTACATTTACAATCTCCTTAAAATCTTTTAATGAAGATGATTAGATAAATATTTACTTTACTAAACTAAACTAAAAGCAACAATGTATAAAATAACTTTATAAACAAATTATTAAGTTTAATGTTAACAAAAACTTCAGTTATTTTTATAATTTTTATAATTCTAGTTAATAATAAATCAGATATAGATCGCTTATGTTATAATTATTATAATAAATTAATACAATCATGTTTGAAAAATACTCTTTTATTTTGATTTAATATAAATAAAGATAAATTTTGAGGTTTAATAATAGAATAATCAAAAAAATGAATAGTTAAGATTCAATATTGATCATTTTGCAATATTAATAAATAAATTATACGACTACCTTTATCCTCTTCATAAGAAATAGTGAAAAAATCTTTTAGGCTATATCATTATTTCTCTTAAGTTTCTCAAAATATATAAAAAAAATAAAAAATAAACAATTAACAATTAAAAAATATAAATAATTTCACTTTTAATAAAATATTAAAAAAGCGATATGTAATCATAACATAAATAATGGGATATATTATAAGTTATTCTTATTTTCATTAATGCTTGGAATAAGAACTCATTATCAATTCTATTTTGCATTTTTAATAGAATTTAATTATATGTTTATGGTCAGAAAATCATAATTTAATTCATCAATTAATTATGATAAGGAAATATCAGTAAAAGTAATTTATTAGAAATTATATAAGGTCTGTTTAGGTTTCAATTAATAATTAATTTAATAAAGATTTATTAATTCAATGAAAAGTTCTCAAACTAATTAAAACCTGGCATAATTGCGTGATTACTATAGCAAAATACCAGTATTAAGTACAAGAGCAAACAAATAAGAAGTTAAATCTTAAATGCCTCAAAAAGTAAGCCAATAATATTCAAACCATTTAGATGGAAAATAAAGATAATCTTTAAAAGTGAAAAATCTACTTATGATTAATGACGATTAAGTAAATTAATTCATTATTTATAAGAAACTGTTTCATAATGTTTAAGAGAGCATATAATCTTATAGAAGCCCAAAAAACTGGCTAAAATATGAATAAGAGAGCCTGGATTAAGGAAATAAGGGATAATAAAGAATGCTGTCTCCAAATGAATATAACAATATGATTGAATATTTGTAGAGAAAAAATGAAAAATTAGTTCATGAAAATAAATAAAAGGAGTAACTCATTAATAAATTATTGGGGGGATGTAATAGATCTAAAAGGATAAAGAAAAACCAATTACCTAAATCCTTATAGTTATTAAAATAAATTCCAAAATCAGCTGATGCTAAAAATAAGATGGAAACAGAAATTCGTTTGCCTTTAATTAAGACACCAGAGCCATCATTAGTTAATTTAAGAATGGAATTTAAAAATGAAAGAAATGAGCTGTTCAATATATATAACATGAGTTTTGGAAAATAAATTAATTTAAATGAAGAAAAAAATGAATAGTTAGAATTGATATCAAATTACAATAAATAAGGCAATCTGAGAGAAAAAATATATTCATAACCTAATCAACCTTTGAAAAAGAATCATTTTTAAAAGTTTCTTTTGAAATTACCTTAGGAGTTTCATTTAGATATGGATAATCAAAAAAGGTAACTTTGATAATTTCAATTTTTTAATATTTATATATAAAATGATTATATATTATATATTACTTCATTATTCATCTTAATTATCATTTACATCTATTTTACCCAATTAAAGTTCATTCTAATCGTTTTATTAATTTTATAGATTATTACTCTAATCAAATTAATCATTTTATTGTTGAGGCTCTTACAATTATAATGCCCCATCTTCATCTTATTATGGGGCTTATATTTTAATTTCTTCTTATTACTAAGGCTTATTTACAATATTTTCTTGTTGTTAAATTCTATTTGATTGTAGACTGTTAGATTATTTTTGATTATTAGTCGAAAGTGTTTAAGGTTTCTATTAAACTTTTGCAGGTGCTCTTTTGTCATATGCATTTTCTAAATTATCATTATCTTCCACTTTTGCTGTTGTAATTAAATTATTAGCTTTTGGAGCTTAATCTTAATTTCTTTTAACTTAAACTGTATCTTATGTTTTTTTTACTTAAGCTTATTATTTTGGTTATTTTTCTTTTTTATAACCATATTCTTATTTTCTATCTGATTTTGGTTAAACTTGGATAGGTTTATCATCTCCATGATGTCCTTCATATAATTTAATTATTTCTTCTAAATTATCTGCCTATTCTCTAAATAATCCTTCTTCTAATCCTTGCCCTACAAACCAATGGACAAATGCTTTTTTTGTATAAAGTGAATTAAATCGTTTTTTAAGCGATTGAAAATTCTTTAACACACCAGTAGAATGAGCCAACATACAAGCAGCTTTGTTATATTTTGCAAATGGATAATTTGTTAATGTATAAGGTTGAACATTTGAAACACTAGTTTAATAGGCTATTTAAGATCCTTCTGCAAAAGTTATCGATTCTGATTATTTAATTTATTTCATCACATAATTTAATTCTGGTAAAGGACAATCTCCTTTGAAAAATAATGATGCAGCAAGATATTTATGTGTTAGCCTATTGAAACTAAGAAGTGGTCCTCTATCATCAAATAAGGATTCAGTTATATCTTAGAGATTAGGTTTTTTTAAATGTTATTAATCAGCTTAGATAAATGGAGAATAGGAAGTCCATAGAAATTATTATTTTGGTGTTGTTATTAGGTTATTTCTCATATCATTAAAATCAACAAATTTAGACCCTCTAAATCTAATTGATTAACTTATTGATGAAATTGATTAAGCAATCATATAATTAACATGACTATAATTAGGAGTTTCAAAATCTAATTAATTCTGACATACTCTATACATTGCAGCATTATCATAAAGAATATTGAAATCAGACATTTCTGCAAGTGTTGGTAAAGTGAGTAATGTATTATATGGTTCAACAATAGGTTAAGTAAATTATTAATTTGGCTTATCTGATGGAATTATTGATACTGTCAACTTAGTTGTTTTAGCAGTTTCTTCATTCAGCATTTATAATAATTTGCAAGTGAAACCGCTTCCAAATCCTCCAGCTAATGAATGATATATTATAATTGCTGAAGCAGCATCTGCAGATTCTAACATTTTTCGAATAATTTCTTCAGCAGTTCGAGTAGAGCGATCTTATTAATCGTAACTTGCAATTTTCTTAGATGGCCATATTGATGATGAATTATCTTTAAATAATTTTATTAGGTTTTGATTGAAGACTTTCTTAAGTGGTCCTTTATTGATTTAATTGATAGTGAGTGGGTCTTCATCAAAGAATGCAGCCCTTGGTACATTTGTTTTAGTTTATGACTCTGAAAATAAAACCTAGAGATTCTAAGAGCTTGTAGCAGAACCATCAGGTTGAATTCCATGTTCTAAACAAAGTAATTCCCAGGCAGTATTTCCCATTTGGACACCAGCCTATCCAACATGAAATGAAAGAATCTCTCTCATTTTGTAATAAAATATAATATATGTGATTTGTTTAATATTTTGATTTTTATATATATATTGATTTTTCATGCTTCTCCTTCTTCACCTTCTCCTTCAGCAGTTTCAATACCAACTTCTTCATAATCCTTTTCTAAGGCAGCAAGATCTTCTCTGGCTTCAGAGAATTCTCCTTCTTCCATACCTTCACCGACGTACCAGTGGACGAAGGCTCTCTTGGCATACATAAGATCGAATTTATGATCAAGTCTGGAGAAAACTTCAGCAATAGCAGTTGAGTTGGAGATCATACAAACAGCTCTCATAACCTTAGCCAAATCACCTCCTGGGACGACTGTTGGTGGTTGATAGTTGATTCCGACCTTGAATCCTGTTGGGCACCAATCGACGAATTAGATTGTTCTCTTTGTCTTGATTGTTGCAATAGCAGCATTGACATCCTTGGGGACGACATCACCTCTGTAAAGCATGGAGCAAGCCATGTATTTACCATGTCTTGGATCACACTTAGCCATCATGTTGGCTGGTTCAAAGGNCTTAATATCGCTTAATTTTAAATTATCGCATCATTAAAATTATGATTTTAAGTAATCCATAAGATGTTCTTATTAAAAATTAATGAATATTCCTTATCTTGAAATAATTTATAAATTATTATTAATAATCATTAATTAAAATGAGAATCTTAATTAGTTATCTAATTGAGATTTAAAGATATGAATTCTAAATTTTAATATGATAATATTGATATCATAACTATAGACGATTGTAAATATTGAAATGAAACTTTGAATTAGATAAACTTGTTAATTTGTTCTTAATTTATATAATAAAAAGGGAGCAAAGTAGATCCAAAATAATTGAAGTTTCATAAGATAATACATATATCTGAAATATATATAAATAAGCTTAGTATAATTTAAATATCTCAGTTTAAATAAAATGAACTAATTTAATTTAATATATCACTTTAAACTCTAACTTATTACTTTAGAATCCTATATTTAATATAGAATAAAAAACATCTGAATTTAAAAAATGTATTTTATATAAATTTTATTCATTTAAAATTATGGGATTCCAATTAGATAATCTATTATTGAGATCAAATTAAATTAATATTTGGATTGATTCATAAGAGTGTAAATTTAATAAAATATTTTAGGAATGTTTGATTATTTGATTTATATATATATTGATTTTTCATGCTTCTCCTTCTTCACCTTCTCCTTCAGCAGTTTCAATACCAACTTCTTCATAATCCTTTTCTAAGGCAGCAAGATCTTCTCTGGCTTCAGAGAATTCTCCTTCTTCCATACCTTCACCGACGTACCAGTGGACGAAGGCTCTCTTGGCATACATAAGATCGAATTTATGATCAAGTCTGGAGAAAACTTCAGCAATAGCAGTTGAGTTGGAGATCATACAAACAGCTCTCATAACCTTAGCCAAATCACCTCCTGGGACGACTGTTGGTGGTTGATAGTTGATTCCGACCTTGAATCCTGTTGGGCACCAATCGACGAATTAGATTGTTCTCTTTGTCTTGATTGTTGCAATAGCAGCATTGACATCCTTGGGGACGACATCACCTCTGTAAAGCATGGAGCAAGCCATGTATTTACCATGTCTTGGATCACACTTAGCCATCATGTTGGCTGGTTCAAAGGCTGAGTTTGTGATTTCAGCAACTGATAATTATTCGTGATAAGCTTTTTCAGCTGAGATGATTGGAGCATATGAGCAAAGCATAAAGTGGATTCTTGGATATGGCACCAAATTGGTTTAGAATTCAGTGATATCGACATTCAAGGCACCATCAAATCTCAATGAAGCTGTCAATGATGAAATGACTTAAGCAATCAATCTGTTCAAGTTTGTGTATGTTGGTCTTTCAATATCCAAATTTCTTCTGCAAATATCATAAATGGCTTCATTATCCAACATGACACAGACATCAGTGTGTTCCAACAATGAGTGGGTTGACAAGATGGAGTTGTATGGTTCAACGACGGCTGTTGAAACTTATGGTGATGGATAGATGGTGAAACCCAATTTAGATTTCTTACCATAATCGACTGACAATCTTTCCAATAAAAGTGATCCCAATCCTGATCCTGTTCCTCCTCCGACTGAGTGGAAGACCAAGAAACCTTAGAGACCTGTGCAGTTATCAGCTAACTTTCTGATTCTGTCTAAGCACAAATCGACGATTTCCTTTCCGATTGTATAGTGACCTCTGGCGAAGTTGTTGGCAGCATCTTCTTTTCCTGAAATCAATTATTCTGGGTGGAATAATTATCTGTATGTTCCTGTTCTGACTTCATCAATAACTGTTGGTTCCAAATCCAAAAAGACAGCTCTTGGGACGTGCTTTCCTGCACCTGTTTCTGAGAAAAAGGTGTTGAAGGCATCATCTCCTCCTCCGATTGTCTTGTCTGATGGCATTTGACCATCTGGTTGGATTCCGTGTTCAAGACAGAATAATTCCCAACAGGCATTACCAACTTAAATACCTCCTTGTCCGACGTGAATAGATATGACTTCTCTCATTTTTAAAGTGCTATGTGATGAAAACTCTCTAAAAAAATTATTTGAATTTCAGCAGTTACTTCCCATTTGAATATCCAAAATATCCTTTCACCGGGGTCCATTAAATTTGAATAATTATTCATTTTTTATAAAATCCAATATAGAAAATTTATTTATAAAAAATAAATATATGCTTCAAATTCTAATTCTAACATTTATTTCTTTGACTCATCAATAAACTACCTAATTTAATTTTTCCAAGTTTGATGATCCACTCAAAATCAAATAAATCTATTATTTAACTCGATTTCTAGATTTAGAAAATTCATTAAATTTGACAACATAATAAGCACAAGATAATGCCAATTTTGCTTTAGAATTGTGGGTCAATACAGAAAATGTGCTTAATTAGACTACAAATAAAATAAGCAACCATTCAATTTTAAACATCATTGATAATGAATAATTTCAAAGTATTATTCCATAAGATCAAGAAGGATTGCAAGAAACAGAGTAATATATTGAATAGTGGCAAAACTAAACAGATGTATAGCATATTCTATCAATTAATAGGATAATAAAAGTATAATCTTATAGTATGTCATTGAAAACATTGATGAAATGATATCATAAGATGATCCTGAAAACTATAACAAAACTAGTTTGATTGAATAAATCTCTAATCAAACATTTATCCTAGATGAAAATCAAAAAAATATAAATACTACTAAATATATTTCTCCATTGACTTGGTAACATGCAAATGTTAGTTAGGAAGAAATGATATTGGCAAATTTTTTTTATGAAACAAAAAAATAAAATCTAACAGTTTAAGAAGAATTTAATAAATTATCTGCTTAAGAAGCTGCAGCTTTAATAAGTGCTTTTGAAAAATTCTTTATTGATTCAAGTAAAACTTCAAATAAAAATACAACTACAAACACTATTAATTCAAAAGGAGAACAACCTACTGAAAAACCTGATGAACTCCCTTTCCCTAAATCTGATAATAATTAAGATGATCCCATTTATATGTATATGGTGTTTGCTTTAATGTTCTTCATGTTAATTGCTATATTGTTTCTTTTAAGAAGGTATTTGATTCAATAGAAACTTATTTCATTCTAAATGAATGAAGAATCAAATGTTTAAGGATTCTAGGCTTGATTATTTGAATTTTGTATAATTTTTAACTCAAATTTATATATTTAATTTAGAATGGATAAGAATGTCTCTACAAAACTTAAAAATTTTGAAACAGTGAATTGGTTGAAAAATAGATTTAAGAATTAGGTCAGAGATAAATATATTTTAAATGATAAAGAACTTAAGGAACAAATAATGATGAAAGCTGTTTTCAAATCTATTGATAGAGATAAATCAAGTTTAATTTTATTCTTTCAATTTATTTTTAGAATTCTTAGATAGGTAAGAACTCTATGATATGTTCAAACGATATGGCATTAACATCACCAAGACTAAACTCAAAGAGTTTTTTAAAAGAATCGATTAAGATGAAGATGGTAAGCACATCATTTATCTCAGATAAACTCAATTGGACTGACTTCAAATAAGCCTTACAAAACTAAGAAGCACTTTAAAGTAAGTTTTAGACATTAAATAAATAGTGTTTGCTGAACTAATGAGAAAAATAAAGGAGTCTACAGAAAAAAAAGGAAAAAAAGATGAATTAAGTTTTATACCTTTGAGTTTTCCTAATATGATATAATACATGAATTATTGTGTATTAAGAGAAGAACTTATACAAAAGATTAATTCTAATTAATTGAATACTTAATAGAAAGTTAAATAATGCAAAAATCTGTTATCTTTAGAGGACATATGTTATAATAAGGTTGTTGAATTAAAAGATGATGATAATGAAGAATTAGAAGAAGCTGCTTTTATTAAATCAGCTAAAAAATCTAATGATTATCAACAACTTGCTATTTTAAAAAGATTATAAGAAAAAGAATAAATTGAATAACGACAAGTAATTTTAAATTATAATGATTTAGAGTCGCATAAGAAAATTAAGTACATCATAGTATTACAAATCTGAATCTGACTAAACTAATCGATCTATGGGAAAAAAGAGTAAACAACTTAGTACTGATAAAAATTAATATGCTCAACCTGAATTCAAATTATTTGATTAATTAGTTTCTGAAAATCAACATGAACTTCCACCTATTTAAAATGATAATTAATAAAAAGTTTAAATTCCCATGTTGATGTCAGAAAGAATCTATGAAAGTGATAATCCTTACAAATACAATTATAAAGTTAAAAAGTATAAAAATGATTCTTCTGCTACAGAAATTCCAAAAGGATAACATTTTACTACATAGCATTTAATAGTATATAATAAATTAAATCAATTTAATAGAATCTTAGAACCCCTATGAAGTTGTCATATAGAAAGTAATGTCATTCTCCAAAGAGGATTAGAATAATATCTTAAACAGAATTATAAAGACTAGTTAATAAAAGCTGATTAATGAAATTCGAAATTCTATTTGATATTTTATTTATAATAAAACTTATTTAGATCTTTATCTTTTAATTTATATTTGTCTTAGATCTTAATTGAAATCCTAGAATTATGGATTAGCTTTCATCTATATGTTAAATATTTCTATTAATCACGATATTTTAATAAAGTAACTAATATAAATAATAAATTGCTAAATTTAAGTATTAATAATTGAATATGATTTTTCAATCATTTTAATCTCAATTAATTATACAATAAATTTTTCTAAAAATAGATTGGAGTATTACTTCTTTAATTAATAGTTAATAAAATGTTTATTAATATTAAAAAGTACTTTTGTATATAAATTTGTAAACTTATGTTTAAAGTATAAATAAATTGTTTTTGATTGAATAATGTATCTATTTAAAATTGAATATTTTTATTATTTGATTTTATATATATTTTAATTGATTATTGCAATTTTGAACTAACTATTTATTATAAAATGAATTGTATATTTTTAATTCATTATTGATATTCTTGATGAAATAATATTTAATTAATCTAATGATATTATGATCTAATTAAAAAATAGATTAGATAATTCTCAATAAGGATTAATACTAATTTTTTAGTTTAGCTTTTAGTATGAGTATTTAAATTTCTAAACAACTAAAACTTAATATGATCACTTAAATTATATTAGTCATTTTCAAAGATTTATATATATAATAATGACGATTTAATAATTCATCAAAATATATTGATCTCAATATAATTAATAAAAACTTTCTTAAAATTTTAGTATTAATAATAGCAAATATAAGAGTTTATATGAAATGAGAGATTTGAAATGTAAATGTTGTAAATGAAATAAATGGAGAAAGGAGTAAAAATTAATATATAAAATATTAATATATTTTAAATCTTTAATTTAAAATGGTTAAGATGAATGTTCTCAATGATTGCCTTCGTTCAATTGTGAATGCTGAAAGGTATTATAAATTATTAAATTTGAAAAGACAAGGAAGAAAATAAGTGTTAATTAGACCAACATCAAAATTAGTTGTGAAATTTTTGCAAGTGATGTAAAGACATGGATATATTGGAGAGTTTGAAATTGTCGATGATCACAGAAGTGGAAAGATTGTTGTCGAATTATTGGGTATACATTTTTTTTTTACTTTAAGGACGCATCAATAAATGTGGAGTCATCTCACCTCGTTATGATGTGACCTTAGGCGAATTTGAGAGATGGGCAAATAACATTTTACCAGCAAGATAATTTGGATGCGTTGTGTTAACTACTAATGTTGGCATTCTTACTCATGAAGAGGCTAGATAAAGACATATCGGAGGTAAAATCCTTGGTTTCTTCTATTGATTTTATTACAATGTACATTCATAAACATACAATATAAATAATTAAATGAGTAGTGCTGTTACAAGGGCAGGTTAAAAGGTATTAGATTTAACTTTTAAGGTAGTGGAAAGAATTTTGGGGTTAATAAATAACTAAGAATACCTAATTAGAGGAGAAAAAGAGTGAAGCTTATGAATTAAACAATTATTTTTAAATGGCTGAAAGAACATTAGTTACAATCAGCTAATGTCATTCATGTATAATAAAAATGTATATGAAGAATTATAAATACAATACAATCAATGTGCAATGATAGTGACTAAAATATATGAACATGAATTAGGATCTAATAAACTAATTGCAAATAATCTTGTAAAGATGTTCTAAAAGATATCTGAATTACATGGTGAAAAGGTGACACCCATTTATTAGTTGAAACTTGAAATAAAGCCGTGGTTTGACACTATGGAATAGTTAAAGATCTTATTGGAAAGATATTAGGAAGATAGATTGATATATGATCATTATAAGTTAAAAATGAAAGAGTTGTAAAATAGTAAGGATTCAGATAAGACCAATAGAGTATCAATTATTAATTAATATAGAATGAAAAAAAATTAGAGAAAGCAACTACAGCTTACTAAAATATTTGTATTGATATGATTGGGAAAATGGATAACATAATCTCAAACAAAATAAGGATGATGAATGTTCTATTATCCTCAATTATTAGCATAGAACATGATGTTTCTACCTAAGAAAGCAAATTATATCATGAATGTTTAGATTTTGACAAAGAATTTTCAAATGGTAATCAAACTAAATCAGTTTAACCAGAAAATTAAGAATAGGAAAATAACTTTATTAACAAAACTAGAAAATTATTAAATTTATAACCTGCTTTAGATAGTAAATAAAATGAAAAATAACACCAAATCAAACAACCATAATTTGGGGAAACGCCTACACCAAATCCGGATAATGATCCATTTGAAGATTTTAATAGAGTTTCAGCTTAATTTGCTGTAGAATTAAAAGATGATTCTGAATCACCAGCATTATGTAAGGATTCTAGAGCTTCTAAGTAAAACTAATAATAAACGAGATCATAAATTTAATAATAATAAGAATAATTTTACTAGACAATTAAACACTAAAGAAAGTAGTTAGAACAATCAGATATTAAGCAATCAAATTAAACTGATCTAAATCAAGGATTCTCAAATCCATTTGCAACACCATAACAACAATAACAATAATAATAATAATAATAATAATAATAATAATAATAATAATAATAATAATAATAATAATAATAATAATAATAATAATAATAATAATAATAATAATAATAATAATAATAATAATAATAATAATAATAATAATAATAATAATAATAATAATAATAATAATAATAATAATAATAATAATAATAATAATAATAATAATAATAATAATAATAATAATAATAATAATAATAATAATAATAATAATAATAATAATAATAATAATAATAATAATAATAATAATAATAATAATAATAATAATAATAATAATAATAATAATAATAATAATAATAATAATAATAATAATAATAATAATAATAATAATAATAATAATAATAATAATAATAATAATAATAATAATAATAATAATAATAATAATAATAATAATAATAATAATAATAATAATAATAATAATAATAATAATAATAATAATAATAATAATAATAATAATAATAATAATAATAATAATAATAATAATAATAATAATAATAATAATAATAATAATAATAATAATAATAATAATAATAATAATAATAATAATAATAATAATAATAATAATAATAATAATAATAATAATAATAATAACAATAACAATAATAATAATAACAATAATAATAATAACAATAATAACAATAATAAGATTTTAGACTTAGTTAATCTATGGTTATTTAATCCAATACAGGTTGGAATCCTTTTAATGAAGGTTAAAATAATCAACAATCTTTTAAAAAAGGTATTAGAAATCCATTTGATGATGAAGTTGATGATACCTATGTTCAATAATAATAAATTCAAAATCCATAAATACAAATTCATTCATAAATCCTATCATCTAGATCTAATAATCCATTTGCAAATGAAACTAATTAATAAGTTCCTCCAAGAATGTTTTAAACTTATTAACCAAGCAATCCATTTGCTGATCATAGTAATGAGTATTAAAAGTAGCCAAATTAAAATACATCAAAGAATCCTTTCATTTGAATATTAAATATTTAATATTTTATATACTAAATTAGTTATTAATCATTTTATTTATCCTCCATTTGAACCAGTTAGTCTGGTCGTACTTCCTTTGACTTTCTTTTTGAACAATTTATCATCTTCATCCTACTTATCATCATCCAAACCTTAGGCATAGACCATTTAATCCATATCTGCCATTTCCATAATATCATTGACCTTTTCTTTAAAATATTCGTTCTAATAATATAAAGTGTTGGATAGGGATGGATCAGTATAATTTTCCCAATAAGCCTTATCCTTTTTCTCCAAATAACTATCATTTCTAACTTTATAGACTAAGTCATTTCCTTCAATTTGCATCAATGAAAAAGGGAAGACGCTCTTGGAATTGACAGGTTACTATTGATTTTATATCTTGTAAATTGGAAAGGAATCAGAAAGGACCTAATCAAATGTTAATTAATATTTTCTAGCCTCTAAATACAAAGTTGCCAAGAACCTAGCAACACTTTCCATTTTTTCATCAGGTGGTTCTTAAGGAATCACAGGTATAATTGGAGGAATGATAGGTGGTTAAGGAACAGGTGGAGGTTATACAATAGGTTTTTCTTCATATTTTTGTTTTTCTATAATCAAATCTTCAATTTGTTTTTCATATCTAACAATTTAATCTTCCTTTTTTAATTTTTCCCTTCTTTAGATTTCATTCTGCTCCTTCCACTACAATATTTCTTTTGTAATATAATCAAACATCTCTTCCGATTTTTCAAGAATATTGATATTGCATTTTTCTGAGCAATCCCTGACAAAGCAATCTTTGGGCCATAATTTAATTTCTGAATTATTATCTTTTTCCCTTTTAGATTAATCAAAGAATTCTTTAATGAATTTACAAAAAGTAAATCTCCTATCAATTTCCATAGCTTTTTCTCTTTAAAGACTTTGATCAATTAAATTGGAAACCATCAATAGATCTTTTTTTAACATAACAATTTTCTATCCTAAATTTTCCATTTCAATAACTCCTCTTGAATTCTAAGGATTGCCTCTTCTCAATTTCATTGTTCTATCCATAGGTTATGTACGAGGACGAAAGGCTAGATGAGGATTATTATCTTCATAATAGGGATGCATAAGATATCTAGTTAAAGGGCGAGAAAAATGCTATCTCTATTTTTTAAAGTAGGCATATAATTATTCCTAAGTAGATTACATTTATATATTAATGGTCTTTGGTAAGGGAAGTTTTAGTTTGAGGAATTCTAAAAAGTCAATTTCTACATCTTTCCCGCTCTTTTAGTCAAGAAGTGATAAATATTACTCAAAATCTTCAATATGTACAGGGTTGCTTAGTTTTTCATTAATTGTTGAGAGGAAATGAATATCCTCTTCGGTTAATTCATAAGCTGTGCCATCTGGATAGACAGGTGCCTTATAAGAGATGTAATCCTCACGGCATTTAGCAGGAAGTTGTGATTTTAATGTGGGCTCTTCAAATTATTTGGGTCTAAATAATAATGAGTATAATATAAAAATAAATATGGCGGGGGTCGAGAAGCAAGTTGTTACAAACCACAATAAAGTGGGTTGAAAATGTTCCACTTGCTCCTTATAAGTAATTGATTGATTATATGCAATTTACTTTTCTTTTAAGAGTTGATCAGGTGTTATGATTTATTCCGTGTTTTTTATGTCTGCTTCTTGTCCTTCTGCATTAGTGAATGCTTCTAGACTGTTAGAGATCAGGACTGGTTTTGTTGGATCGATCTGTCTTGGTCTTGATTTCATTTTCTTGGGTGCCCAATCGATTAATAATTAAAGAAACTTGAATATATAGGAAGATACTATCCCAAGGAAAACCAAAAACATTACAAATCAAACTAAAAACACACGAAACAACTTCAAAAACAAATGTCCCCTCCTCTTTTCTACCCATCATAAAATTCCTTATTAGTATACCCAGACTTTATCAATCAGGCCTTCATTTCCAAAACTACATCTTAGAATCCTTTAGAAGTTCATTCTGATATTTTCAACACCATACAAAACATACAGAGACTCTCATTATTATAATTATTAATCAACTTAATTGAAATTGGTGAAAAATTTAGTGATTTTTCAAGTTCAATTCTACTTAAGATCAACTAAAACATCTATATATCAATTTCTAATCAGCTCTAAATAATTTTCTAAAGGTACTCTATCCTTTTAATTCTCAATTGAACTTAAATAACATTCAATCCTCTAGAATTATTTCTTTAACTCTTTTTTCATTTTGGAATAAGGAATAAAATATTGAAACCTCAATATATTAGAGATTTCATATTTTGTGTTTAAATGTTATGATATATTGAACTTAAAGTTACTTTTGACTTTAAAATTGCATTTCAATTTATCTAAATAACAAATCAATTTACTCTATTTTCATTTAGATGTATTCTTAAATGAGAACACTTTGATATTGGATGAATTGTGAAATATATCAGTTTTAGCCAAGTTAATCCAATCTATTAACAACTCATTTACTTCAAAAAATTTATATACATATTGTGGAAATTTAAAAAATGATCTAACCCCGTATATGTTATCTTACATTTTCCATCTAAAAATTTATGAAGAGTTAAAAAGAATAGTATAATCTTCATTTTACTACAATTTAATATTATTACTACTAAAAAATGATAAAAGATAATAATTAGAATTACATCAAGTTTCATCATTATTATTACTTAATATCATTTATATAAAATAATAATATTATTTAATAAGAGAAATATGAGATATTGAACAAAAATTTAGTAATGAGAAAAAATGAATACTTAATTGATATATTATTTGGGTTTAAATATAATAATATAATAATTATTTATATTATTTCACTCTCATTCTGCTAATAAAGGTTATTCTAAATCTGAGGTGACATCATTGTTGTTATTATTTTTACCTAAATTTTTGATATCTAGTTTTTCATCTTCCTAAAACAATTCCGGATGAGCAACTTTAAGTTAGGATTCAATCAAGGCTATAGTTGCTCTGTCATTTGAAGTATATATGATTTACTCTAAATAAGTCTCTTCTAGAATAAACTATTTAAATGAATGCATCAAATTTGATATAATTACCTTTATTTATATAGAATTATTTATTATACTTATCTTGGATACCCGAAATATCGAACACCTACTTCATTAATAACCACTTATTTCAATGAGCACTCTTTAACCTATTTTGCCAATTAATTAAAAGCCATCTATACTAAGTTATTTTCCTTAAATTAACCACCTCTCCACATTGGAATACATACAAGAAATATTTTTTTTTCTTTATTTTAAATTTAATAACAATTCCCATATTCGAATGCTCCTTGGTTAGCTTATAAACATTCTTATGCAGCCTCAATTATTTAATTTGAAAATAAGGGTGAAAGACCTTTTGTACTAACAGCAAAAATATTGCTATCAATTTTGGAAGAATCCCCAGGTGAATAAACAACTTTAACTTTTGTTTTACTATTAATTATTTCTACTCTGTTTGGATTCCAATTATCTGGTAACTCACTTTGTTTTCTATCTTTAACACTTTCTTCATCCTTACAACATTAACAACCCATGTATTTATAAATTTAATTATATCATATATTTTCAAAATCAATTTTTATTGGAAATATCTCTTCAGGTAATACAGAATGGATATATTTATTAGTTATTCCTACTCTTTTTGTTTAGTTTCTTTAGATAGGTTTAATTTATTATTCTGGTTATTCAAGAGAAGCTTTATATTAAGAATTAGCTTCTTTAATTGCTTACAATTTCATTCTATTATTTGTAGCTTAGATTTCTTTAATGTGATTAGATTTTTCTTTAAATTATTGGACATGTTACTAAGATATTTATTATTATTTCTTTTAATATAGTCGAATTTAATGTCTATCTCCTTATCTGCTTATAAGATTCTAACCAATATTGAATTCTTGATAAAAAGACCTTTCCTGTTGTATCTATAATTTGGCTGATTTTTTTTCTAAATTTTACTTTTTTATTGATTATCTCTATTGATTTTCTCTATCTTCCCAATATTGCAATTATTTTGATATATCTGGTTAGTTATTTTATCTTCCTACACTATAACTTAAGTTAAAATTTTATTATTGTAAGAATGATGGCAATTCTACTTATAATACTTATTTTTTATTCATAACAGATTTTGTTCTCAGATGTTATCGTGTAGAATTTGTAAGTAATTTCAATCTTTATTACTATTTTTCTACATTGTTGGGTTCTTATTCAAAACTATCCTATTAAAATATATATGTTTATAGTGCAGTTTTAGGTTTATCAGTTTAAGTAATTGTCCTAACATTAGTTGATGCAGTAGGACAATTTTGTTTGATTTAAGGATATGAAAATTAATTAAATTGTTTTTTAATAGAACTGAAAAAAAGATAAGTTGAGATTTGTTCACATTCTGGCAATTTTGATATGTTTTTTTTCTTTTTATTTTTTTAATCAATTCCATTTTTATAAAATCTTACTTCAACTTCATTGGTTGTTTTATCAGATAAAAATTTTGATAACCATAATGATGGTTTATATGGAATTTCACAATTTTCTACAAAATCAGTTTACTATTAAATTAGATATGTCTTAATAAGTAATTCATCCTGTTATCTTACAATTTAAGTTTGTTCTAATAACTCATTTTCTTAATACAATTATACAAAGCATTAGTATTTAAAAGAATAAGTATATAGAGCCAATAAAAATAGTCTCAATTTTAATTATTCATTTTAAGGGAATGTAATTTTTAGCCATTTTTAATTTAATAAATTCTTTATTTCACTTTAAGTCTCAAAATGTAATAAATGATATACATCACAATTTTAAATAATTGAAAATTCTTATTAATCTTCATCATCATATTGAATAATTTATTTTCTTAACCAAATAGGTATAATATTTTTCTTAGGAAACTATTCAAAAGATATATGGAATTTATAGTTAATCAAACTAACTTTTGATTTTTATTCAAGAAATTGCAACTTTGATACACATTATCTTAATTGTATATAAATTGAGTAATTTAAATATAACACATTTTGAGTGAATTGTTTAAGTCGATATCCAATAACCTTAAAAAAATTATTTCTATGATGCATTTTCAAATCTTTAAACCATTTTTATAAAATTAATAGGGATCTTTCCTTTACTAAAATATTAATTATAGTTTGCATAGTTTTGCCATTCTTTTTAACATCTTGATAGGCTCTAAATTATCTTTATATCTTTAATGCTGCCACAGCTTCTTTCAATTATTTTTCAAATATTGTTATAAACACTTATGAAGGATGATCCTTATTGTGCAAAATTATACATTTAATTATCAATGAGATATTTTCTTTGCTTAAATTTATAACATATAATTATTTGTATTCTCGTTATTAAAATTTGTTGATTAATTTTAAACAATTTTCATATTTAACTTTATCCTACTTTGGTAATTTGTACATAATAAAATAAGGTTTTCTGGCAGGCATCAATTCATCATACTTTTGCAAGTAAGAATAAGGATGTACATCTTGAGTAAATTTAGTCACTGATGTCCATTTCTTTATTATACTTAATTTTAGTTATTACAAGCAGCAACTTATTTTACATAAAGAAGCAGGATAAGTTAGCATATTCTTAAAATAAATAGGATTGTTTTATAAATTGAATTAACTAGGTAGTCTATAAGTGAAAACTTCTGAATCATAAATCTTATTAGGTTTCTAAAAATCTTCATGTAAAAGAGGAGCCTAATCAATAATCCCTCTGATTTCTGGTTTATTAATGAGTTTATGTAAAATTTATTTGAATATATGTAATTATTCCTTATAGAAATAGAGTCTATATATATTTCCAATAGATTCAAGTTTAAGTTTTTATCCATGATAAAAGGATTTCAAAGATTTATAGATAATTCTAGCACTCTTTAATTCTTTAATTGCCTTTCCTTTTCTTTGTCTATAATTTTAAACCATCACTTTAACTTTCTCAAATTGAGTACTATATTAATTTGTTAATAATTGATTAAGGTCTTTTTTGTTCTTAGTAAATTTTATCCAATGTTTAACTGTTTGTTTTACAAATGCTCTAAATATAAATAACAATTTACTGTATTTTCATCTGTTTCTAAACAATTTTTTTAAAATTTCTTCTTATTAAATAACTTTTAATGAAACTTTAGATAGTCAAAATGGCAGAGCATCTTTGCCAAATCTTTCTGATCACCTCTAATTCTTGCCAAACCAATAAGACTATTTTTTATTGATCCTTTAATTCCTTTGGAGTGCTTATAATCGGCCAAGGTAGACGACTCTTTTCTGTGGATTATTTTAATCTCAATTCTTTATATTTCTCTTCATCAGTAATTGCATTGAAATCTAGTGCCCAAAGGGATTTCATATATGAAATAACTTGTCTTCTGAGAGAACATTATGCTGATACAGGATTTAAAAATAGAGTGAGATAGTTCAAACTGTTGCATCCTGTGATTGGTTCTACAGAAAGTTAAGAAATTTGATTCTGATGTAAGTATAGGATTCTTAAATTTGTTAATTTTTTGAGATTTGGAATAAATGTAAGATTGCAATTTGACAAATCCAATTTAAGTAGATTAGTACATTTTTATACTTAATCTAATTGATTCTTATTTAGAGAGGTTCCAGTTAGCAATAAAACTTTAACATCAGCTGGGACTTGGATGTAAAAAAAATCTGTCATTTAAAATATATATTAATAATCAATTATGGATAATATTTTATAAAATAAAAAATAATATGGACACACAACAGGATCAATAATTAAAAAAGAATCAACTTAAATTCCCTGTTTCTAAAGTGAAAAAAATTGTATAAGAAAATTAAGATGTTGGCAAAATCAACAATGTAGTTCCTTATGTATTAAGTATTACTTGAATGTTATTGAAAGCGAAATCACTTGAATTGTTTTTATCTGACATTCTCTCAAAATGTAAAGAGACTTTAAAAGACAGAAAATTAAATAAAGCTACTCCTGGTTTATTGTAAAAAAGTTATTGAATAAAAGAAAGATAGTTTTACAGGAGTCTCAATATGATTTCATGAAAGATTATGCTTAAAAGTTGCCTGATTTGGAGGAAAACAAAAAGAAGAAGAAGGGTTTATAATAGGATGAATAGAGTGATGAAGTAGGAAAGAAGCGTAAGGGGAATGATGAGTTTGAGAAGGTGGAGAAGAAAGTAGGTGGACGAAAATCGAAAAGAGTTCGAAGATAATAATCGGATGATGATTATGATGAAGATGATTGAATTTAAATTTATTTAATGGGGGAGAAAAGAATCGACAAATATCTCTTCAATCCTAAAGATCTTATCGGAGAAGGTTCATATGCTCAAGTGTTCAGAGGACGAGAGGAGAAGACAGGAGTCAAAGTGGCCATTAAAGTATTGAACAAATCAGTCATCAATGCGTATAAATATTTGACAAATGTTAAGCGATGATTATTTAAGAGAAGGTTTGATATCAGAAATCAAAGTGATGTAGAAATTAAAGAGTCCAAATATTGTACAACTAATGGATGTGATGGAAACTAATAACAATTATTATATAATTCAAGAATATTGTGATAGTGGAGATTTGGATAAAATGATAGAAAAGTATCAATACACAATAATCTAGTTATGTATCATAAAAAAAGACTATGCCTGAAAAGGATGCTGTCAAATTTATGATTGATATTTTAAATGGATTTATTTAGCTAATTAAAAATGGAATCATTCACAGAGATCTCAAACCTGCCAATATCCTTATAGATAAAGGAGTATTCTTATTAAAATCATTTAGACATTCAAATTAGCAGATTTTGGATTTGCAAAATGTGTTGACAATTTTAAAAAGGATATGTTGGCATCATTAGTAGGAACACCACTATATATGTCTCCTTAAATTTTGGATAACAAAAAATATACTTCAAAGACAGATATTTGGAGTATAGCATTTATTTTTTATGAAGCATTGTTTGGCAAAAGTATTTCATTTACTAATTATATTTTTTAGCTCCTTGGACTGCTAGATCACCATAAGAATTGCTTAAAAATATTAGAAATTAACCTCTCCAATTCAAAGGACCATAAATTTCAAAAGAAGCTCAAGAATTCTTAATTGGATGTTTATAAGTTGAAGAAAAAGATAGATTTTCATGGGATGATATCTACAGACATCCACTCTTTAAAGGACATTTTACAGATTTTATAAAAAATGTTAGTATTCTTGAAGATAAAGCAACATATCTCATTAATGATATAAGATTAATGATTATTAAAGAATAATTAGATATAGGGGAGTTGTTTGCTGAATTAGATATGACTAAAGATAAAGCATTAAATGTAAATGAACTTGGAAAATTCTTAACAAGAGTTGATAAAAATTTAACAAGAGAAGAAATTGAATATATATTTAATAAATTTGATGATGATGGAAATAATTTAATTGAATTTAATGAATTTAAAAAATGGTTAGAAGAAAATGATGTAACTATAAATTAATACATAAATATAGTGTAGAATGACTGCTTCAGAAGTCAGCAGAACTAAGAAGAAAGTTAGTATTCTTTTGAAACCTTAATAAGATATATAGGCTGGATCACTTGATGATAGAGCTAGAATTGTTATTGAAAAATTGAAAACATCAATTATCAAATATAATATCAACCTTTTAGATTTATTTAATAAGGTAATTGTATTTTTTTTTGATTTTAAGTATGATAAATCAGCAAATCATGAACTAGATGTTATAGAACTGGGCAAATTATTAAAACGTATAGATTCTTCTGTGACAGATGAAGAATGCAAATCCATTTTTAGTTTTTTTGATCATAATAAAGATGGATCAGTTTCATTTAATGAATTCGAATTTGTTTTGAAAGAATGCTTAGTTAAATAAAAGTTAAAACAACAGCAATGATTTATCTATCTATCATAAAATATTAAAATTAAGTAATTATAGTATCAACCATTCGATTTAATTTTAATACTTGTGATGTTTATATTATTCAACTTTAGTTAATAATTCATTTAATAATAACCTGGTTTTCTTATTATAATTTCTCTAATTTCTAAATAAGTAGCTATTTGAACCAATCCCCAAATTATTATTACTATTATGAAGCTAGGGAATCTATGTATTTAACATCATCGAAATTTTATAATCTCAAATAAAACTATTAATAATATTGATTTTAATACTTTTGAGAAATCAAAGTAAGTAAATTGGAGAACTTATACTCTTTCTATTCCATAAACTTAGAGTAATTACCATAATTTTGAACATATCACATCAACAATAACTCCTTATTCATCTAATTATACAACATGCAAAAAGTTATCAACATTTAAGATAAAACTAAATAGAAATTAAAATTACTATGTTTCCATATTATAAAAATGTCCTGTTTCACTATATTAACAAGCTATTTTAGTACAATTAGGTTTATCCCCTATTTAATATATTGGTACTGCAAGTTTTGTCAGCTCAGGATATTACTCATTAATATTAGGTAGATTCTCAAAAATTTGATGCTAAGACAATATAATACAATATTCTAGTTTCTATATTTTAGCCAATGAACTGTATGGATCAAAGAGTATGGCATACTTTTCTTAATGAACATTGATTTATTAGTCAATAATGAATTCTCTTTTGATTGGTAAGAATTTCCTAGAATAAAATTATTTTGTACTTTTTAAAAATATCGATTAACTAATCTAAAAATAATTAAGATGTTTTGATATTTAAAATAAGTTCTGCCAATATCTATTGATATAATTATAAAATATAATTTTAAGGATCCAATGATTATTTAAATGCATAGATGATATCTAGTGATAAAATAGAAACAATCAATTACTAATCTTATTCTAATGCAAATTTAAGGATCTAAAAGTATACAATAATAATTACATTTTAGTAATAGGATTATATATTTTATGGATTGGCTAATTCCTTCATAAAAAGTAGTACATAAATTAGTACTTCCTTATTTGAACAATGTTAATAAATGCTATTTAAGACTTAACTTTCCTACATTAAAATCTCACTTTCAATTATTTATTATAAAATTATGCAATCCACTTATTTCAATTATTATAAACTCATTTTAATTTCTAAATTCTCATGTTTCAGATCTGATAAATCAATAGGTTATAAAGTTTAATAGATTTAAAGACATAACTTTTTGATAAAATTTTAGTCATTATCATATGCATTTGAATATCCCCAAAGATCTTCATTTATAATAATTTTTGATTTGTCTTAGGATAGAAAAACATAATATATATATTAGATGATTTTAGCATTTGTTCTAAAGTATAATAAAAATAATAAGAATGCTTAAAGAGCAACAGCAATATGAAAATGTTACTATATGAATTATCATAATAATTTACATAACCAAATTTGATAACTTAACTTAATTGAATTATAGGTCTCTATATAGCATAATCTAATATTAATTATTCTAAATATTAATTATTTGTAAAGAGATCGTGAATATATTATAATTGTTCTTTTAATTCTTCAGATAGTGTTGTTAATTGTTCTTATTATTATCCTTCAAATCTCCACTTAATTTTTTCAACAATCACATTAATCTATTTGATAGTGAGCAAAACTTAATTTCCCAAGTTGAAATAATATTATAGAAATGGGAAGCTATTGGTATAAGCTATAATGTTTTGATTTTTGACTAAAAAAGATATAACAGAATATTACTATTAAGAATATGAAGAACTATTGATCTACTTTTATTTCTCACCATCAATTCAGGATGATTATAGAATCTGATAGCATTCCATAAAAGAGGAAACTATGGATATTTGAGATTAATAAAAAACATTGTAGTAATGTCATCTAATTTCACTGCCAACAAATTTAAAAAGCTAATATATGTTTCTACAATCTCAATATTAGGTTAATATTATTCAAACGAATGTTTCCATAAAACCATATTTGAAATGCTAGAATGGGATAAAATGTAATTCTTATTTGTTATTTCCTTTACATTGATCAATAATGAACTTACCTATTCAAAAATCTATAAATATTAATTGATTTTGTCTTACTTCTTAGATTAATTAATGATGACATAATCTTCGTTATAAGATGTCATATAATCTATTGAGAATATCAATTTCCATAAATTATTCAAATAATTACTTATGTAATTCATTATCTCCTTTAATAGCATATAGGATGATTTATTTAATGACAGGGATGATTTTGGTAGGATTGGTTGGTTCATTTTGGTATTTAATTAAATCACTAACCAAAATAAGAAAATGTTCTTGATCTGACTGATTTTGAGTGATAGGCTCTTATTATTCTGTTGTAGATGTTTTAAGATAATTAAGAAATTTTTTCATTATTAATTATTAATCATGATTATATAATTATTGAAAAAAAAAATATTAATAATACAGAATATATAAATCATATGAGTGAGAGTTTCATATGTGCACAGTAGGATCGAATATTCTTGGTTATGTGAATATATGTGTTTTTTATTTGGAATTATTTATATTATCACTTAATAAAAATAATTAACGAAATGAGTCAATCAACAGCAAAAAACTTAAGGGATTTGTTGATTAAACAACAACTTAATAGTAAAATCAAATTTAAAGGGGAACCAGTCAATAAAATACAACCAACTAGAAAATAATCTGGAAATTGGGATAAAAAAGCTGATATATCTCAATGCTCTTGTAATTAAAAGAATTGTACTGTGTGTATGAAGAAAAGAGTAGTGATTAATGCTTCACCTCTTTTAAAAGTTAAGGTAGCAACTAAAAATTAAGCTTGTGATCAAGATAGTAGAAGAGAAATTAAAGTAACAAGTTCAGTTTCTGCTCATTAATCTCCTAACCGCGAGAAATAGTATTAAATGCAATAAATGTTCTTACAAAAGTAATTACAAAGTCACTTACAATAATTATAAGAATCTCGTCCATAGTCTAAATAAGCTCCTAAAGAACAAAGTAAAAAGCCATAATTTTATCATAATATGGAAAATTTTTTAAATAACTATTATCAAAAGGGAAATTTAAGTAATTCATAGTTGTATGAGAACAGTTATAATGTTAAGTCAAAAGTCATTCCAAAAAGAATTGAATCAAAAAGTCATGTTCTTAGCAACACTTAAACATCTTTTAAATTAAAACTAAATCAACAAGGTCCTAAATTTTCAGCTGTATCTTATTCATTAATAAATTAGATTATCAATTCTGGATTAGTTGAATCAGCTCCAAATTCTCCAAATAATCATGAAAATTCTACAAAGAGCAAAATTACTCCAAATGATTCTATCTCGAAAAGTAAAATCAATTAAAATGATTCGAAATCTAGTGAAATCAGAAGAAAATCTACAGGAGAAATCTCTGAAAAAACTCAAGTTCTCGGCTTAAAAATAGATGAATAGGTTGGTAGATTACATTTTAAATTTCTATATGTTATTGGAAAAGGAGGTTTTGGAAGAGTTTGGAGAGTAGAAATGAAAAAGAATAAAAAATTATTTGCTTTAAAAGAAATGTCAAAAGCTAAAGTAATATAAAAAAGAAGTGTAAATTCAGTGTTGAATGAAAAATATCTTTTAGAACACTTGCATCATCCCTTTTTAGTTAATATGTGGTATGCATTTTAAGATAGAGAAAATCTATTTTTAATCATAGATCTATTAACTGGAGGAGATCTCAGATTTCATTTAGGTAAAATGAGAAGATTTAATGAAGCATAAACAAGTATATAAAAATACAAATATTATTAGAATTTTTCGTTGCTTGTATTTTATTGGCTCTAACCTATCTTCATTAAAATGGAATTATACATAGAGATCTTAAACCTGAAAATTTAGTATTGGATGAAGATGGTTATATGAGATTAACAGATTTAGGGATAGCTAGAATGAATAAAGGAAATAATGCTGGAGATACTTCAGGAACACCTGGTTATATGGCTCCAGAAGTCATGTGTAGGATGGATCACTCTGTTGTAGCTGATTATTATGCATTGGGTGTTATTACATATGAATTAATGTTGGGAAGAAGACCATATAATGGAAGAACCCGATAAGATATCAGAGAATAAATTCTAGCCAAATAAGTTTAAGTTAAAAATGAGGAATTACCTTTAGGATGGAGTGAAAATTCTCTTGATTTTGTGAATTAGGTAAAATCTTTATATTAATGTTTAGTTAATTCTAAGAAAACCTGAGAGGAGATTAGGTAGCAATGGAATTGAAGAAATCTTACATCATCCTTGGTTAAAAGGTTATCCATGGGATGATTTACTAAAGAAGAAGGTTTAAGCACTTTATATACCTGGGGTATTAGTTCTTTTTATCTAAAGGCTGTTGATGACAATTTCGATTTTTAAAATTAGATTTCTGAAGAAACACAATTAAATGATGAATAATTATTAGAAAATTAAACTCTTTTAAGAAGAGATACGGTTCAATGTATAATAAATGAATAAATAAATTAGCGTTATTTGAAGGATATCATTATGACATAGAACTAAAGAATATTTAACATCAATAGACATAAAAGAATCATTCACAAAGAAAATCATAACCTGTTTCTCCTGAAAAAAAAGTATGATGTCAACAATATATTATTATTGATATTAATTTTGAACAATCTGTAATAGTTCTTTTATATAATTAAAATTAATGAAAATGAAACTTAAATAAATCAGAAAATTTAATAATTGAAATTCTTTAATATGGGACAAAATGATATTAAAATACATTAATATTGATCTTAATAATAAATTATATAAAGAAATTTAAAAGAATTGAAGACATATTTATGATTGATGATTTTTACTAATATTTTTAAATAATAATAATGAATTATAAATCTAAATAATTATAATAAAATATATAAGATTAATTCATTTTGCTTTATTTTAATTTTTATTTGAACTATCTTTCATTCCTTAGATCATTTTTACACTCCAAAAACCTCCTCCAAATATTGCAACAAACAAAACCAAAAAGAATGCATAATGAAAATAATTTGGTTTTGTTAGTAAAGTAGATTCAGCTTAATTTGTTTTATATGCATCTTACCAATCTTTTTCAACCTATTATGTTTGCTTATATTATTATTTAATTTAATTTTATTTGTTTAATTCACTTAAGTCCTTCTCCATTTTTTTAATAATTCTCAATAATGTTTCTTCTTCTTTAGTTAATTAAAATTCTATTCCAATATATTATTTATAATCAAAATCCTTTACAACATCCTTATAACTTAAAGTTAAATAATTCTTCAACATTTTAATTAAAAAATTACTTCATTATTGATATCAATCAAAGATTCACATTATAAAATCATAGACATTTATATTTTATGAAAGATCAATGTTTTATTAGCATTTTCTACACTTTTAATAATTTTGCCCATATTATCTTTTTCATTATTAATATCCTTAATAGTTTTCATCCAACAAGCACCAATTTTTTTAGAGAGTCTAAATAAACTTAATAAGTTACTCTTCTTCTTCTATGTCTTATCCAAGTGTTAGAACAAATAATAAAAACGCTAATTAAATCATAAACGTGTATAAATTAATTATAAATATTATAAATGAGTTAAAAAGCTAATTAAATTGTAAAATTCTTGAACTCTTTATAATTAATAGAAATGAATATATTGATATTAAATAAATTGATTAGAATTGATAATATAAATTATCAGCATTAATGATTTATAAATTAATTGGAATTTCAGGTTATCTTATTTATCTAATCTACTTTACAAAGTTTTTGGAATTGATTTGGCCAAATGAAATACAAAATAGTAATATATTAATGTAATTTAGAAAAACTATTTTTTATTGTCGTAATGGTAGTCGTTCAAAATGTAATTCAAGTTGTTGTTTGTGCATATTATTAGATATTTTATTCAATGAATCATCCATTCTTTGAATAATTTAAACTAGTATAGGTATATTAATAATTAAATAAGAAACCTTGGCCTTGGGAGAAAAATAAAGAAGAATGGAAAATAATGAAAATAAAAACTTTGAAATCAATTATATTAAATTAATCTCTTGCTGCTTTACTTGTTTCAGTGATACCTCCATTTCAATGTAGAATGGATACTAATAGTTTTCCAAGTTACTATGAAATTATGAAACATGTCATTATATGTCATCTTAGTGAAGATTTTATATTTTATTGGAGTCATAGAATTTTACATTTACCAGGATTGTATCCAAAGATACATAAAATACATCATTAATATAATGTTTCAAGTAAGTTTTTAACTATAATTAGTTGCTATTGCAACTGAATATGCACATCCAATTGAATTTATTTCAAGTAATATTATACCAATATTTTCTGGTCCTTATTTATTAGGTGATCAAATTCATTGCATAACAATTTTAATTTATGTTGGATTGCATTTATCAAAAGCTATACATCAACATTGTGGATATGTTTTCCCTTGGGAACTATATAATTATTTGCCATTTGCCACAAATTCAATACATCATGGATTACATCATAGTGAAAACAATGGTAATTATGGATCCCAATTTATTCTGTTTGATAAATTATTTGGCACTTGTATTGAATATAAGGTAAAGTGAAATCAATCAATGATAATTTGTTAACATTTGATTTAATTATTAATATATATATATATATTACAGTTAATGAATAAGTCAAGGGATTGGAATATTGTAGATGATGAATTAAATCGAAAATTAAAATAGTTATAAGAAATAAGAACATAATTAGATGACTAATCAACTGAATAGCTATTGTAAAATAAGGATTAGAATTAGGGTATTAATAATCTAATTCAAATTTAGAGTATAATAGCGATGTTAATTATTATAAGGAGTTTTGGAGATATTATATTCTAAATGAAATGGCTATAAAAAAAGTCAATGAACTTCATTCTTAAAATTAAAAATTGCATGAATTAATAGGAGATATTGATGTAAACCTAAGTGATATTATTAAGAAATTATAATAAGAATTACATATTGCTTTAAGTTATCGTCATAAAAAGAAAAATAGAAGGACATCTTAAGAGATTGAGAAGAGTTTTGTTTGTCCTTATGAAAAATGCAATAAATAGTATGGGAGTGATGTTTCTTTGAATTTACATATTAAATTAAAACATGATGGAGGTAATAAAACTGATAGAGAAAAGTTTGCTGTAAATACATTTCCTATTCTTTCATTAGAAGATGATTATTGAAGCTCAGTAAAATGGAGAAACCATTACAGATTTGAATATTAATATTAAATTTCCTCCTGGTTATTTAGATGTAATATTAAATATCATATTATAGTAATATAAGAATCAATTTTTGAACACTTAATAAAATTAGTTAAATTAAGAAAGATAGTCAATCGAATAAGATTGAAATTAAATTAAATTATATTTATTCTTGTTTTTAAATTAGAATTTTATCCTTTTATTTTTTACAATAATTATTAAGTCTCCTTTATATTATATATATATATATATAATAATTACTAAATATCAATATTTTATTTAATTGAAATAATAATATATATTAATTATTATTATATATTAAATTTATGTTTCCATTGATTATTCTTATTTAGATTACACTTCAATAATAATTAACACATTAAATTTTGAGACCTTAAAAAATAAATTAAGAATTGATTTCTGATAGAATGGATTGCAAATATAATCAATCAATAATTAGTGATATTTGTAATAATTGCAAAGCTAAACATGCTTATATATTAGATGAATAGAATTGGTTAATTTTTGGTGTATATCATGAATTTGGGTACAAATTAATTATTAAAGAAGTAAAGAATATAAAGAATTGATTGAATCAATCTAAAAATATTATTAAAAAGGAATCATTTATGCAACTTTTAATTAAGAATTTATATGTTTATCCATTTAAGATGCAAATGTAAATTTAGAAGAATTTCTAAACAATATGTACTATTATCAATTACCAAAATCATTTTATCCATTAGATAAACGTACCTTTATTATTTTATTAGGTCTGTAAATTGCATAAAAAGTGAAATAGATGTGAGATACAATTAAACTAACAATAATTTTACAATTACTAATTTTGTATTTAATGGTTATTCTAAGACTGATCGATATCTATTACAATTATCTAATTATAATGTAACCATAAATAATCATAATGTATATTTAATATTAATTATAGGTTACCTTAAATAAATCAGGTATACTTTTAGATAATTCTTAAACAAACTAAATCTAATTATATTAAAATGTAGTTGGTTCAAAATATTAAAATGAAGTATTAAAACTACACTTTTAATAATTTGAATAAGGTATCTAAGGTTTTATACATGAAAATTTTGCACCCTATTATTAAGATGTTATTAATATTTAAAAAATGAAAAATCTTAAAAGTGAATTAACAGTAAAAATTTCAAAAGAAAAAAATGCTAATAAAAAAAAATATAATTTATACTTAAGTTTTGATTGAGAATATATTTAAATAGTTTATTCATATTAAATAATTAAATATCCAAATATTTATTGAATAGATTATCAATATATCAGAATTATTTAAGTACATAATCATTAAATTAATAAATAACATAATTATTCTTATTTATTTTAATAATATAATTATTTATATAAAGTAATAGATTATAATCCAATTTATAGGATTCATTATTATTATTAATTATCAACATTTTTCTTTTTTAACAAATCTGCATTTTCATCTTCATCTGCATCAAGATCATCAAGCATTGGTTTTTGTATATCAATTTCACCTTCTTAATTTTCTTATTCTTCATCATCACTTTCTTCTTTCTTTTTAATTTCATCTAAATTTTGACAATATGAATATCCAAGTATTAAACGAACACAAACAATCTTACATATTTAATTTCATATTTTACTCTATTTGGATAATTAAAAATCTTTCCTGCAAGATTAAAAATAATTTTATTGTCTCTTCTCATAAAAAAAGGTTCCATATTTTCAACTATAACTGATCTAATTTTTTCAGACTATTAATAATATTATATTTATACTTCAGTATAATTAAATCTCATTGGAAGTAAACATAAATGTGTATTTAAAGGTAACATTGCTTTTACTTCTTTTTTCCATTGTTCAATAATCTCATCATAATTTCTACTTTTATATATATGATTCCATTTAGCAACCATTTCATCATCATGTTTTTATTAAACTACTTTTATTGTTCTAAATGTAGTTTTATATTCTAATATTTTCAAATATTATTCCATTTTTTTATTTATTCCATCTAAATCATGTTTCCATTTAGTAAAAAGTGAACTTTTCCCTCTTGCTTTCTCTACTCCTTATTTTACTTCCATAAATATATCCTCTAATAATCTTTTAATTCTATTCTTTTTTATTGGTTCTTTGAGTATTTAAGCTGAATAAAATGCACCTACTTTTTAATTCCAAGTTTTTTATATGAATTCTTCATTCTTCTATTTCATTTAATCTTCAAGTTCGTCTTCATCAATTTATATATTAGTATCATCATCATCATCTTCTTCTTCTTCACTTTCTTCCTTTTCCTCTGTATTTGGAATAGTCTCTTTAATAAACGGATACCATAATCTTTTATCATGCAAATGATAGAAAATCTCTTAAGGTTTCTAATTAGCCATATTACCAAATCTATATTTAAAAAATATAATTACATATTTTTGTTATTAAAAATAATCTCAATAGTTTCATATGGCAATTATCCATGATCAACTACTCTAATAAAATAAATATTAAATATACTCTTTTCCATTTTTATCAAAGAAACGATCAATTTTTGAAAATTTAGCAATAGGATTGGCTCTTAAGATTTCATCCTCAGCTTCTTACTTTTTAGCAATAGCAGTTTATTTAGCTGTCTCTCTATATACAAACAATGGATTAGTAAATGTCTTTTTTTATCCAATTGATCCTGCTCCTTTAATTGTAGATTTCTTGGGATCCTCATCTTCTTATTCACTAGATCTTTCCTTTGATTATTTAATTTCACCCATTTATCTTGGATTTTTTAATTTTATATTTCCATTTAATTTTTCTAACTATATTGTTTCTATAACTTATTCATCTTAATCAGCCCTACCATCATCTTCAGGTTAAAATGTAGCATTATTTCTGGCTTTCCTTCTCTTTTCTTCTGCTTCTTTTTATTATTACATTAAAATATCATTTTATTTTTATTTTTTCAATGCTTCCTCTTATTATTTCTTTTCTATTTCTTTTTTCTTTTATTCAAGCAATTACTTTCTCTTTGATATTGGTTTCTTTTTATCCTTACCTAAATTACCTAAAGCACCTAATCCAAATCCACCATCCTTTTTAGTTATTGGTTTTTCAGCATATAAAAACTTTCTTAATGCAGCTCTTTTATCTTTTCTAATTCTTCCATCTAAATGCATATGAAAATCTTCTTAAACATCCCAAAAAGTTATACCAGATAAATCATGTGAAAATACCATAAGCCATGCATGAAATTAAGAATTATGTTTAAGTGTACCTAAACAAACAAAAACTCTATGTTCAAATGGAATATATTTATGAGAATCCTTATCATGTTATCTTTTTTTATCTTCTCTCTCAAATCCCATAAATAAACAAGCTCCTAAGATTGCATGATCATGGATAAAACCTTTTCGTATTTTCAATAAGAAATCAGGTGATCTCCAAACATCACTTCTTGAAAAAGAATCTTATATAAATGGTATATTTCTAACAAAATGACACATTTCATGTAAATTTTTCATTCTAATATCTTTAGGATTAGCAAATAATTCATTTGTTGCTTCTTCACTTTAAAATTTAATATAAAATTTCTCTAAATATTTACAAACCAAATGATAATAATTAAATTAATCTCTAACAAAAATATTCTTAAAAAAAATATTATAAGCAGTCTTTTCCAAACCAAATTATGAAAAATTACCTCTTACATATTTATCCCATGATTAATATTCCTCATTATCTTCATGATCCTTTTTAACTTATAATTAATCTGAAATCTAATATGGATAAATATCATCAGGAACTTCACAAAATTCCTCTAAATTTAATTCTTCAGGTAAATCAGGAGCAAAAAATGCCTGAAAAGTTATTTAAATATGACTAACATTAAACAAACCACTCTCAAATTTCTTAGTAAATGTAGCTTCACGTGTATCAAATTAATATCTTCTATTATCATCAGTCAATAAAGTCTTTTTAAATTTGCTTGCTTTCTAAATTTCAGATAAAAATACTCTACAATAACCTAAAGATTCATCACTTAAAATATCTTATCCATCTAACCATAATTATATTGTAATATCTGGTCTTGATTTCAATTCCTCACGTAATGCATCTATAAGTAAATCTTGATCTGTTTTTTAATTAATTATATCTTCAAAAGTCTTCTCTCTTCTTAATATAGGTATTCTGAAATATAATTCTTCATTATAAGATGGATTTGGATCATTCTTAATCATTCTTGTTGTTTTAGCTTGATCTCTCCAAGCAACAGTTAAATAAGTATTAATGACTCCTCTATCATCTGGACTTAATACACTATTCAGTCTATTAATTGTAACTACAAGATAATATTATTCTGGAATATAAGTATTGAGTTCTCCATTTTATGAATATCTTGGTACCTTATTAAGATTTACTCTTCCTTCAATAATTGCTATATATGCTTCATCTCTTAAAGCATCTTCATCATCTCCTAAATCTTCATCATCATCTTCATCATTTCCATCCCACTTTTTCTTTTATTTATTTTTCTTCTTTGGTTTCTTTGTTATTTTCACTCTTGGTGGAGGTACTTTAAGTTTTAATCTAAATTAAACTTTTAAATAATTTGTATCTTGTATTCCTCTTAATGAAACTAATTTCTCAGCTTTATTAAAATAAGCATCAAATAATAATGTTACTTTCATCATTTATTATGTCAAATCTTCCATTGTTCCTCTAAAATGCATATATCCTTTAAGATTTCTAAAGTTTGGATTCTTTGTCTTCTTAATTTATTCAGATTCAACTTAAGGTTATATTAATTCATCAGTCATTAAAGTCAATTGTATTTTAGGATCATGTTCTTTCCCTTAATCTGCTATAATATTTGATCCTTTCCAAGCTTCAAATGTTAATTTGTAATCCCAAACTTCTTAAAATAAGACATTATAATAAATTCTAGCAAATTATCTTCTCTCTCCAAATGCCTTCTTTATATCATCTTATCTCTTTATATTACCAGATGCAATATTAAGTAAAGACACTTAAATTTTACCCAAAAATAAATTTAGTCTAAATCTTCTATATTCCCATACTTCTATAACGAAATAACGTTCTTTAAGCATTTAATATGAGAGATGCATTTCTGTTTCAAACATTACCTTAATAACCTTGACTTCACTTCTTTTTAGATCTTTACAAATTTCAGATTTAAAAAAGACTTCACCACTTGATACATCTGCATACTTATTAGCCGTTTTGCCAATTTAACCTATTCTGAAATTCAAGAAAACTGATAATTATTCCTTTTATAAATTTTCTAATCTTATTTCATTTATAAAAACCTTCCATCTTCTAACTTTATTATCTTCTCTCTCTATTAGTTCTTTCTAAAATCAATACAAAATGCTACATTGATTTCTAATTTGGTTTCATCTGGTACTAAATAATAAGGCTTTCCTATTTCATTCTCAACCAATTATTCTGGTCTTAAATTCTCTAATTGTTTATCATATTTATCTGCTGCTTTCTTATCTTAAGCATTTTTTCTCTTTTCTTTTTCTTTAGTACTTCTCTCCTCATCAATTTTTATTTTGATACTTTTGTCATCTCTTGCTGATTTATCTTTATCTTTAGAATCACTATCAATTTCTTCTTTATCTTTAATCAATTTCTCTTCTTCTTTTAATTTCCTAGCTTTTTCTTCCTCTAATCTTAATTATTCTTATCGTTTTATGTCTTCTTTTTTCTTCTCTTTTTCTAATACCCTAAAATAATCATCTTATCTCATTGTATTATTATTTATATATAAAAATATTCTAAACTCAGCTATTTTTAAAAAGCAATTAAAATAATAATAATCTTTATATAAATTTATTTCATCTCAATATAATGAATAAGAAAATGAAACATTCGGGATCTATTACATCTAGAATACATGAATCAAGTTTGATGGACTCAATTTTAGATTCAACCACAGCAAGATAACCTCATTCCTTATGTGAAGATTCAATAGCCTTCATATTAATGGCCTAAAGTGCCAATGACCATATAAGAATTATAAGAGTATAATCATATAATTTAAATAGAGGAAATTATTCAATCTACTAAAGAAACAAGAAATAGACTTCGTTAAGGCATCCAAGATTTAAGGTTGAGTCTAAATAATCTTGAACATACATAATAAAGAGACATACTTAATACTGAATATGAAATGACAGTCAATGTTAATAAATTGAAAACTGTAATATTTATTAATATAACTACAAGAATCTATTTTAACTTATATAAGATTAGAGAGAATAAAACAATTAATTTGATTAATAGATAGTCTCCTTACAATAAGATTGTGATGACATTGAATATCAAAGTAACAAATTGGATTAGAAATTATAATACATGTGTAGTAAAACAGGACAATATTAATATGTTGATTATGATAACTATATTCAATGACTTTATATAATTATAAAATACAGTGAATATAAAATTCTAATAAATTTATAAATGGTGTTTAGAATTGGTGATAAACATATAATAGATAATCAATAAAAATTGTTGAATTCTAAGTAAATATGATTCATATATTTAAATGATATAATTCATAAAGATATCAAACAGATAAAATAGTTAAGGATTTTCAATAATTTTCTATTTATAAAAATAGGATAAATCTGTAGAATAATATTGATTTTAGATATAAAGAATATATATTTTTATAAAGCTAAGTAATTTAGCTGATATTTTGTATTAAATACTCAAAAGATTGAATAAAAATAGTTGAAAATTTTATTTTCATATACTAACCTTATAAAAAATTAAATTCTGTTTCTATCAAGAACTAGACAAAAACAATAATTAATTGGTAACTTATTGACCCATAAAAATCTACTATTGAAATAGAGTATTGGATGTATTTTACTAAATTAACTACCCTTGTTGTATTGGACTGTAAATCACAGCTACAGGAGTTTAATATAACTAATATTGAGGATCTAAAGATAAATTTAAATAGATTACAAGAGAAATTTCCAAGTAACATAGGACATGGAATTTAAATATATGGATTAATTTGAATAGGCAATTAAGACTACATCTCTTGAATATCATTATTTATTTAGTTATAATTTTCCTTATTTTGTTGATTATCTCTAAATTGTTTTTCTTCTATCTATTTTTAGACTTAATCAATTTTAGATTGTTAATCTTTATTATTAATGGGGATCTTTTAAGGAATTGAATAATATGGATTCTTTATCTTCAAATATTTTTATCTCAAATATGAGTAAAAACGATTTTTTATCATATTTTCCTAAATTATTAGAATTATATAATTACAGGTCTACCGATCAAAAGGTCTTAGATTTTAGTCCACTTTGATCCTATTTCTTGATAAGCTTTGAGTATGATATGATCTTCTTCTTCAGTAAATGGTTCAAACTTTATTTATGGATTAAGTTTATTAATAAACCTTTCACGAATTTATTTACTCGTTTTTTCAGGAAGGAATTTAGCTATTTTACCCCAATTTCTTCTATATTTTGAGACTAATTACAAAATAAGTTGATCTTCTTCTTTAGTGAATGGTTTTCTTTTTTTTAACTAGAATTAATAAATGAATTTTACATCTTATGGCTTAATTCTTTTCCATCTCTAAGCACATTATGAAGGATTTCGATTACACATTGATGCTGCAATTTGAACCCAATTAGGTCCATACAATTTTAAGGATTTCTCCAATTAATGATCTTCTTGAGTACTCCAAGGCTTTCTGATTTTCTTATTTTCATAAATCTTATTTCTTTTCCTTATACTTTTTTGTTTTATAGATATAGTATCTGTTACATCCAAAACTAGTTTATTTGATTAGCTTTCTTGTTTCTATATATTCTTAAGATATATCTTTCTTCCTTTTCTTTATAGAGATTAATTTGGTCTTATTATCTCATGTTCATCAATACTTTCTTATGAGAAGAGAGATTATACATCTTCAGACACTTCCATTTCTAGATAATAATAATAAATAAGAGAACTGTTGTTAATTTAAACTAAAATATTAATGATGTTATGTCGTTGAGTATTATAGTATTATAAATAAAAAAGGAACAAATCAAAATATGATGCTTATATTCCTTTCTTGAATTATTAAATAATTATCATATTGTTGTCAGATTTCATAGCAATAACAACCATATTGTTATTTCTTATTATATTTTTAATATTACAAAAACAATCAATTTCTTTCTTCATATTAATATATTCTGATATATTTTAAGATTCTATTATGAGTTTTATTGTGAATGTTGAGAGTTGTATAACAATTAATAAAAATAATGAAAAATGTAAATTAGAATAATAATTAGGATTATACTTTATATTAATATAATTCATTCATTTATATGAATATCATTCAGCTGATAACATCAATAAGTCTTAGACTACATTATCAAATAGAGGATGAGTCAATTCTGATAATTTGGCTTCAATTTCTTTAAGAGTTAATTCTTCGTAATACTTTTTACTTCTACAAATCATCAAACCACTAAGTTCTACATAAGCTGGTTTCATTCCATGTTCATGAATGAAATCAAATTAGTTTCTCTATCTTAGTGTAATAATATAATACTCTTGGAAATATGTATGCTAATTATGGACTAACAAACATGATATTATGGGGTATTTCAAGTGCCAATAATGTATCAATTGCTAATGATAACAATTCTATGATGTTTTCTCCATTCACTACTAAGGTTCTTATTGGATAATTTTCAACTTCTCCAAGAGTTGAATTTTTTATAGTGGCTAAAGGTTTAATGGGAAATTCTTCAATTGGGAATCTATTATTATCAAAAAGTTGATCCACATAAATAATATGTAAATGTAAATGATTGATAGAACAATTAGCTAATTTACTATGTAAATATATTAGAAATTTTAAGTACCTATTATATCCTATTCTTAGATGTGGAGATTATGATATTTTAAAGAGTATGAAAACACTTTCAGCTATAAATCCGCTTAGAAGTTATTGAAATTTGGAATTCAAAAATGGAACAACAATTGAATGATATGAACATATTGGAGCTGTATTAACGAGTATTGGATTGTCATTATTTTCATTTATATTATTTTCGTCATCGACAATTTCTCCTGTAGAAAAATCTACTCGAAACAGGATTTCTCCTTATTCCACATTAAGAAAGTTAATGTCATTCTCATTGAATTCTCCAATCAATTCTGTTTCAGGATCTCTAATTTGTGTAGGCACTTTATTTTCAATCTCTAATTGAATAAAGAAAGATTACTAATTGTAAATTAAAATAAGCTTTGAATGGTTAGATAGATTTTGTATGAATGAATTTTAAAGTGGATCGAAATAGAGCTCTTTATTTTTCATATTTATCACTCCATTTTTATTTTAATATATCCTCTAAAGAAGGCTTTTGGATCATATTATAATATCAAATTTATTGTATATAATACACAAAAATAATCATTAGATAAATTTGCTAATAAATTATTCAAAATCAGCATCTTAAATGGAACATTATTAATGATAAATGATTTTCTAAGTTTCTGTTAAAAAAATGATGGTCGTCAAATGAATAAATAAATCCCTAGAAAGAAATGGAAAGAAGTTGAAGATGAATTATTATTAAAAGCCATTAAAAAATATGGAAATTAATGGAGTAAAATATAAGAAGAAGTTCCAACCAAAGATTCTAAATAATGTTAAGCTAGATGGAAGATCCTTAAAAATGTAATATTGTGATATTTAATTAATTTAGAAAGAAGAAATTTTAGATAGATTGGATGCTATGGGTGATTATTCAGATATGGATAATCCTAATCATAAATAAAAAAAGGCCAATAAAAAACATAGAGATATACCTCGTAAATATAATCCACATTTTCATTACAATGAAGAATCTTCTAGTGAATCAATGCATCTATAATAATTCCAATAAGCTTTGATTAAATAGCCATATTAATTGTCATTACTTTAATAACAATAAAAAAGAGAGTAAATTCAGAAGTAGGCCTAAACTTAATATTAGAATGTTTGGAATGCTATGGATGACAAAATGTTATGGGCAGCCTTTAAAATATACAAAGGAGTTTGGAATCAAATCACATCTAGATTTCAAGAAAAAAATCCTTAAAGTTGTATGGAGAGATATTAATATGTTAGTTTTTTATCTAATTATTATAGTTACTACAACAAAAGAAAATGAAATTGTAAGAAGATGGATCATCTGTAGATATTATTTCATCTTTGGCTGAAGATAGTTCCATATTGGGTTCAGAATAATTTGATATTTCTATAAGTGAATGTGGAGATTCTACTGATTAGTAATAACAAACTGAGTATAAGACTAATTCTATTGGAATTTATACTGTTTAATAATGTCATACAAATATTGAAAGAATTCTTAAATCATTTTCCAATCACAATTTAGATACATTACCTGGTATACGTGAGTCAATAGTTAAACTCATAATAACAGATTGATTTATTATTTATTGTTATATTTTATATTTATATCTCATCTGAAATACATTAAACTTCTGGCCTTTAATCCTTCAACTTCTGAAACATCCTCTTCTTATTTAACCCAATAATCAATAAATAATTATTTTTAAGCAGCATTATTAACATCAACTTTTATGAATTCATGATAATCATAAGCAACATGATCTTTCTAAATTTTATATTAATACAATAAATACCCATTCTTTTGGAACTTCATTTCCTCTCCAAAGCCATGCTCCTCTTAATTAGAGATTGGGTTCATCACCATAAACTCCATGAATAGCAAATGCATATTTTCTGAAATTTTGATCTAATCTTTAGTTTATGAATCCCTTCATTAAATTATTAGTGAGAATTAATTACTTACCTTCATTTTCTGATTTATTATATTTGATTAACCATAAAGACCATCCATTCAAATCAATAGTGGCAAATAGAGTATCTATATTCTTTTAAATATCTTTTTCTGCAAAGAAGATTCTCTTATAATCATCAATATTGAAGGTTGAAGGTGGTAATAAATCAAGAGGATTTGCTTCTTTCTTTTTTGGTGCATCATCTTCTTCTTCTTATTTAGGTTATTATTTAGGTTATTCTTTCTATTTTGGTTATTCTTTTTATTTAGGTTATTCTTTTTATTCTTTTTATTTAGGTTATTCTTTTTATTTTGGTTATTCTTATTTATTCTCTTTCTTTTCCTTTTTATCTTTATCCTCAGTTACATCACTCTATTAAAAGGCAGTCTTTGGGAATCTTGATCTACCAAATTCCTTTGATATTTATTAATATAATTACTTCTCTCCATTAAGGTAATGAATCAATTTCGTTCAACCATTTTAATAAGTGTTGATATTTATTTCTCTATGATTCTCCAAACAAAAGTGTGAATGCAAATGTAATAACTTATGCTAAAGCAATATCAGCAATTGTCAATGAATCTCCAGATATATATTTAGATTTGCTTAATTGATTATCCACAATAGTTAATGTATGACTAATTTAATTTAAAGATGTCTTATATTATGTAGACATTATTGGAATATGTCCTAGAACTTATAGAGCAGATGTCACAACATCTGTTTCTAATTCATTTATTGTTACATCTAACCATTAATCAACTAAACCTTATTAATAGAGTGTTTTTCTATGTTTAATTATTAAAATACCCATATAATCCTTATGAATGTCTTGCAATATATCTAAGAATAGCATTGCTTTCAAAAATATTGCCTTCTTATGTTTCTAAGACTGGCACTTTTCCAAATGGAAATTTGTTTTATAAATCTTAGAAATTCTTCTAAAGTATTTATGTATCAATCAATTCCAATTGGAGATTAGCCAATTTAGCTGCTACTAATATTTTATGTGTTCTTCCTTAACCAGATGGTGAATGTAATTTTATAGACATGAATTAAAGATTTAATTTAATTTTACTTTTTTTAAACATCACACTCATTGTTATTTTTTATTAAAATACAATCAATTCTTCCCCCAAAATTTACCAAACACTCCTCTATATGTTGATTTCAATGCTTTTTGCTAATCAAACTTAACATTTATTTTTACATCATGTTAATAATAATAATGAATTATTGCCAATATCATTGCAAAAACTAAAACATCTCCTTTTGGAATATTTATCATCCAACCCTTCCTCTTTAATAGATTAAGGATTGTTTCAAAAAAACGAGGCACAATACTCAACATTATTTCTTAAACTCTTTTAACTCTATAAACAATCTTACCTTGTTTTTGATTCTAATAATAAAGAGAAAGCCCCTATAAAACCTCCTGTTAATGGAATCCATGGGTCAACAGTATTTCGAAATCTTACTTGTTTGCACCAATTGTATCTCATTGATTAAACCATTAAAGTTAAAAACAACACACTCTTAATATATGATAACAACGATCTTGCTGTTGTACTAATTGGACTTAATTTTTAGAAATACAATCATACTTTTTTAAAAAAGCTTTTCTTTTATATATTAGGAATGGTAACAAATGAACAGGAAGATAGACTTTAGCGTTCTTAGTAAATAAGAGCGGAAGCCTCTTTATAATAAGTAATATACATATGAAGCAGTTGGGATTCACAAGTATATCCTGGATGGAAAAACTCACATTTATATGGTTATCCTCATTCTAAAAACAAGTTTATCTTACCTTAGATGTAATTAAGTTGTTCCTCTACAGGAAAAGAGTAAATATCATTCATATTTGAATACAATTAATTTAATCATGATGATTAATTTTTTGATTAAAGAGTTGATAATACATCATTAAAGTGATTTATTTTTTGCAAATAATCTCAAAAAATTAGACATTTATATAAAAATTCTTATTTTAGTATAAATTCTTACATTTTTTATAATAATATCATTAATTATGTTTAGTTCAAATCATTAAGTACCACAACAAGTGTCAGATTGTTTTTTAATTTGTATACTTTGTTCAAAATTTGATTGTATTATTGGTTAATATGAACTTTTATGTTCAGAATTTGGATAATCTTAATGATTTGAAGACTTTTCATCTTCAATACATTACTATTTGTACTCATAAATTTCTAGTTTGAATTTGAATAATAACTTCTAATTAATTGTTCAAATGATTCCTTAACATTGGTTCCTTCCTTTGCTGATGTCTCATAATAAATCATGTTGTATTTTGAACATATTTATTTCACTTCATTAACAGCTACACATCTATTTGAGAAGTTCTCTTGAATCAAATCCAATTTGTTACCAACTAACATAATAACTATACTGTCCTCTGTGTATTAAATAATCTCTATTAAAAATTAGAGCAATACTTCTTGACGCCAATTTAGTACATTATCAAAGGAATTCTTATCACTTAAATCATAAAACAATAATGCTCCTTCTGATTTTCGATAATGTGCTGTAGTAATGGCTTTATATTTTTCAGCCCCAGCTGTATCCCAAATTACCGATTTCACTATTTTCCCCTCTTCTGGTAATAAAATTGATTATGCTGCATATTCTACACCAATTGTTGGTTGAGATTGTTTTTTGATAACATTTTTGGTTAATCTAAATTTGATTTGATTTATTACCTAATCAAATAGCTTGTTTTACCAACACTTGAATCTCCTACCAAGATTACTATCTTCTAAAATGTATTAATTACTTTTGTATAATTCATCATATGGTTTGATAGGTTCATCCATTTATAATAATATTTTATAAGAAATTATAAAATTGAGTAAGTCTCTCATTCTATAGATTAATCAATTTAATAAACTAAATTTATCCATCATTTCTATGAATTCATTATAGTCGATTTCTCCATCTCCATTCTTATCTGCCTCTCTTATCATATCATCCCAATACTTTTCATCAATTATATTATCACTTTCTAAAAATAAATAAAAAATAGCATATTACTTCCTAATACAGTTTATAATTCATGTTTATCAATCTTCCCACTTCCATCTAAATCCAACATCTTGAAGGCTTAATACAATTTCTCTTCTTTCATGTATAGAGACTTCTCCATAGTGGCAGCCAAGAATTCTGAAAATACTTGAATCAATACCTGTATAATTGATTGTTCCATTTCCATCAGTATCAATACTCTTTATGATATTTCCTAAGTCTTTTGCTTATGTATCACTCATTCCTGTTAACCCTTCTCTTAATTCCTCAATAGTTAAAACTCCATCTCCATTCTTATCCAATTATTTGAATAACCTTAATCTTAGATATAAATTAATACTTTCCTAGATCTGTGATTTCCTATTCATTCAATTAAGAAGCAATAAATGTCAACGCTACTTTCTTCAGTTTGTTACTACCGGTAAAATTTTTCAGTTGACCAAAATTTAATTTCAATTCTAGAATGAAAATTTAGGAATTGTACATTTAGTTTATTTACTGCCATCTTTCATCCATTTGTGTTATATAACCTATGATGCTTTATATCTCTTTTCAGGAGTAGTAATCATATGAGAGATTAAATCTTTTGCTGATTCACTTACAGCTTTCATCTCTGGGATTTAAAGTGTATATTCTCCTTTTTGAACTGCATCTAAAATTTCAGGATCGCTATCCCCATAGAATGGTGGTACTCCAGATAAGAGTATATATAGAATGACACCTGCACTCCAAATATCACAAGATTCATCATAACTTCCTTTTAATACTTCTGGAGAAATATAATATGGGGTTCCAGCTTTAGTTTTCATAGTAACTTTTTAATTTCCTGTTTATTTGGCTGAGATTGGATCTTCAAATAAAGTGCTTAATCCAAAATCAATAACTTTAATTGGAGAATCTTCTGCTTTAGTTAAGAATAAAAAGTTTTCAGGTTTTAAATCTCTATGACAAATTCCGTTAGAGTGACAATAATTCAATGCCTCAGTAATTAATATATACTATATACTTGCATAATTTAAAGAAAGATTTCATGTGCTTCTGCTTCACTAAAACATCCTTTATCCATAATTCGATCAAAAAGTTCTCCACCATCACAAAGTCTTTAATAATTTTATGATATCGATACTCCATAACAAGATAAACGTTTCTTTAATCTTCAAAGGTTTCATATAATTTGATGATATTTGGATGATCTAATTGTCTAAGTATATCAATTTCTTTTTTGAATCGATCAGGGTTCTTAACTTTGCTTTTAGGAATGACTTTGACAGCCCTTTGATTTTTAGTGCCTTTGAGGTTGGCTTTGACAACACTTCCATAAGTACCAGATCCAATCACTTTTTTTAGATTGATATCATAATATTATTCAATTTTGCCCTCTTGACTCATAATGAACCATTGTTTCTTCAAAAATACATCTTGATTCATACTTCTTTTTTTTAATTTTTTATTATATTGATTTTAAGCTAAAATGCCTAAATATATATCTATTTTTATATCATTCTTCATTTTTAGGATCATCATGTTTTTTATAATATTCATTGACTTGATGATCTTGTTTATTTTCTAATTCTAATGGACCAATGTCATCAATGAAAGCTTCTTCATTTTAGATAATTTATGCAACTAATTTTATAGAATAATAAATACCTTATTCTGGTTTAGTTTAAGGATCAGAAATAATTTCTTCAATTTATTCATCAATCAATTCTTACTCCTCTGAACTTTTTTTATGTCTAATAACTAAATAAATAAAAATACTTTGATTAAAAATATTCTATTTTTGGTTCTTCTTATTAAATTTATTACTACATTTCTTCTAATTATTATAATCGTCCTTCTTCATTACAATCATAAAATTTCTCTTATTCTTATTCTTAATCTTAATCCTATTCTTAATCTAATTCTAAATCCTAATCTTTATCATAATCATCATTTTCATTTTCTTTATTATTATCATCTTCAGGAATATCTTCTTCTTCTACTTCTATATCTTCTTCTTTATCATCATTTCCTTTTTGAGGTTAAAATGTTGTTGAATCCTAGACACATTAAAACATTTATCTTGGTTTTGGATCAACATCACATAATAATTATTTTTCTACTGAATTAATTTTAAAAAGTGTATCATTAACATATTGATCCCAAATTTCATTAGTAAAATGATTGTCTACTAATAAATTAGATATTTTTGTTAATATTCCTTAATATCCTGGTGTAATATTGTTTTAAAGAGATCCAACTTTTTTTTTTTCATTTTTATTGTATTTAATTATGGTTGATGCTAAGAATTCTTAGATTGATTTGAACATCTAAGGAAGTTTCTAAAATATAATATTAACTATTTTATCAAACCAAATTAAAGCTTAATTATTGAATTCATGTGATAATATTAAATTTGTAATTACTTAAAATGATTGATTATTTATGAGTTCATTCAATATCTCTTCTTTTTCACTAAGTAATAATAAATAAAATATTTATAGTAATATAAGTTTGTTAGAAGAGAAAGGAGTTATTATTTAACCATAAGTAGTTTGATGAGGTATAGCATATAAATTAACAGTTGTAAATGCATTTGGGAGATGTTTAGCTACATCCATAAAGTAAAGAAAGTAATCTGTTTTACCTGAATTATTAATATATTACAATAGATTGGATACTAATTCATATGCTGCAGTTCTCTAACTTTAATACTAAAATCATTAGTATATTATATATACACAGATAGTGAGAAAGAAATAGGGATTCAATAATATTTTGATTAACTCTTCCTAATCTGGATTGATTTAACTCTTTAAGAGATTATTGATAATTAACAAACAATTATCGAAAACCTAATTATTTAATTAGAATAAATACTTCAGTTTCATAATAACGATTTAAGGAGATCTTCATAACTCTTTATAAAATAGATTTCTGTTTTTCAAGTAATTGATTTTCATCATTAGGATCTGGAATAATCACTTTTTCAATTATTTCAGCTATATGTAGAATGTCAATATGTTTAAGTAAATTTGAGATATCTCTTTCATTTAAATATTATAACACCTAATGTTATATATATATATATATTACTTTGAAATGTTTCTTCTTTAATAAAGTGAGGATGACTTTAGAGAAATAACCTGCTTATGTTATGTTGAGGATATCCTCATTTAGAAGTGAAAATAATCTATTTAAATAATTAAGATTTTGTTCTTCAAAAAGGAAATCTTAAAAGAAATCATTCTCCTTACTCAAAATCTCACTTGCTAAAAAAGGATATCTAGTTTGTTCTTGAAATAGACTTATACTTATATTATTATCTCGAATGGTTAGCCTCATCTCCAAAATCGGTAATATACTCGATGAGGGTCTCCAGATGCTCAGGGTGATCTTTGACGCTATGAATCATGCCCATGATTACTAATTAAGCAATTTGTATTGTTATTAGGGCATCAATAGATCTTACAATAGCAACGATTCATCCAATATTAATTTGATGTCCTTCTTTTCTTCAATGAATTCATCCATTCGCGAATTCATAAAGTTAAACATTCTGAAAATCATGATTAAATTAAATTAATATTTTTAATATAAAATTAATCTCTCACAATTCTCCTAACAACAACAATACATCTAATGAAACAAAACATTCTAAAGCCTCATAATTAACAAATCCCAAATTTGTAAATAATCTATTTATAATATATTTATTATACTTAGCAGTCTCTTTATTTCTAGATTCAGATCGTTACCAAAATTCTCTACTATCAGACCCTGGGAACATAGGTCTATCCTTTTAACTTTGATGTTTGAATATTGCTATCCTTTTCTCATACAACTCATCAGGTGATAATGGTACTGCCATTGTTACTTTATCTAATTCCCATTCTTACCAAGCACCTCTATATAAAAGAGTATTCAAATTAGGTAATTATTCTTTTACTTATGGTAAAACTGCCAAAATTGATTCCAAACATACTCTATGAGTTCCATGAGGATCAGTTAAATCTCCAGCAGCATAAATTTAATCAGGTTGAATCTTCAATATTATATCTTTCACTATTTTCTTATCTTCATCACCAAGTGGTTTCTTTGTTGATTTACCTGTCTCATAAAATGGTAAATCTAAAAAATGAATATTTTGTTCTTCAACTCCTGTACATAATGCAGCACTTCTTGCTTCAGTTCTTCTAATAACTGTTTTTATATATGCCAAATCTGGACCATCTACTTCTCCAAGTTTCTTTTCTTTAATCTATTTCTTCACTTTTTCATAAAATTCTTCTCCATTTCCACCTATCATTTTTTAAGTCTCCTTCAAAACATCTGCAAATCTCAAAGCATCAAAATCAAACACTGCCAAATTACCACTCACCATATATACTACATGAACTTCATGACCTTAATTTGTTAATTTCTTCATTGTTCCACCCATACATATTACATCATCATCTGGATGTGGTGAAAATATTATTATTTTCTATTTACTAATTGCCTTCTTTTAAGTAAAATATGATTCTGGCAATTTATCAGGTCTTCCTCCTGCTGGCCATCCAGTTATTCTAAATTTTATATTCATTTATATACATCTAAGACAACTCTCTAAATACTGTCAAATTCACTATCCCACAATTTCCTTATCCAATCTATGTAATTAATTCCAATAATCCATTATCTTCATAATCCTCTTATTATAATCTCAATATTGGCTTTCCTACTTTCTAACTCAACCATATCACACCCTTCTTTGCTGTACTCAAATCATACTTTATTTATAATTCACCCTTTAATCCTTAAGCTTCCAATAACCAAGGTGCTTAAAATCTTGTTAATCCTTATGCTGATGCTCTTTCCAATACAAACAATGTATTTTTATGATTCTATAAAAATGTTGCAGGATATTATGATGAAATTGCACCTTCAATAACAGTTGATGCTATTTTTTATTTTCCTTCTGTAAATGCAGCTATTATAATCTTTTTTGCTTATAAAATAGTTCCTATTCCCATTGTTATTGCATATTTAGGAACATTTTCAATTCCATAAAATGATGATGAAGCATCTGCTCTTGTTTTTCTATCCAAAGTAATCAATCTAGTTTTGCTATTTATTGAAGATCCTGGTTCATTAAATCCAATATGTCCTAAAATTTATTATCAAATTATTTACCAGTACTACCAATACCTAAAAGTTAAAAGTCCAATCCACCTTTTTCTAATATCAAATTTTCATAGTATTAACAAAAGTCTTCAATCTACTCTTTTATTAAGGTTCCATCTGGAATATGAATATTCTCTTTCTTAATATCAACATGATTAAATAGATTTTCATGCATGAAATGATAATATGAATGAAGAGATTCCTAATAATTAAAAATACAACAAGTACCTTAGGAATTGGAAAATATTCATCTAAATTGAATGTTATCACATTCTAAAATGATAATCCTTCTTCCTTATGTAATCTAATTAGCTCCTTATAAACTTATATTGGAGTTGATCCAGTAGCTAAACCCAAAACACAAGGTAGCTACTAAGCCTATTTCTACTTGATAATTTGACCTATTTCTCCAGCAATCCACACAGAAGCACATCTTGAGTTATTGAATACCTTCACTGGGATTTTTTCCTAATATTAAGTGTTTATATAGTACGTAAGGATTTGTGGTGTTATTCATAAGAAATTAAAAATTTTAATTTATTATTTCTCATATAAATTCTTTAATAATCTGAGATTTGTTACTCATATTTAAATTGAATTTATATTTCAATCATTATTGTATTAACTATATATTTTATTTAATAAAAATTCATATTCTCTTTTTTACATAATCACTTATATTAAGACAAAGAGGAATTACTTAGATTTTATACAAAAAAATAATTAAAAAAGATTTATATTATTTTTTTTATTATTGAATTTCAACTTTCTATTTTTCAAAATTGAAAAACATTAGAATTAAGATGATATTTATGTTTATAAGAAAAGAATTATCATTATAAATGAGCAAATATTTTTCAAAATTCTTAGTCCCAATCGACAATGACAGTGCAAATCATATCAGGACTTGTATCTCTTTTAATCATATCTAGGAAAGGTATTTCCTCATATTTAGATTATTAGAGTTTAGGAATATGTGGAGGTTTAATTTCCATCATCTCTAAGTCTTCCTTGAAAATTATAAGGATGAATAATTTACCCATTAAAATCCATCAAACCATGAATGAACTTTGAGAGCATCAAAAGATCCCCCTAATCTTAATTCTGGAGTTCTATTCATCAATTAATCCATCAATTTAATAGCTTTAAAATCTTTCAAAAATTAAGGATACTCTACTCTCCCATTTAGAATAGCTTCTTAAATTATATATCTAAATATATAATGAATAAATACGGGTCATCATCTTCATTACCAGCAAAGGGAACTTCTCCACACATTAATTCAAAAAAACAGATTCCCAAAGACCACAAATCAGTAGAGAAGGTGTAACCTTTACCTTTCAAAATTTCAGGAGACATATAATGAGGTGTTCCAACAATAGTATATGTCTTAGAAGCTCTAGATTTTAAGACTTTGGCAGTACCCATATCTATAAGTTTTAAATAACCATTTTCCATGACAATAAAATTTTCAGGCTTAACATCTCTATATATGATATGATATGAATGAAGTTTCTCTAAAATATTAATCATCTAAGCAATATAGAATTGAGTTTCATAAGAATTTAAAAGACCTAGATCTCTTATAACATGAAATAATTCTTTTCCTTTGACATATTCTGTTAATAAATAAATATAATTTTAATCTTTAAATGATCTATGAAAACAGACTAAACTTGGATGATTCAATAAATCCAAAGCTTATTTCTCATTCTTTATATGTCTTTCAGTATTATTTGCAATTATATTAACTTTTGGGACACATTTCATAACATGTAAATTTTATTATGGGATATCTTTAACCAAATAAGCATTTCCAAAAGTGCCTTCTCCTAAAAGTTATAATCCAATAAAATCTTCTAAAGTAAGCAGAGAATAATTGCTTTTTTATCTTTTTTCCAATAAACTTGAAGATCCAGCTCTGTCTTTATTTTTTTTAACAACAGTTTCTAATTCTCCTCCAATACATTCAAAGAACTATTTAAAAGGAAGTTCTGATAAGGTTGTTTTACGAGTTGTTACAATATCTGAACTAATTTTTCTTTTAGATTCTTCAACTTGAAGGAATGTATCACCAAATAATTGACCATTATTATAAAGTTGTCCATCAAATTCTAATTAACCATCAAGAATAATAATTAATTTATCAATCATTTAATTTTTCGAGAATAAATATTCTTTACTTTCATATGTCTTAATTTTAAAATTAGATACTATTTTTTATATTTACATTTTAGTAAGATCTCTTAATTAAGGATGTTTTTCAAATGCCCATTTCTGCATATTTGTATAAATGATTAACTATGCAACTAAATAAATACAATTATTGTACCTGAATCTTCTCACCCAATATAGTAGTAATATCTTCTCTACTTAATGATAATAAATTCACATCTTCATCATTAGCTTTTACAGTTGCTCCTCTTACACAATTACCAAATAAAGCCTATTCTCCAAAAGAATCTCCTTAATTCATGTATCTTAAAAATTATCCCTATTTTGTAACTGAAACAATTCCTTTTTATATAATATAGAATGAATTTGCCATATCTCCTTCATTAACAATTATTTCACCTTATTTAAATTTCAATGTAATTAAAACATTTGCTATACTATCTCTCTATTCCTCAGTCATAAAATCTAAAACACTAAATAATCAACACAATACCAAAAAATTTAACTTAATCCAAGAATTTTCTATTTGTTTCATAGGCTTTTTATTAAATATCTTCAACTGCCTTTCTAAATTTCTTTCTTTCCAATACCCAAAATCCACAATCTCCTATTGCTTATACTGATGCAGATCGTGGTGCATGATACATTAAAGCCAATTCACCAAAAAATGCTGGTGTTTTTAATACTCTTTTAACTTCTTCATTTATGATAATTTTACAATCTCCTCTTTCTTATTTAATAATGATGAAAATCTACCAATTATAAAAAATAATGTTGCTTTATCACCTTATTTAAAAATGTAATCTGCATTTTTAGCTGTAACATAATACATTTCATCAATTAGTTTAGCTCTACTTTTAATACTTTTCTTTACTTATCATCATTATCAAGTTAAGCAAACATAAAGTGGTTACCAAAGGCATTCAAAATCATTTAAAAATCAAAAGGTGATTTTTCTTTTGCCTATTTAACCACATTCTCATGTATTTACTCTTCTATTACTTCTATTTTAGCTTAACGTTTCTTATCCCCTCTTCTTGGCTTTATGATAGAGTTTCATAACCATACTTCAGCAGGTAAACTACTCATTGAGTAATTTCCCTTTTAAGTTTATACTGTAGGCATGGGATCAATGTTGATTTCAGGTTGAGGTTATGGAACTTTACTTATACAAACTCCCATTTTATAAATAATTATTAAATACGCATTCTAATTTTAAATAAAATATTATTTTCATATTTAAAGAAAGATATTCAATCATCTATTAATATTGTATGTATATAAATATTAAAGATTCTCATATATCACTCCAAACATAAAATATCTATATATCATCAATTATAATAATTATTTTATAAAGCATTTCATTAATTTTAACTTATATTATAAAATATTGAAAAGATTCTTAGTTTCTTATCAATCAACATCCTAAAATACATATATCACTCTAATTAACTTAATATTTATCAATTAATTAAATTTCTACACTATCAACACTTTCTAATAATTCAAACTAAATTGAATTAACAATACGCTTTTATTAAATTTTTTCAATCTCTAATCTTAACCTAAACAATTGATATCCTTATTTATATTCATCATCATTTTCTTAATCAATTCTGGAGTTTTATATTGTTTTTCACTTTCTTGAATATTTTGGAAGCAATTATAAAAATATTTTACTACAATTAATTGAGTCCTTAATTTATTATTTAATTAATAAATAATCATAATAAAATTTGTTCCAAAAAGTTTGAGACTCCTAAAATTTTAAGCACTTTCCTAAAGTTAATTAATTATAAATTACATTATCTATCAATCCAATTCTGAAACTTATTTATTTTCTACTTTTCTATTTTTTACGTATTTTTATTTGATTAATTATGAAATTTATTCTTTAATATCTGAATCAGTGGAACTCTATTATATCGATCAAGTTATTATTATAATTATAATCTCAATTTTATATTAGATGTTTAACATATACTGGTAAGGATTAAATTTTAAATGATAATCGCATAGATATTATTCTATTAAAATTTCAAAATATAATTTTTACCTTTCTTCTCTAATTCTCATATGTCATGATTAAGTTGTTTTAATATTTTGATAAAATAACAAGTGTTTCAGTTAAAATAATTAAAAACTCATCATTTGTAAACTAAAAAATGAATAAATATCTCTAAATGATAAAAAAATTTATATGAAATATTCCATATGGTTTTAGTAAAGGCTAAAATTAATATAATTAAAGTTCAATTGATTACTTAGAATGTATAATTGAAGTAAAGAAAAAAAGGTTAAAATTAATAAATGTAAATTAGTAAGAAATATAATTTTGATGGTATTATAGAAATGAATTTGATTATGACAAATATTTAATTTTATAAAAATTATACAGAATTATCTTAATTTATATTATGTTTCAGACACTATTAAGAACAATAAGGAGTTTAAAAATGAGAAATTAAATTATATTAGCTAACATAATATTTCTAATTATTGTCATTTCATTACCAATATCAGCATTTTATGCTTAATCAAAAATATTTTCATATATCTCAACTCACTCAACTGAACTATTACAAGTAAAGTAAGATAAAACTCAACTTATATCTATTGGAAAGATGTTAATGAGAAGAGTGGCTTTATAACATATATAAGGTATATATAAATATATTGTAAATATTAAGTGATAAACAATTTGGCTTCTATTTCAAATTCTTACAATTATTTTGAATACAATAACATTACTATAGAATTAGAATCTCCTTTAGCTCCATGTGTTCCAATTTCATATTTAATAGGAGATAACTATTTCATCAATTATGAATCTTATTGCTATTAAGCAAATGGAATAAATGATTCAATTACTTTACCAAAAAATGACACTAGAATTCAATCAATTCATTCCACAATAACTTTATTAAGTGGATACTCAATGATTTTTGGATTAGATATAGTAAGATTAAAACAATATTTTCATATTGGTGCTAATTCTAACATTTAATATTTGGCAACATATCCTGTAAGTTATCTAACTAAATCTTATAATGTACTAAAACGACCTTGGTAATAGTTAAATATCATTTAGGTATTAGAATCATGTTTAAGCTTTTGCTCAGAATCCAGATCTGAATATTACTTACACTCCTCCATTTAATCATTTTCTCTCTTAAACTTTAGAAGTTTCTATTTGTTATTCAATTAAATCATAAGCTAAGGAGCTCATTGCAGTTGCTAAAACCCAGATAAGATTTGACTCATACATGATTCCATAGATACCCTATAATTTATTATTATTAGATAAAACTGGTGTTATCTTATATAGTAATATAGATCAATAATTTAATGATTCATAGTCAATCTATGTATATGATTAGAGTATAACAGGTTTTAATAAAACTGATTGGTTAATAATATAGGAAAATTCTTTAAGAAACAATTAAACTCCACAAGTATTCTATCATAAGTTATCAAATCTATCTGTGTATCTTATTACTTTTTAACTTCCTAATCAAGAATATACTCTCATCATGTATTTTATAATATATAATTTTGAGATACTCAAATATTACTACTACAATAGAGATTTAAGAGAGATTAGATGAAAAAAATTAAGAATTAAATGTAATCTTTATGAAGATGATATTATTTCAATTCTCTTTTTCAATTTTTCTTATGTTCCTTGAGTTTATTGTAATAGTACAAATTTTCGCACCAATTTATAGACTTACAATGGAAATTAGACAACATACATTACGTGTAGGGAATAACATTAATAGAGAAATATTTAAGTTGATTAATACTCAACCAGTAGGTAATCAATTTTAAACACTTAAACATAAAATGCTAAATATAGAAAATTTAATTAATGGTAATTAAAATAATAAGAGTTAAATTTGTAAAATTTATGAATAAATTAAATACAATAAGAAAGAAAAGCCTTTCAGAATTAAATAATTAAGAAATGCAACACAAGATTTAAAAGATTCTTAGTACTAGCTTAAATAAAAAATAAAGAATATAATAAAACTTCTATTCATTAATGATGAAACTATAAATAATTGATTTGAATAAAAAACTTGTAAATTTTAATAAAAGTGATTAATTACTATTAAATGATGTTTCATTATAATCAAGATTCAAATTTTCTTTTTTGATATGGTCTTCTTTATTTAAATGCCACTCTTCTGTCTTATTCTGCTTTTTTTACAGAATTTTCATTTTCTAAATTAGTCTTAATGAATGATTCAACTGTTCCTTTCCTAATATTAAGATTTTATGCTGGCAATATCACAAATTTTTCTTAAGTCTTTAAATATAAAGGAAAGTGAGCAGTCTGATAAGGCATATCATAATCTTTTAAGTTGCTTCTTGCAGCATTAATTGTCTAAATTTATGTTTAAATTATTACATTTTAGAATTCTTTAAATTGATCTTTAAGTTATTTCCTTTATATCATAATTTTTTCATTAATTTTTGATGCCTCCTCCATACATTATTTAACAATTTCTTCATCTTCAGCTGTTCTCTAATTAAAGAATTATCTTTAATGAAGGGATTATCTATTAGAAATAGATTCTTGATGTGATATGTTATCTGATTTATTATCATCAGGATCCCTTAAATAATCAGATTCTTAAAAAGGAGGTTGACTTGATTTTTAACTGATGTATTCACTAGTGTAACCATCAACTATTTCAACATCTTAAACATCACTTTCTTCATCATTTTGACTAGACATAAGTAAATTATAAAAATTTCTATTTTATACTGTATATATAATTAAATAAATTAGATTATATAAATACATAGAAATAATAATATAATAATAATAAGTATTCATTATTTACCTTGTAATTAATTGATTAATCCTTAAATTTTATTATCTTTAATTTGTAAAAGTTATTCAAGTTTTTTAACTTTCAATTATAAAATTTCAACAGTTTCTTTTAACTCTGTAATTGCTTAATTCTTTTCAGCTAAAATCAATCTCAAATCTTGATTTTGTAGGGGATCCTCTTACACCTACTATTTTTGTTGCTATTAATATTACTATTGTTTTTATTATTCAATTGCTTTTTTCTCCAATTCTTTCTATTGTTCCAAATATTTTTCAATCTTAATTTATAAAAACTTTAACACTCTTTCAACAGCTTCAGGTGAACAAGCAATAACACTATCAATATCATTTTTAGATAATTGAAATCCAAGTTTCTTAAATACCTAAATATTATATTAAAAGTATACTTTCAAATTGAGAGTACTCCAATTATATTATTTTTATTAAATACTATGAGCTTGAGGATAATTATGTTTCTCAACTAATTTTGGCAGGTAATGATATACAACTTCTGCTACCATAGCTCCATCTGCAAAATCTCTTTGAATATTCTTTTTAGCTCTTGAGAGTGGTATTTTGTCTAACTGGAAATTAATATTCATTATTTACCCAAGCGTAAATATTTTATAATTCTAATTCAGAGAGTGGAGGTAAATCCATTAAGAAAGTACAACTTAAATATAAAATAATTTAAATAATCTCATAATAACATTACTTTTAAATTAATAATTGTATTCTCATTTTATCAATAATATATATATGATAAAGATCAAAAATGATGTTCTAATCTTTGGATAAAATAATTTGCAATTTTATAATTTTATTTTATAGCCATAATAAATGTTATTATTATCTTAGCGCCAATCAACCTAATTAGAAGAATTAGAAAATATGAAGGCATCTATATTAGGTTAATAGTCTTCTCGTTCAAGAAATCTTTCAAATGAAAGACCATAAACCTATTAGAGATAATTACAATTTTCTATAGACAATATAAGGTATAAAAACAATATTCAATCATATTCTGTTGAAAAACAAGTAAAAAGTAATGATTATTCTATTAGTTGAATTTAAGTACATAGAATTAAAAGGTTGAAAATTTAATTGCAACTTGGACTCATCAAAAAAATTCTTAATCTTTACATTCAAGTCCCAATGTAGTTATACCTAATAAGTTTATTACTGATCCCCGTTTGCCAGTTTAATTAGATAATCAAAATAAAGAATCCATCAAACCCCATATCATTATAGAGGAGGATGTATTGTTTACAGAAGAAACAGAGAATTAACCTTTTATTTAAAACAATAAAACTAAACAAATTAAGTCTCCTATCCATTTGATTGCTCCTACAAAGAGTTATAAAGAGTAATGTATTAAATTGTTAATGAAGAAAACCAAGAAATGACTAAATATAATAAGGGAAAGAAATTATATAATTAAAATTATCAAAGACCATAGACTACAAAAACAAATCCTAGTAATTAAACTAAATCATCACCTCTTGTGTTTAAAGAGTAGTCATTGTAGAATCCAATGAGAATATCGTAAATTGATCAAGCAAAATTGAATAATCAATAGAATGGATCAAATAGTTAAAATTGCAATAAAAATAAATAATATTCTTAAAAAATAGTCAAAAAGAATGGTATAATTATCCCTGATGAATCTCAATAAGATAATTAATTCATTCCAGAATTAGAAAGATTAAAAGAGTAGATTTTATCAACATACTTAAAATAAAATCGTGCTCTTATTGGATCTTAAAATTAAATTGTTAAGTATATCAGTGTAATAAAATTAGAAATTTTGATGAAATTCTATCAATATTAAAGCAGGATTTCCCCAAATGAAAATATATCTATATATAAAGTATTAAATATGAAGAATTATCATTTAAAAGTTTTGAGTTGATTTAAGAACCCATAATTAGGTTCTGCTCTTGGATGTCTTTCTTTTACAAAATTTAATGCTTTTTCTGAATCAATTGATAATTTTCTCATAATATAAGCTATAATAATGCTAACAGATCTGCTTTAACCACCATAACAATGAACTAAAATATTTTTGTTTTNTAAACCTATTAGAGATAATTACAATTTTCTATAGACAATATAAGGTATAAAAACAATATTCAATCATATTCTGTTGAAAAACAAGTAAAAAGTAATGATTATTCTATTAGTTGAATTTAAGTACATAGAATTAAAAGGTTGAAAATTTAATTGCAACTTGGACTCATCAAAAAAATTCTTAATCTTTACATTCAAGTCCCAATGTAGTTATACCTAATAAGTTTATTACTGATCCCCGTTTGCCAGTTTAATTAGATAATCAAAATAAAGAATCCATCAAACCCCATATCATTATAGAGGAGGATGTATTGTTTACAGAAGAAACAGAGAATTAACCTTTTATTTAAAACAATAAAACTAAACAAATTAAGTCTCCTATCCATTTGATTGCTCCTACAAAGAGTTATAAAGAGTAATGTATTAAATTGTTAATGAAGAAAACCAAGAAATGACTAAATATAATAAGGGAAAGAAATTATATAATTAAAATTATCAAAGACCATAGACTACAAAAACAAATCCTAGTAATTAAACTAAATCATCACCTCTTGTGTTTAAAGAGTAGTCATTGTAGAATCCAATGAGAATATCGTAAATTGATCAAGCAAAATTGAATAATCAATAGAATGGATCAAATAGTTAAAATTGCAATAAAAATAAATAATATTCTTAAAAAATAGTCAAAAAGAATGGTATAATTATCCCTGATGAATCTCAATAAGATAATTAATTCATTCCAGAATTAGAAAGATTAAAAGAGTAGATTTTATCAACATACTTAAAATAAAATCGTGCTCTTATTGGATCTTAAAATTAAATTGTTAAGTATATCAGTGTAATAAAATTAGAAATTTTGATGAAATTCTATCAATATTAAAGCAGGATTTCCCCAAATGAAAATATATCTATATATAAAGTATTAAATATGAAGAATTATCATTTAAAAGTTTTGAGTTGATTTAAGAACCCATAATTAGGTTCTGCTCTTGGATGTCTTTCTTTTACAAAATTTAATGCTTTTTCTGAATCAATTGATAATTTTCTCATAATATAAGCTATAATAATGCTAACAGATCTGCTTTAACCACCATAACAATGAACTAAAATATTTTTGTTTTATGCAATAACTTAATCTATATATTATATGCATTCCTCAAAATATTATGATATATCATTTTCTGGTTTATCTTCAATAAGGATGCATTTATATTAAAATTTTAATGGAAAGTATTTTTACAATTATCCAATAATAAGTATATTTGAAATCTTCTTCTTTTTAAGCCAATATAAGTCTTTGGCATAAACAATTGAGGATAAATAAACATGAGGTACTATTTCTGACATCCAGGAATTAAATGGAAAATAATATTATAGATATTTATAAAATAATTAATTATCAATAAAATACTATGCAAACTGCATCAATATTTAATGGAATATATGTAGTATAAAAAAAGATATCTTCTGGATCATTTGGAGTAGTACTCTTAGGACATGATAAGGAAAAAAATGTTGATGTGGCTATCAAAATAGAAAAAGAAGAGAATGAAGATGTACGTTCATTAGAGAGGGAAGTTTAAGTGTTAGAAAGATTGTAAGGAACTGATGGGATACCCAAATTATTATGGCATGGATAATAGGATGAATACAATGTAATCATTCTTTAGTTGTTGGGAAAGGATCTGTCTTATTATATGAAAACAAAGAAGAAGTTTTCTTTTAAAACAACCATATAATTGGGCATACAGATTGTTCATGTTTTAGAGAGGATACATAATAAAGGTGTTGTACATAGAGATTTGAAACCTGAAAATATTTTATTTGGAATTGAGGATGAATCATCTAAAATATATGTAGTCGATTTTGGGATCAGCAAAATATTTAGAGATGCCTAAGGAAATATATTGTAATTACTTTTATGTAATTAGATTAGACCTTTTAGAGATAATGCATCGTTTATAGGTACTACAAGGTATGCATCAATTGCTGCACATAAGGGTTATGAGTTAAGTAGAAAGGATGATATCGAATCATTAATATATGTGTTATTGTATTTCATGAAAGGGTAAAGGAATCTTGAATTATCAGAAGTCTAGGCAGCTTCCATGGCAAAATATGCAGAATGTCAGTGATGAAGAAAGAACTGTCAAAGTCGGTGAAATGAAAATGAATATAGACCCAAGAGAATTATGCAAAGATGTACCTATTGAATTTGCTAAAATTCTAGAGTAAGTTGATTATATTAAATTCTATAGATATTTGAAATAATTACAATATAATAGTGAACCTAATTATTGTTTTGTGTATCATTAATTTGAAAAGGCTGCTGAGAATTAAGGAATTCAATTAGATAATATATATGATTGGGATTAATAGTAATAAATGAAGATCTCTTAAAATAATGAGAATTTTGATAATTTTTAAAGATCAACTACTTAATAATAATTGTAGCCTCCCTAATCTACAGAAATGAAGAAATCTGTTGAGAAATAAGGATCCAATTTAATTAGATAGTAATTATAATTCTTTATCTGATAGATTAAGTAACAATCAATTTTTAATACCACCTTCATAATTGAAGAGACAAGATTCTTAATAGCCAAGTGTGGTTTCTGGAAGTGTGATGTTGAGTACTTATAACTCAATAAGGCCAAAATACTAACCTTCACAAATAGCTTTTGATATTAAAGTGTGTGGTGATGACAGTTGTCCATAAGATATTGCTTAAAATATGAAATAGACTGCTGAAACAGGCAATTAAAATGGTAGATAAAATTCTTGTGCAGAGACAGTTGGTTGGAAAGATTCAGTTTTTGAAGAAAATTTTGAAGAAATTCCACTCTCTAAAAAGTATAGTATGCTAAAATAGAAAGGAGTTGCAATGTATATAATTTTATTTTATATGTATAGTTAAAAAAAGAGAAAAACTAGTTAAAGTCCTAATCAATAAAGGAAAAAGAATTGAATTAAATTATATTTAGATATTAATTAATTATGATATCAAATATATATATATATATATATATATGTAAATATTTTCAGCAACAAATACTTCTCTGTTTCTTCTTAGGAATTTCTGTAATCTTTTCATTTTATCCTATTTTTCCAATTTTAATTCCATGATTTGGATCATTAGGATCAATTTTATTAGATTTTATATTCTCATATATATTCTTTGTCAAATATTCAAATATAAATTCCACATTTTCTCCAGTTTTGGCTGATGTCTCTTAGAATTCACATCCTAATTAAATTGATAATTGTCTTCCTTCATCATAACTAACTTTTCGATCTTTTAAATCACATTTGTTTCCTACCAACAAAAATTCAATTCTGTTATTAGTGTCTTATTTCACATCTTTAACCCATGATTAAATTCTATCAAATGTTATTCTCCTTGTGATATCATAAACTAAAAAACAACCAATTGATCTAAACATATTTATAGCCTTTAAATACCCTCTGTAATATGCTCTAGTTATAGAGCGAAAAGATTCTTAGCCTGCCTGAATATTATTATATTATACCGTATCCCAAAGTTATAACTTGATTAGTTTATTATCATAGATTATTTCTTTAGATCCATATTCAACTCCAATTGTAGCATCATACCCTACTTGGAATCTTCCTTCTGTGTATTATAATAATAAACAACTTTTTCCAACAGCTAACTTATTATACATACAACTACTTGATTCTCCTACAATAATGAACTTGAATAAATAATGATAATTATTCATTTTTATAATATCACTCAATTTCTAATCTTCTATAAAGCAGATAATAACCCATATGCCAATCTCCACCTCCTCTCAAATCTAAAATATGTTCAATTTTTCTCTCTGAAGTCTTTTCATCATCATACTATATCCAATTATCACCTGAATGATGAACCCATGCCATATAATGTCCAGAATCAGCCTCTCTTCCAGTATGAGCTATTAATTAAATAATTAATTACTTAAAACTCCAATTAATTCATAATTTCCTGTAACTAATCCAAATCCATGTTTTCTATACAACTAATCATCATGATTCTTAATTTCTTCTTATTATTTTTTAGCCTTAAATTATTTATAAATTTCTCTAGTATCATCTGGTACCATCTTTCCAGATGCTTCTAAATCTTTTTTGAATTATTCTAACTCATCTGTCTCTTTAGCAGCCATTTCCAAAAGTTTCTTTTTTTCATAATCTCTTCCTGTTTGTAATTATTCTTATAATTCAGGAGCACAAAAATCAAATAAATCTAAAATCTTTGGGAATGCAACATTTCTCAATATTTTAGCTTTCACTCCTTCCTTTCCTTAAACTCCTAATTTCCAATAAAATCTAACCATTTAACATAATAAATAACTTGGCTTTAATATAAATTATAAAGTCTTACTAATTTACTAATTCTTTGTGTTTTCTTATAAATATGAGTTTGTTGATCTGTCTCAGAAATCTTCTCCATTTATTCTTCCAAACTCACTGTAATACCTTCAACTAAAGTATTTACTGGTTTGCTTTGATTATCAATTATACACATTAACTTCTTACCCTTCTCTACACTAACCTTCTTTGGTTCATCTGGAATATCTTAATTCTCGATTGTTGCTTTCAATTCTATTTCAAATAAATCTGAAATTAAGTTTTTTTATAATCCCTCTTCATTCTCATAGTTAGTCAAAGGTTAAATAGTTTATAAAATATTTTAAAAGCATTCATCTGCATCTTATTATTTAAATGTCATATGATTATCCCTTTAAGCAAATTCTGGATACAACTAAAAGAAGATCTATACTTTATTAGAAAATGTATTACAGTCATAAAATTCAAAGGCTTAAATGGTTCACCTTTGAGTTCAAGTTTTTAGAAGACATCATTTAATGCATTAAATAACTTGACACTAAGTCCTTATCCTTACTTTGCATTATTCTTTACATATTCATTCAACTCATTGACTCTTCTCAAAATTTAAATTGAGGCATTCATATAACATGTATTTCCTTAATTGACTAATCCTATTGGTAGAACAATCTAATAAGATAGAGATTGTATATATACTCCTGCTCTCTATTTCAATAAAACAGCCTTCTATTCTGGTGTGAGATCTTCTTCAAATATTTTCTTGCCTTATTTCAAATTTAAAAGATGTTCTTCTCTTGCACCCATAACCATAATTTATTATCCCTAAGATATAAATGCCATTTTACATTCTTGAGATTCAATTTTGAAAGATTTTAGTCTTATTTTAAAAGAGATCCTTTAATCATAATCTTCTATTTCTCAATTGGGACCTTGAGTAATTCTTGGAGAGTCTCCTAGAACTTAAGTACGGTTCCATTGAGATCAATAGGTACGTTTTTGTGAATTTCTGTAGTATACTTGATTTCTAGATGAATTATCTTATGTTCTTCCTCTATTTGATCCATATTTGATTAAATATTATTTTTTAAATAAATTTGTTATTAAAATGAATCCAAATACACCTTTCAATGAACGCTTCCATAAGATTCAAGAGAAATTGAATTCTATTCCATTATAACATGATCAATCAAAGGCTCATAGAATTGATACAATATGTGGAAGAATAACAGCAGTAGAGGAGAGAACTCAAGACACAATTACATCTTATAATAGAAAGCTTGTAAGTTTATGAAATATAAATCATTTTAGCACTCATTAAAGGATGAGATAGTTCGTTTGTAGAAATAAATTGAGGAGGAAAATAATGCATTTGAAACTCAATTTGAACAAAGAGTAAGAGAAATAGCAGCATTTGAAAGTCGCATAACTACTAAATTAGAATAGGAAATAGCATTAAGAAGAGATGGTAATCTAAAATTATAAGGATATTTGGATGAGAAGGTATTGAATAAATAATAATAATTTATTAGGTTGTTTACTTGAAATCTGATATTTAAACTGAAGGAAAGATCAGATAAGAATAGATAGAGAACATTACTACATCTTTAGAGAATGATCTACCAAAATTATATGAAATGGTGAAAACAGAAGGATAAGATAGAGAAGACAATGATAATGGAACTTTGAGAAGAGCAGGTGATGAAATACGTCGTCTTAATGAAGGTTTAGGAAATTAAAAGAAATTGAGGTATTTATTTGATTAGAGCATATTGTTAGAGAGGAATCGGAAACAGCAATATTTGAGATGCTTAAGGATCTAGTATCAAGAGTAAAGAGTGAAATTGAAGAAGAGAAGAAACTTAGAGAAGAATCTCAAGAATCATTATTAGGTTTACTAGAAGATGCAGCAAATAAAATTTACAGAGCAGCAAAAGATTGATTATTCAATAAAATATATAAATATATTCAAATAAATTTTATTTTTTCTTATTTATTTTAATTTCTATTTCTATAATTTTTTATTATATTCTTAAATTATCTAGCTATTTCTCTAATATTATTATGTTTCAAAAAATATTCAAAATTCTTTACCTTATCAAATCCTTCGAAAATCTCCAAATATTAACCCATCTTCTTACCTTGATCTTCTTCCAAATTCTTATTCAAATATAAATATTCCATTGAATTATCATTTACTTTTATAAATGGAGTAATGATTATTTTAGTTTATCTTCTCTATTAATCTCTTATATATTCTCCTGTTTTCTTATCTGAATCCTAATTACTCTTATTACTCAACACAGTATTTTAATGATTTTATTATCTAGTATTCAATTACATCTATTAAAGATTTTGATTGGAGAAATTATTTTAAGAAATACTTTATCTTTCAGCTCTTTATATCTTACTGATAACTTCTAAAATCTTATCTCTCTAATTATTAAACATAATTAATATACAATCTCTTCATCCTTCAATGCATCTGTACATGCTTAAAAAGTTAATTTACGTTTTTTATATTATTTTGATAATCTTGAATTTCTATCTAAGGCCAATATTGTACTATTAAGCAATTCCTTATCAACTTCTGGTTAATTTTCTATAATTTCATCATTAGCACTATCAGCAAAACTAGCTCCTTTTTATTGATATCAAATCTTGATTACCTCTACTGTCAAATAAATACCGCTAATCATCTAGTTCTTATGAAAACATTTAAGTTTTGCACATATATAAATAGATACTATTCCTTATATCAAGAGATTCCTTTCTTGTAGATATCTTTCTCTCTATTTTCCTTTTGTATTTCACTCTATCAGATGGAATATTCCTTCTATAATTTAGTAAAACTTTGACTCTATTTGGATAACCACATACCATTCTAATATATATTAATCTACTTACGGACATTCTTTAATTATATGAGTTGATTTATTGCAAGCTCGACATGTAACATCAACTAATTCTTATTTGTTCATAAATGAGATTTATTGTACTAATTCACAATACTTAAACTAATAATAATACTATCGAGAATTCTACATAATCATTTTAATGTTATTTGAGAATATCTAAAAATTGAGATCTGTCTATTCTTAAGACATAAGAAAATTGATTTGATTTACATGACATTTAGTAAGCTTAAGATTAAAAGAATTCCAATACACCAAAAGGTATACCTTCTTATTTAACAGTTTCTAAAACTTTAACAGTTTATTATTTGTTATTCAAAGTAATATAAAATGAAAGACTTCCATTTGATAAAATATATAAATAATCACTTGGATCATATTACTATTTTTACAAATAAATAAATAAATTACTTAATATATTGTAGATTCTGGTAAGAATTTCTCTTCTACCATTGTTTTAGATAGAGATATCAAAAATTATTCACTAAAATTCTAAGTAAGGAAATTAATTTTAGAAATCAATTTCATATTAGTATCAATCTTCATTTCTTCTGCCAATTATTTTGGTATCAAATCACTAAATTTATACACTTCTCTATCATTATCTTCCATTTAATCACTCCATAAATATTCAAAATATTTTCTAATCTTTTCTGCTAAATGTTTATTAATTCCTTTTAAACGTATAAATTTCTTTAAATTATTCATATCAGTTCTCACTTAAAAACTTCTTCTATTCCATTCTGCATATATAGTATTTATATTCCCTATTGAATATCCAAATACACCTACTGCTGATAATGCCATACCAACAGCAAATACTCTCTCTCTTAAATTTTATGGAGTAATATCACCATATCCTATTGTTGTCATTGTTATTATGCTCCAATAAAATGAATGTAAATATTAATTAAACCAATATTCATCTTCTATATTCTATACTTTAATCCATGAATTTCCACTTGGATCACCTGTTGATCCTACTAAAAACCAAAGACAAGCTGAAAAATGAGCAGCTGCCAATATTGTATAAACTAATTTAATTAAATCAAAGATAACAATCTAAATTGCTGTTAATTCTAATCTATCAAATAAAGTTCTAGAGAACTTTTTAATTTGAAACACTTTTAATATAATAACCAAATCCAAATATTCTAAATCAAATCTTAAACTTACAAAATATGGAATTATTACAAAGATATCAAACAAAAATGCTAATTTTAAATTGTCAATTTTACATGATCTAAAATAGTTCTTAGCTATCAAGTATCTATTCTCTATCACTGCTCCTTTATTATAATAACATGTATTGAATTTCAATAATATTTCAAGCATAAATGAATAAGATGGTAAAACATCAAATATAATTTATCTTGCTTATTAAAGTTCATCATTTGTACTATCATCAAATTTAAATGCTATCTTTGCTGATACATATAAAACATTGATATTCAATATTGTCAATATATAAATATTCCACCAAATAGAAGCCAATGATTCTGGTCTCAAAATCAGTTTCTAATTCCCAAAATATATTTTTAATAGTTTAGTTTTTCTTATTGGAACTAAAATGCTCTGACTCAAAAAATAAATCATTTTCTAAAATCCTGTTGGTTTCTAGAATTTATCACTATTTATACTTCATATTTAAAGAAATTCCGTAATTGATAAAATTCAAAATCTGCTGAAACATCCCCAATTATATCAAATACATTTTTCTTAATTAATTTAAAGCTTGTTGCGAAATTTGATTTTGTTATAAAACTAATAAATCGCAATGTTATCATAAGAATCTCTAAAGCCTTTGTTTTCCAAATTTTATTACTGAAACCAATATTTTCCATAGAGTTTTAGCTTTCTGATTATATTGGACTGTCTTCCTTATAATTAAGCATGGGTTTATTGGTTTGAAAACTAACTGCTCTCATTCTTTATTATCGATTACTTGTTGTGCTCAATCTAATTTAGTTAGGGAAATACTTATTTTTGGAATCAATCATAATACTTGCAAGATCACCTTATCTATGTGTCCTTGAGTTCTAATTCTCATATAAATTTATTTCTTAATCTTATTCAGTCACTTTTAATAGAGATCTAACAGAATGACCATAATTCTCAAGGTCCAATTTATCTTCTTGTAATGATAAAATCAATGATTACAAATTTCAGTATTGAGATGATTAATTTTCATTAAAAAAGTTATTAAATTAATACTATGTTATAATAATTATATTCTCATCATAACAAATAATCTATAAAAATAAATTAGAATGTTTAAATTGATAAATATAATAAGAGAATAAGGTCTAATAATTATTTTAAAATAGGAACTTTATAAAAATGTATTTTAAATTAATTAATTATAATCTACATTTATAATAAAAGAACTTATGTCAAGGTTTTTCAAATTTGTATAAATTATAATGATATAATAATTTTAATATATTGAAATAATGATATAGGTATAATTAAAGATATAATAAAGAATTATATAATTAGATATAGATTAAATTTATAATCAATAATAAATTGAATATTAAATATAAGTTCTATAGAGTTATTAATTTTATAAATCAACTTCATATATAAGTAATCAATATATTTAAATTTTTAGTAAAAGATTTATTTTAAACAATCTAATATTTATATAAACTCAAAAAGAGAATGATGAAAGGATTAAGATTTTAATGATGAAATAGAATACTAATAATAATAATTTGATAATCTCCTGAGTAAATTAATATTTTTTTGATTATCAATGAATAACTTATTTATGCCCTCTCTATATAACTTTGAAATTCTGAATGTTATTTAGTGAGCAACCTTAAATTATATTATTATTATTATTGAAATACTACGTTATGGATGATCTAGAATCTATTGGATTAGTATAAATTATAAAATATTTATATAGAAATAAAACAAATTTTTTAAATATTATGTATTATTAAGATATTGAATTATAAATAGTGATAAGTTTATATATGTCAGATAAATTGTAATATTAATAAATAAATATTATCAATTCATTTTGGAACAATTCATAGGAATATATTATATATATAAAATTAATTTTGTAAAATGAATTCATTCTTAATTTATTATCTTATAAGTAAAATAATAGTAGGTTTGTTAGGAGAGGTAATTAAAGTAGGATCTAAAATTAATGATTAGTAACAATAAAATATTAAAGATGTATAATTTACATTTAATTAAATGGGTGTAACAGACATATGCTTGATGTATAGTTGAGTATAAGATAAAATGATTAAGATTATGGTCAAGAATCATTGAGTTTATAATAATTATATATATTTATGATTGCTGAAGTGTAGAGTAGTGAAGATCTATTAGTAATGTGTAGAATCTGTGAAAAATAGGTATGAATACTCTATTACATGTTTAGACAGATGCTTCATTGATTGAGAATCATTTAGTTAATTGTTAAGAAATCTTTGAAGCTAGAAAGCAATTGCATTAATTGGATGTATAAATACAAAAGTTGGCCGAGTTGGCACAAAATAGCTTTAGGACACTAAATACAAAATATCAAATTCATAAGTCTAAATAGGCTAGATATACAAACCATGAGAATCGAGGGATGAGAAGTAGTGCTCCATTGTAATTGAATCAACCAGAAGATTGTACAAGTGAGGAAACAGGTTCAAGAACAAACAAGGTAAGTGTAAACATGTATAATAATAGTGTACTGTGAAATCAAGGTTTGCAAATATAGGAACAAGCTTAGCAAATAATGAAGTTTCTGAAGATTAACCTGAATAGGAATGTGTGATTTAGATTGTTTAAGAAAATATTACAGGAGAGGATCTTGAACGAATAATGAAACAATAGATTAAGTTATCAAAGAAAATAGAATAATAGAAACAAGGAATTAAGTTTGCACATTCTCCTTCTCCAGAATTCAAATAAATTAGTTCTCCATTATCAAATGGAATGGGGAGTCCATTCTCTCTTGAGTACTTTATTATGAATATCAATTAGTGATAATACAGAAATTTTAAAAGATTTGAGATTACAGTTAAACTCTCTTTCGATAATTACTAAATATACTGAAGAAACTCTTAAAACTCATCATGGTACTTAATCAATTTAATTTGATCTTAAAATATAAGTGGAATTGTTCAACATTAAACATACACTATAAAAAGAAGTACAAGATCTTGTAAAAATGACTTTGAAATTAATTGAAGTAAAATTGAAAAATATTTTATAATTTTAGGAAAAGGTTTAATGTACATAAAAAATTTCAAGATTACAAAAATTGATATCTGAAGAAGAAAAGCTTGAAAATCTTACTTCTCCACTTCGTATTAAGAATAATAAAGTTGAAACTGGAAATCGTAGAACTTCTTTAGGTAATTCATTATAAGAACATTTTGAAATGTTAAAAAATAGTTCTAATGGATCTAAATGGTTAAATAAGTAAAATATTATATCTAAATTTGAAAATAATCAATAAGTTTAATCTAAAACTTTTACTGAAGGTGTAGGAAAAGATTGTATCTTTTAAAAATGTTTAAGTGAATCTGAAGATGAAGGAGAAAGTAGTAATTAATCAGATTCAGAAGATGTAACATCTAAAGAAGTCAAAAATAATATTACTAAGAAATCACTTGAAGAATCTTTTGAAATGGAAGATTTTGTAAAATAATCAAAAAGCAATATAATTTCATTTAAAGATTTAAATTAAAATAATGTAGTATTAGAAAAATGTGATTTTGATAATGAAAAAGAATAGAAAGTTAAAGGATATTATAGTGATGGAGATTTCAAAACAACTAAATTAGTTAAAAATAAATAATTGTAAAAAATATTAATTATTATATATTTTAGATTAAATGTAACACTATAGGATTTTGAATTTATATAGGTATTAGGTGTTGGAGCATTTGGTGCAGTATGGTTGGTGTGTAAAAAGAAGACTAAAGATTATTATGCAATGAAAGTTATAGATTGTAGAAATAAGAATATAAATGAAATTTAGAATTTAAGAGCAGAAAAAAATGTATTTGAAATTTTAGAAGGTGATTTTGTAGTAAAAGCCTATTATTCTTTTATTTAAGATAATTGTTTATTATTCTTATTAGAATATATGATGGGGGGTGATTTTAGTTAAGTACTTTATCAATATGGACGTATTTCAGAATCATTAGCTAAATTTTATTTAGCTGAATTATTATTAGCAATTGAATCATTACATAAAAAAGGAATTATTCATAGAGATTTAAAACCATAAAATATATTATTAGATGCATAAGGACATCTAAAATTAGCTGATTTTGGATTATCTGAAATTGCTTTAGTATAAAAAATTAAAGAAGGGAAAGATGGACTTAATTGTTCAATAGATCCTGAAGCATTACCTATGAATGTATCAAAAAGAAACATTAAAACAAAATGTAATATAGAATTTCATTTACAAAATACTACTAGTAAGACAAGTATTTAAGAACGTACACAATCAGGAAAAAGATAGAATAGAATTATTGGAACTCCTGATTATATTCCACCTGAAGTTATTTGTGGATTATCTATATCAAATTTTTCAATAGATTGGTGGGCTTTTGGTGTTATTGCATATGAATTTTTAGTAGGGATTCCACCATTTAATGATTCTAGTATTCCAAAAGTGTTTGAGAATATAATGAATAGATTTATAGAATGGCCAGAGATAGGTAATGAAGAAGATATGATGAGTTAAGAAGCCTATGAATTAATTAATTCATTATTAGAACCATAATATCATAAGAGACTTGGACATAGAGGTGCTGAAGAATTAAAATGTCATAAATTTTTTAATGGGATTGATTGGAATAACATTAGAAATTAAGAAGCTCCAATGATTCCAATAAGAGATTTAGATTAATTAGAAGATGAAGAGAGTAATATCACAAAGAAAAAGAATGAAGAAGTAAAAATGAAGGATAGATTACAGTCAGTATAAGTGTCACATGATGGAAATTTAGATGATGTAGCCAATCTTACCAGAGTTGATCTATTAGCTAAGATTAGTTAAAAGGATGCTGAGAATGTAATGAAAAAAAGATCAATTCGGAAGACTATTTAACAATTTCTATGATTAATATATACTCATGTTAAAGTACTTTCATGATTTATCTGATGAATATGCCAAAAGTACATACAACTCTTAAACTATGGCTGACTGCATCAAGGGTTTGTATGAGTATCTGAAGTAAGAGAAGAATGAAGATCAATTCGTCATCAACAATGGAGGATTAAAACTCATTAATCATTCTTAATGGCATTTTGAAAAGTAATATTCAATATGCTTAACATTCAATCCTTAAGGAGATGGAACACTCTTCTAATTTTCATCTTCTCATGTTGATGGTAAAAGAATAATAGCTAATGGAATTCATTGTTACATAATGGCTGGTGTAGTCTTCTATAAGAATGTTTACCAAAGATTCACTTTAGAAAAAGTTATTGTGGAAGATTACTCTTCAAATAATAAGTTGGGGGATATTATTATGAATGGATGGAACGAACTAATTATTTCACATGAATGTGGAAAACTATATTCCAGACCAAAGTTTATATATTCAATTAATCAGAAAAAAAATACACTTCAAATTGAGTATCCTAAAATTAGGAATCAAAATCTTGAGATTCTTTACTTTTAGAATATTAAATGTAAAGTAAAAGAGATTTCTATTTATAATGAAGTTGTGGATCTACATCTAAAATCTCCTTTTTATTAAATCTATCCATTATATGATCCTCATTAAACAAAACGAGTTAAAGATAGAATCTAAAATGTTATATATGAATTATAAGGAGATACTAAAATGACATCTTCATTATAAAAATATGATTTTGTAGAATATGGTGGTATTAAAATATTAATTCCACTTTTCAATTTAATTTAATATTATAATCATTCTTAAATAGATGATTTATTTGAAATCCTTCTTTATACTTTATTACAAGATAGTCAAATCAATAAAAATCAAATTTCTGAAATGAAACTATTTTAATAAATAGCCTAAATTATCAAAGTAGACATTCCTAATTTATCTTATATATTATAAATTAAATAATAAGTAGAAGATTAAGATATTTTAAATCAATTGTTACTTTTAATTATTGATGTGAATTTCATAAAGAGAGTCACTGATTAATAGTAATATTGCATTTTATTACAATAATTCTATATTAATGATCATTAATAATACTTAAAAGTTACTTCAATCTAATATCTGGCTTAATTATTAGTGAGTGTCAATTAGAAAAGCTAAATCTAAGATTAAATACTATAAATTATGATTTATTCCTGTTAATATAACTTTAATACATTAAAAGAATAATTCAAACTCTTTCTAAAAGTAGCTGAAGCTTCAACTATTGAACTCAAAATTAAAGCTATTTAAAGTGCAACCAGATTAGTATCTGATTTATTTAGAGATGATTAAGACAATTTTATTATTTTTAGAGATCATAATATTAAAAATAAGATCCTAAATGACATCCTTCTTCTCTTGCAAACTGATAGTATGGATTGCTTAATAGCTACTATAACATTATTAGGATAAATACTTTATGGAACTAATGATCTATTAAGTTAAGGAATGATATCATATATCTCAAAAGCAATTTGTGTAACCAATAACTTTGATAATCTATTAAATACATTGACTTAATTACTTAAGATTAATTGTTTATGTGTTGAAATACTTTAACATTTATACTCTTAAACCAAATAATAGAATATCCTAGAATATTATCTTAATTATGTCAAGAAAATTAGTATTGAATAATAACAACTCATACTTTAATAATATTCAATATGGTTTTTAGATTAATTGAAGTTTGAAATAAATTAGAAGATCTTAGAGATTTTTATTTATCTTCTTAAATAGAATCCTCAATTTATATTGCAAATTTTAATTCATTTTCAAATAAGAAAGGATGTTTCAGCTCTCATTACAGTTGTGACTGAAGTAATAGAATAATTTAATGAAGAATAAATATATTAAGTCTAATAGATATTGCTATAAATTTATTTTTCAGTTCAATAATTTAAAAACTTTGAAGTGTTTTTAACTAAATTAATTAAGTAAATTATATATTTAGAAAATGAGCAAGAATTATTTAAATTAGTTGGGCAAAAAGAATTACCATTTGCTATATAAAAGATTATTAATTTAAGTTGTCCTATTGATAAATTGAAATAATGGTTATTCTATTTTACTAAACTTTTTGAATAAATTTAATATCTAAATACAGAAGAAAGTGAAAGTTTTATGAATTAAATTATTGATTTACTTAAAGCTATTCAATTATAAACTGAAGATATATAAATAAAAGATAATATTGAATATTTTTTAACTCAAAATGTGTTAATTCTTTAATCACTAAAAGAACAATAAGTATAAATATTTGATTCTATTAAATTTTAAGAAGATTTTTAAGCTTTTTAAGAATCCTTATTACTTAAATGGACTCTAGAATAATAATAGACTAAAATGACATAATCAGAATAATTATCTAAATTAACAGATGAAATTAATTAAGCTGCAGCATAAATGTAAGTATCTGTTTATAAATTAATGAATAAGACTAGAAAGATTAGATAAAGATGGTGTAAGTTATGGCATAATTTACGTATAACTATATATAGACCAAAAGATTGCAAATTTCAAATAGATGAATATATTGATCATGATTACAAATTTAATGAGAATCCCTATTACATCAATAAAATTGAGAAATATATTAATAAATATTATTCTCGTCCAATTTTAAAAATAAAGTTTAAAAAGAATACTGAATTTGAGAATGATGCATAAGTGCCTTTGGAAAACAAATAATAATACAAATGTTTTTGGTTAAAGAGTTTATACTTAAAACAAGGAGGAGTAACAATAGGAGATGAGAAGATAATATTCTCCTATTACTCCTATACTTAATAAGCAAATCATATAACTTTGCTACCTCACACAATACCAAATCATAAGCCATTTAAGAAATCATGGAAAAGAAATTAAATTAGGTGGCTTCATGAAAGAATATATATCAGAAATAGAAATGCTATTGAAATTATATTTAAAGATGGTGAATCATTGTACTTGATATTTTAGGATTAAGGTTTGAAAGAAGAGATAATTGATAAATTGAAAATATAACCAAAATAATGTGATTTTAATAAAGTTAGTAATTTCAAGTATTTAATGTATTTGAATTTTTTATCTTGTCGATCATATATAGATTTAACAAGATATCCAGTGTTTCCATGGGTTTTGAAAGGAAATGCTTCAGATTTTGATGATAATGATATTGAATCAATAAAAAATGAAATTAATTATAGAGATCTATCTTTACCAATAGGAGCATGTGGAAGTGAAATAAGATTAGATTAATTTATTAAAAGATATGAAAATGAATAATTTTATTATGGAACACATTATTCAAGTTAAGCATTAGTATCTTAATATTTGATTAGATTGAGTCCATTTACAGAAGCAGCTATATCAATATAAGATGGTAAATTTGACATACCAGATCGACTTTTTAGATCTATTATGAAATCATGGATAGATTGTAATAATGAGATGGCTGATGTGAGAGAATTAACACCTGAATTTTTTTATTTACCTGAATCATTTTTAAATATAAATGGATATAATTTAGGTAAGTTGTAAAGTAATTAAATTGTAAACAATGTACAATTACCATTCTATTCTAATAAGAATCCTTTTTATTATGTAACTTAAAATATGATAGCATTAGAGAGTGATTATGCAATTAAATTAAATGAATGGATAGATTTGATTTGGGGATATAAATAATAAGGTAATGCTGCAATAGAATCATTTAATGTATTTTATCCATTAACTTACTCAAATTTTGATGAAAACAGTATAGAAATTAATGAATTAGCAATGGAAACTTAAATTGCTCATTTTGGATAAACACCAGAATAGTTATTTTATAAACCTCATGCTCAAAAGAACTATACAATTGATAAAACTTAATGGTAGACAATAAAGAATAAAAAATCCTAAGTTAAATTGATCTATTTAATTTGTAATAAAAATAAAGTAGTAAGTATTTAAGAAGATTTTACATTATTATAATGGTAGATAGTTAAAAATTAATATTAATTTTAATTAGAAAAATAAGTTTAATTACCTAGAATAAATTTTGATGCTATGATCAAATATGTATTACCACCCATATTAGTATTGATTGAATAATCAATTATATTATTTGGTGGAAATAATAATGGAACTATTATTTATTATTGTTTAGATAATTTGAAATTGTAGGGAGTGATAGAATTGGAAAGTGAAATAATAAATAATCATTGTACAGTAACTGTATTTGAATCAAATAAATAATAGAATATTGTAATAGTAGGAACTAATAAGGGTTTTGTATATTATTATAATAAAGTTCTTTAAAATAAATAGGATATTAAATAAGAAGAAGTGCTTTAAAGTAAAAATATTATTTATGATACAACTTAATAAATAAATTCAATAAGTATTTCAGAATAGCTAACTATCTTTTGTGTTGGAACATAAGATGGTACAATATTCTTATATAATTTGTATAATCGCACTCTTTATAGATTTATTAATCATCCAAAAAGATTGCCTATTTTTTATTTAAAATTAAGTTATTCTCCATTACCTTGTATTTTATTTAGTTCCCATGATGAAAGGATTGTAGCTTATTCAATAAATGGATTCTTGTTACAATCCTTATAAGTTAAAGGAAATATTGAATACATTGAAATCAAGAAATCTACTATAAATACTTTAGTAATGAAATTTATTATAAATTTATAGATTGTAATTACAGACATTAATGTTTTTGAATATAGATTACCATTTTTAGATAGACTATCAATAATATCAGCCCAAATCTGTACAAGATTCGTTTAAGCAACAAAACAAATTTCAATATTTGGTTGTAAATCTGGTGATCTGCGTATAATTTGAGTATTTGTTTATATAATATTTCATATACAAAATTATATAATGTTGCATTCTCCATTAATTGAAGATTATGATGATAAATAATAAGTCTTGGTAAAACACAGCAAAACTAAAACTATATGGATTATAGTACGCTATATCATATCTGATATTGCAAAAAAACCAAGATCTTTTAAGATAGGATTGTTTACAATCTATTTAGTAGTAACATTCTTGGCTTTACTTGAAAGTGCAGTTCAACTCTCTCCCTTAATATTTATTCAATTAGCAGAGACACAATCAGGAGATAGTGATTTACTATTTACTCCTATGTCTTCATATAATAAATCAATTACATACGAATCGTCTTCTACATTTATTAACACTACAGAAATTAATTAGTATTTCAATGAAACTGAAGGAATATTTGGATCATCACCAAGATGGTTATTGACAGGTAATCTAATAAATAATAATACTAATGTGGAGAAGATAAATCAGAAATTAAGAACTTTTGTAATCATACTCAATTAAACTTAAGAAATTAGTATAGGATTAGGTCGTAGATCAACTTAAAATTACTTAACTGCAAATTAAGTTTAAGTATCAGCATCTACTCTAAGAGGTTTGAATGCTAGCATAGGTGATGTATTATAGGTAAATATTGATGTGGATGAATTGATATCATTATTGGATGGAAACACATAAAATGGAAGTGAAGACTTTTTTTATTAATTAATCAATACAACTATTAATAAACCTTTAAGGAATATATTTGGAGATGATTTTGAAAATGTTATTATTTAAAGAGAAGAAATTTAATAAAGAGCAGAAGAAATTGTTGTATTTGCAGATTTATTAGAATCTAATCCAGAATTGAAAAATTCATCTAAAGAATTTTTAGAAGAATATATTCAAAATTCAGATATTCCTGTAGAAGAATAGAAATTATTATTATAAATTATTGATATAGAATATTCAAGAAATCTAAGTGAAGATGCTAGAACTTTAGAAAGATTTGCTTATAAATTAAATGAAAGTGTTACTGTTTATGAAATTGAAATGGCTATATCTAGTCTAGTAGCATAAAGTGCTAATTTTACATTTGATGTTATTGTCTAAGAAAAGATTGAATCACCTAAAGGAAAATGGTAAGATGGATTTAATGCATTATTAATGGATCAATAAAATGCAACAAATATCTTGGTAGAAGGTCTACTCAAAAAATTTGAAGAAGTTGTAATTGATAATAGATTAAATAATGATTCCACTATTGGAGCTGTTGCAGAATTGATACCAATAGATTATGTAAAATCTCTAGTTTGGAATCAATCATAAAACATTTATTTGTCTGATTACTCATTATCTTAAAATCTAGTATTTAAAGATAGATTAAAAGTGTATAAGAACAAAAATACTATTACATCAAATATAATTGATATTACAAATTAGTTTTTTAAAACTACTGGATTTAATTATCCAGTTTAAGCATCTTCAACTTTAGCAGCTGCTGTTTCGAATTATTTTGTTTTAAAAAATTTCATAGATAATCTTATAGCAGCAGCAACTATGATTTTATTAATGTTATCTATTCTTTTAATTTATTCTTTAATGATAGGTGATGTTGATGAAAAGACTTATGAATTTGGAATGTTAAGAGCATTAGGATTTAGAAAATCATGGTTAATTGGATTATTATTATTATAAGCATTAACATTTGCAAGTTAGTAATTATTATATCATATCTATAGTACCAGGTTTATTATTAGCATTAATTACATGTTATATTCTAAATTCATTAGTATCTATGCTAATATTTTAGACTACTGATATGGTTTCTAATTATGTAATTGCAAATTAAGCATTATATTTAGCTGTGGGAATAGGAATATTTATACCAATTATTAGCAATATATTTCCAATTTAAAGAGCCTTATCTAAAACTTTACGTGATTCTTTAGATTTATATCATAGAACAATTCAAGAAGTCATGGTGAATGTTGTTAAACTTGAAAAAATGGGTATATCTTTGACTTAGACATTTTGTTCATTACTTTTAGTTGCTATAGGCTTTGTTAGTTATTATTTAATACCTATGGCATTCATTTTTAATAATGTGACTTTGGCTTTAAATATTATCAATGTCATCTTTATTATCATGATCATAGGATTTATGTTATTAGTTAACTTACTATAAGGACCATTAGAAAGAGGTATTTTGAATTGCATATTATGGATTTGTAAATTTGATAGAAATCTAAAATAGATAATTTTTAAGAATTTATCTGGTCATGCAAGTAGAAATTGGAAAACTACATTTATGTATTCACTTGCTCTTTCATTCATTTTATTTGCAGGAGCATCCCTAACACTTGATTCTAAAGTAATTGGTGATGCATTACAATCAGCATTAGGAGGAGATGTAACTGTTATGGTAATACCAACAGACAAAATTGGTTTGGATGAATATGAAATACGTTAACATTTAGAAAATGAAAAGATTAGAGATTCTACATTGATTCAAAGTTATACATTTAATGCAATTCTTTTAACTCATTTTCCATAATGTGTTGGAGTCTAATGGTTTACAACAATGGCTACATTTCCTTGGGCAAGAATAAGATTAGGAGGAGTAGAACCAAATTATTTAGAGACAATAATGTAAGAATATTATCTACCTGATGAATATGATGATCAAGTTTCATATCCAAAATTAAAGAGTGGTAAAAAAGATGGTGTATATGGACTATATGATAGGAGTGGAAATCTAGATATTGATAGTGAAGAGGATGTTAAAAAGATTATTTCTTAAATGTCTATAAGAGATAGTTATTACAAAGATCTCAATTTAACCAGACCAAATTCTAGAAGAGAAGAAGATAGAGAAATAAATGTAATTATACCATAAGGCTATAAATATGAAATTTCAATAGATGTTAATACTCCATCCTTGATTTGGTGGGGAAGTTATTATAGAATTAATGTTAGACATACTGCATCAAAAGTACCTGGTTTTGAATTTTCATCCTATAGATAAATTACTTAATATGGTTAAGGAATCATTTCAATGCCAGATTAATTATATATGGTTAATAGATATTTTAGAGGAGATATCCGGAATATATCTAGTATTTAATAACCAAAAGTAAGAGAATATTTAAGCAGTTTACCAAAAGGATTGACATATGGATTACCAAAAACAAGTTTAAGAGTTAAGTTTGCAAGATAAACTAGTTAAACAGAGAGAGTGGATTTTTGTAATCGATTAAGAAATTATTTTAGAAATGATTAAACATTACTATTTGATGTGAAAACTTTAAGAGAAGAAGCAGAAAATGCCTTCTTTTATATTTAAATACTTAATATAGTTGTTGCAATAATTGCCCTTACATTATCATTCTTTTTAATTCTTATATCATTCGTTGGAAATGTTAAAGATAATTCATGGGAATTTGGAGTTCTTCGAGCTATTGGATTAAATAAATAATAACTTACAAGAATCTATATTTATGAGGCGATCTCATTAATTACTGCATCTGGATTACTAGGTACTTTTATTGGAATCTCTTTGGCCATTTTACTCACCCTTCAAATTCTCATGTTTATAGAGCTACCTTTTGTTTTGATGTTCCCAACAGCTACATTTTTAATTACTTGTCTTGGAGGATTTGTTACAGCCATTGTTGCTAGTTATTTAGCAGTCTTAGATATGAAAGATAAAAGCATTTCAGTCATTTTAAAAGGTCTATTGTGATAATTTTTTAATATTTCTAACAAAATAATGATAAATATTATTACTTTGAATGGCTTAAACTATTGAAGATCAACCTTCTTTATCAGAGTTACAATAAATTCAACCTTAAAGACTAATCCAACTCTTTTTTAAATACATTTTATCAGATATTGCAAAAAGACCACGTTCTTTTAAGATTGGATTATTCTCAACATATATTGTTATTGCATTTCTAGGATTACTTTAATGTTTAAAAAGTCTAAGTCCTTTTGTATTTCTTCAATTGGCTGAAACCTCTGTTGGGGATACAGATCTATAGTTTTTACCAAAAAATATTGCAAATAAAGACGATTTCAAGCTAATCAACATAACTGAATTACGCCAAGTAATCTATTTATTTTATGTAGTACACTTCATAAATCAATGAATTTATAGATGTTTCTCCAAGATGGCTATTTATGTGTGATATTCACAATCCTAAAGCTTAACTTAATTTGACTTCTTTTTTTATGATTCTAGATTCATAACTTGAAAATAGTATAGGACTTGGTCGAAGATTAGATACTGATATTATCACTTCTAATTAAATTTATATATCCAACAGTCTCTAAAAAGGACTTAATGTTCAAATTGGAGAAACTATTCAAATTTAATTTAGTGTTATTGAATTTCTTAAACATTTAGGATTCAATAATACAGAAGGTGAATCTAAAAATAATTTAAGAGAATCTTTTAAAAAGTTTATAAATGATTTATTACAAATATCAAATGATGATATACTGTATAGGAAATTTGATGTACAAACAATGTTACAATATGCTAAAGAATATAAATATTATGTAAATGATTTAGAAGAATCTGATTGGAAGAAAAATTAAACTAAAAAAAAATTTATTTAATCTATTTATAATTAAAATCTAACAATTTAATAGAAGAAATTAGGTAAAAAAATAGTGGATTTCTTATTTGCAAGAAATATGACTTAAGATGCAAAACATATTTATCAATTCACTTTAAGATTATCATCATTTACAAAAGAAATCACTATTTTATAAATAGAAGATGGTTTGTTTGATATTGCAATTGAAATGGCTGAATTTTAATTAAATTTTTAAGTTTATAAAAGTGTTTAATCTCCAAAAGGGAAATGGACAGAAGCCTTAGGAATGATGGTATACATGGATTATAAAAATGCAAGTAATTTATTTTTAGATGCCATTCTTGATAGATTTGATACTGTAATTAAATAAAAGAGAAAATATGACAAAGGAATGGCAGGAGCTGTATCATAATTAATCCCTGTTACAGAAACCAGAAATTCTGTTATGTCTAAACTTAAACACTTTTAATTATAAGAGTATTCTATGATGGCTAATGTTGTATTCGACAATAAATATCCAAAATATGAAACTCCATAAAATGTCAAAACTGTAATTATTTCATCAACAAATTAATTTTACTCAATTGCTGGTTATGACTATCCTGTTTAAATTATGGCCCCATTAGGTTTTATAATTGAAATATATCATCTTTTAAAACATTTCATTGAGACCATTATTGAGGTAGCAACTATGATTTTATTAATGTTATCTATTCTTTTAATTTATTCTTTAATGATAGGTGATGTTGATGAAAAGACTTATGAATTTGGAATGTTAAGAGCATTAGGATTTAGAAAATCATGGTTAATTGGATTATTATTATTATAAGCATTAACATTTGCAAGTTAGTAATTATTATATCATATCTATAGTACCAGGTTTATTATTAGCATTAATTACATGTTATCTTTTAAATACTTTAATATCAATGTATATATTTGATATGTCTCTTTTGATTTCCTCATATAATATTCCAATTTATGCATTAATTCTATAGTTAATTATTGGAATATGTATGCCTATTATTAGCAATATTTTACCAATTAAATAAGCTTTATCAACAGCTCTCAGAGATTCTTTAAATTTATTTCATAAAGTTGTTAGTAACATTGTTGTAACAGTTATGAGACTTGAAAAAATAGGTATTAGTTTAAATTAAACAATTTATTCAATAATGTTAATATCAATAGGATTTATAAGTTATTATATTATTCCTATGAATATGATATACTAAAATTTTGGAGTTGCTATTTTTGTATTAAATATTGTATTTATAACAATGTTAGTAGGTGTAACAATGATTATCAATTTAATTCAAAAATTAATTGAAAAATTGATTCTCTATATGATATTATGTATAAAATCATCTGATTAAAATTTGAAACCTATTATATTAAATAATTTAAAATGTCATGAGAATAGAAATGCAAAAACAACCCTAATGTATTCACTTGGTTTATCATTGATTATATTTACAGGATCATCATTCGCAATCATGAGTTAAATGATGGAAAATTATATAAAAATAAATACAGCAGCAGATATTCGTATTTTTGATGTATCCAAAAAGTTTGGTTTAGATGAGTATAGATTAAAATAATAGCTTGAATGGGAATAACATAATGATCCTTCATTAATCAGAGATTATACATTTAGTGCATTACCATTAAATGAATTTCCTGGTCTACCACATCACTTTTATATCTCTCCATTATCTCATTTTCCAAGAAAAAGCATAAGATTATAACCAGTCCAATAAAATTTATTGAACACAATTGAAATCTAATATTATCAGCCAACTGAATATAACACTGAATTATAAGATGTTAGATATTTAGATAATGGTTTAAGAGATGGGATATATGATTTATATAATAGGGCCTTGAATTTTGATATACAATCAAATAAAGATATATCTGGAATAGTTTCTAATTCAAAATTTCATTAAATATTTGATGCAAAATACAAGAAATCTAAAGAGAAAGCAAAAAAAATAGATAGGGAAATCAATATCATAATACCAGAAGGGTATAGAAATGAAGGTAGTTTAAGTGTTAATACACCAGCATTGCTTACAATTAAAAATAAATAATACTTGATTGAAAAGAGATTGAAAATTATGCATATGGCAACAAAGATTCCAAATTTTGATTTTAGTGCTTATGCTACAATTGTATTTTATGGATAAGGATTGATTACTATGAAAGATGCAGAATTGCTATTAAAAGAAATTATGGAAGATAGAGCTGTAAAGAAAAGTAAAAATTATAAGAAGATAAAGGAGTTTATATAGTAATTACCTAAGAATTTAAGTTTTGGGTTGCCAAAGGAATAATTATTCATAAAATTTAAAAGGGAAACAACTAAAGAAGAAAGATTGGATTTTGGTAATAGATTGAGAAATTATTTCACAAATGATTAAATATATTTGATAGATTCTTAAGAGCTTATGAGAACTTTTGATGATGTGTTTACATACTTTGAGATATTTAATGCAGTTGTTGCAATTATTGCATTAACACTATCCTTTTTTTTACTCTTAATATCATTTATTAGTAATGTGAGAAATAATTGTTGGGAAATTGGCATTTTAAGAGCTATAGGTTTATAAGAAGTAAAATTAATATGAATTAATTAGATTTAAATATAAAAAGTATTTATTTATGAGGCTGTCTCTTTAATAGTATCTTCAGGATTTTTAGGTTCTTTAGTTGGATTCACAACAGCATCTACTTTTGCAATGTAAATAGCCACATTTTCAGAAAGTCATTTCAAATTAGCATTTCCATTATATACTTTTCTTTTTACTTTCTTTGGTGGGGTCTTAATTGCTGTAATTTCAAGTTATTTGGCTGTAAGACAATTGAAGAATAAAGAAATTGCTTCTATTTTGAAAAATTAGATTTGATAATATATTGTAGAATAATAATAATTTATTATATTGATATACATATAAATCTCAATCTTAGGAAAAGATTCTCTAATCAACTGCCAAACCAAACTCTCCATCAGATGTTCCAAATGCTAAAATTGTTCTGTCTGGAGATAAAGCAAACGAACTTATATCATTCATTGATTGTTAACAATCAGTCAGTTAAATCTCATTTCTTTTTTATAGAAAAGGAGTTGTTAACATCAAAATTTTCTTTTCCATACATAATGGTAAGACCTAATATTATGTAAATAAGACATACAATAATATCTGTTAGTTTTGAGTCTTTAACAACTTTGAGATGTCCTTAATTAACAACATATTATTTTAATTCAAGATGTGCCAAGAATTACCCATTTATGCTATATGAATAAATATTTTTGTTTTCATAAAATGCTATTCCATACAAAGGAGTACAATAACTACAAATTTTACTAATAGGTAACCCCTTAGGATGTCTATAGCTTCTTAAATATTTGCCTGACCATTAATTATACATGTGAATCCAACTATCACTAGAACATGTTAATACAACTTTCAAATCATTACAAATAAATATATCTGTAATTTATTAATCATGATGATGATGCTTACTAATAGGAATATATGTATTATTAAACACTTTATAAATTATAAGAGTTCCATCCTTACTACCAGTTGCTAATATTCTCATTTTATAATCAAATCTCATTACAGTTATAGTGTATTCTTATTCAAATCTCTATTCAGAAATGATACCATTATTATATATTAACATTCTACCATCCCAAATACCCCCAATCAATACTTATTTCCCTCTATTTAAAACAGGGAGTTCATCATAATTACAAGTCCAATCAAATAAATATTAATTTTCATCCAAAAATTTACAAAAATTGATAGATTATTCTTTCTAATTATTAAGATCAAATTTATTGTCTTTTAAATCTAATTTAATAGTAGCACATTCTCCATTACGACGAATCATCCAAACTTTGTTATCACTCAAAAAATGCATTCTAATAATTGATTTGCTTCTTTAATAGTTTTATGATTAAGTTTAGGGATTATTTTATTTTTATCTAAAAATTCTCTTTTCTATCTTTTCATCTACAACTCTATATATAATTTTTTATTTTCCTCTAGATATATGAGGTCTATCCCAAATTTAACTTGGACATTAACCAAAATGTATTGCTTATGATTCTAATGATATCTTTTATTTTTCATTTTTAATTGAATCCCAATCTATAGAATTTTCATATGTCAAATAATAAAATGTATTTAAAGCTTTTACTGCTTCCTCTCCTTTTTATTTATATCCAAAAATTAAATCAATCCAATTACAAATATGTTATGAAACATAATCACTTTCCAATTCCATTCTATGAGCACAAATAAATAAATATGGATTTTATTAACTCCAAATAGGTAAGTCTACATTATTTACTCTATGTCCAGTTTATTATAATCCATAATCATATTTTGATAAATTAAGAAACATTTCAGGTAAATAAAAGAATTCAGGTATCAATTCTCTGACATCACTTAATTCTTCAACTGCATTTCTATATGTTTCAACAAATGAAAAAAATAGACGATCTGCTAAATCAAATTTACCTGATTGCAATTCTTTAGCACCATCAGAAAAAGGTTTCAATCTAATAAGATAATGGAATATAATTGCTGGACTTGAATAATGACTCCCATAATGAAATTATGGAACCTTATTAAAATGATCTACCATATTGTATCTCTATTCAAAAACTTCAATTCTTTCTTTTGTACCCAAAGCTCCCATACATTTAGTTAGATCACGATATTTATGTAATTACTCACCATCATTCATTATCCATGGAAATACAGGATATTAAGTTAAATCCTTATTACTTCTTCCAGCAATTTTATTTACTTTCATTAAATATTCAAAAGTTGTAATCTTATAATTATACCATTTATTCATTGCCTTACTTTCTAAAATGACACTCACAGGATCTAATTTACCAGATAAAATTCTAGGTTTAAGATTAATAGTTCTATGTTTTTTTAAAGAAATCAATTTCTCTATGACTTTTTAATAATCTCCATTTGAAAAATTGAATACAAGTGTACTACCTTCCAATAATGTCAATTCTAAAGATGTCCATCTTCCAATATATCTTCGATATTAAATATCATATATTTATTCCAAATCCCATTATTTTACTAATTAAGAATCTTCTGGAACTCTAAATTTAATCAAACTTTAATGAGTTTCTTTTTGAGTAATAGATTCAAAATAAAAGATCAAATGAGTATCACTTATACGTAAAGAACCTATTCTAACTGTTAATGTCTTAATCCATTAGACTCTGTGAAGAATTACTTCATCTTATTCATGTTATTATGAATAAAATGGTAGGATAGTATCAAATATAATTTCATGTATTTTCCTTCTTTGTCTTTCTGGTTATTTCTTATCATAATCAACCAAATTCATTATTCTTGTATTCTATTATTATGATTGCATAACACTATCAATTTATGGATAATCATATAACTTTGGTTTGAGTAATGGTCTTGATTTTTATTTAGTTTCATATTTCCACATTTTCCATGTAAATCTAATTTATATTACTTTCTTTACATCTAATTTTATTTAATGTTTTCATAATGCATATCTATAGAATCAAATGGTTTATCGATTTATGCTTTAAATTCTGGATGAGCCCACCATTAATTAAAAACACGGACTCTATTAAATGACTTTTTAAACATGTATCTAGCTTATCTCATACATATTTATTCAGAATCTATTCTTTGTATTTTTTAATCATAAGAATATGTTGTTGATTAAGATATCCTATATGTAATATATAGTAATGAATTACATTTATGAGAATAAGACTTCTTCGATTCCCTAACGTTATTATTGTAATTTATCTTATAATGTTTTCTTCTTTTATGCAAAAATCCTAAAAGATTCTTCAAAATCACATTTAGTTTTTAAATAATAATCTTCATTCATGAAAAATGATTCTTATATTTTTTACAATAAAGTTTGATTATCTACAAATACTTATTTAGCAGATATCATTTTCTCGATTATTAATTTATTATTTAATTTTAATGATTTTGTTTCATTAACATCAAATATGTGTGAACTGTCCTTTTTAATTAAATCATTAAGCATTTTAACTAAATACAATTTGTATTGTTTGTATCCTTCAAAAATGAGAGCTTAAAAAGACTCATTTTTATTTAAAATTTAAGTAAAACTATCAATATAAACAATTAGAAATTTAAATGAATTAAATAAGCAATTTTTAACAATTTATAATAATTCTTATTTGATTTCTTCATCATAATTAATCTCTTTTATTTTATCCTCCATTTAATAGAGAAATATGAAATGTGATCCAATAATTAAATATACTATTTTATCTTAAATTTCATCAATTTCTTTATCTCTTAAAGTTTCAGATGAGATAATCAGAGTTCTGACTAATTTATCAAGTGTATTTAATATCACTTGTAATTATTTGATATTTTCACTACTTTACACATTAAATGCAAAATATTCAGCATTCAATTAAAGAAAAAGTTAACAAACTTAAACAAAAATAGGAGATTAATCTTATTCTAATCCTATATCAAATTAAAACATCATGGCAGCAAAAGATTTTTATAATTCTGTTTGATTCTTCTACTCTAAAATACCTAAAATTCCTTTTTATACAATTTAATAATCCTCCAAAGAACTAATTATTGATGTTGAGAATTTGCCACAAAATTGATTTACAATATCACAAATATTTACAATTAATATATGATCAACCCATTATATAATTCCAAATTATTACTTCCATTCTAAGAATATTATTATATAAAATATTTACTTTTAGGCATCTCCTATTATGAAATTGTTAACCTAAAAGAAATTGGTTAGAATTTATGGAATTAATAATAATGTTCATTTTCCATAGTTCTTGGATCAGCTGTTACTAATCTGAATGTTTCAAAAATAACCGAATATAAATTGACCCAAAAGGATGAAAACAAATCCAATTTATAGCAGTCACTAATATATTAATTAAATATTATTACGATAAATTAGATAATAATTGCTTATATATCAATCTTATCAATAATTAAGTTGCTTACTAATTAATTTATTCTTTATATTATTCTTCTAATTCTCTACAATAACTCTATAATTAAGCCAACCTTTAAAATCCATTTTTTTCATTTTAAATAGCCGCTTTAATAACATTACAATATAATTTTAATCCACTATCCCAGACCCAGAATTCAAATTATGTCAATTCTCTACTATTATATTAATATTAAATTTCTAAAAGAGTTTATAAAATCCACCAATGAAATTCTTCATTATTTAATAGAAAATTAGCACTTGCCTGATTCCATTTAATTAACATACATAAATCTTACATAATACGACCTTTGACAGAATCAATGCAATATTAAAAATAACTAATTAATAAAGATAATCCACCATCAGATTTAATAATAAAATTCTCATCTAAAATAAGTGTATCTGAATTTGTTTTTCCAACTCTTGTTCTTAACATCCATTCCATAATTGCAACATAGAGAGGTTCATAATCAATAATTCTTCTATTTGGTTAAATAATCTTTTTTTTTTGTTTGACAGGCTACTTTTTTTTTTCCTCAATAGAATTTTATTGTTCTTCTTGTTAATGAAAGACTAAAGCTTAATTTATTAATGGTTTTCTAGGTTATACATCCTCATCTTCATCATCAGAGTATGTCTCTAATACTTCAACAGCAGCACTATTGCCTAAAGTATGAGCAATCCAATTAGCAATTTCTTTTTCATTTTAAGATTAATTTATTCGAATACTCTCTGCTATCAATTTAATACAACTAGTTTTCACATCTGGACAAGAACATGTTGTTAATAAATTCAATAACATTTACATTACTTCCTCTTATATTAATATCTGAGAAATAGGATTATTACTTTTAGTTTCATATTAAAATAAACCTTATAGCTTTTTGAGTAGTAATTAGTAAAAGCAAGGAGAGCATTTTAATGTAAAAACTCTTGCGATATCAATAATATTCTCTTTTTCTATGTTGGATTATGATTAAAATAATTTATAATGAAGGATTGCATCAATTATATCTAATAATGTAAAAAAAAGATAATACTTAGATAAGAATCTATTAATTAAGAATAGGGTATAGTTGGCAAATTAAAATTAGTATAACCCATTTGATTTGCATGTTCTTCACAACATAATCTATTTTTGGGATCAATATCATAAATCAAAATTTCTAATATTTTACTAATACCAAAAATAGAAATACAAAATTCAGGATTACCATTATAAATTACTCTAATAAATTTTAAATAATCTTCAATAATTGAAAAACTATCTAATTTATAAATTTAGATCCTCCACAATAGATTGCATACAAATTGTTATTTTAATTTTTAATCTTGAATAGAATTATGTAATTATGAAAGTAATTCTATTGTTTAATTATTGATCATTGTAAGTCCTGAATCATTAAGTTTAAGGGCTATCAAACTTAAATATTCTGTTCTAATTGCATCTGCTTATGATTCTGGTCTTGATTTAAAAATTTAACAAAATAAACCCAACAATTCGTTCAATAATTAATCATAAGGCTACAGAATTAAAAATAGTAATAGAGGAACAAAGTTTTCAATTCTACAAAATTATGAAAATTATTATTTCTATGTTATTCTTAAGTATGATCCACTATATGATTGTAAGGCTCCATCAAATTAATTAATTGGATCAGTAATAAAATTGGCTCTAGCTCTAAGTGGAGTATAACACAATAATAATTTATTATTTCCATGACATTTATGTAAATTTCTTAGGTGATCATTTGTTTATATACCCAGGTTTTTGTCTCCACAACTTAAATCACTATATGCATAATAGTAGTTTATACTTTCCATCAAATCCATCATTATAAATTAAAAGACAAGTGACATAACCATAAAAATTTGTAAAAAATTGAAATTCTATGACAAGAGAATCATTTGATATTTGAGGAAAATCTATTTTGATTTCTCTAATTTATTGATTCCCACAAGTCAGATAGAGATAATAGGATTCTTACAGGAAGAATTTTTTCAATTGAATCTGTATACATAAGGATGACCATTCATTATAAGGTATTTCGATCAAACTAATAGGGACTTCGTTTTGAGGTGCTGTATGATAATGAGTAATAAAGTATACAATTTAAATCAACATATTGATAAACTAATTTGTTTCCATTTAAAATAAACTGACATCCTTTTTTTTTATCAGACATTAAGTACATAATTTTAGTTTCAGCTTCTGATTTTATTGCTATTGGATAAAGCCATGTTTATAGAGAAATCCCTTTGCTAAAAATCCATTTCATTTCTCTTGTATCTACAACTAATCCACTATGAATATAATTAAAGTAGAATGAAGCATAAGGAGACTCATAATGATATTCTGAAAATACTTTCTATAAATATTAATTTAATATTACTTATAATAATGTTATGAATCTCTACACTTTTTCATTTGTTAACTAAGAATTATACATTTAATTTTTTATGTAAATGAACATACTTTTGTAATTTTTCTTTGTCAATGTGATTGCTCCCAAAAACCAATCGATAATCCTAAATAATTATTGTGTATGCTGAAAAATTAAAGATATTTGATACATTTTCATTTGTCAAAACATACTCTAATAGCAAATCTACTATCTATTCATTCTGATTGTGTATTAATGCTAAAGCTTACAATGAAGAACATTTTAATAATTATTTCTCTAAATGATCATAAAGTTTTTATTATTCTTCTAGAGGTATTTAATCAACAGATTATAATGCCTTTAAAAGATAATCAGGTCTTCTGACTATTTTGTTTTGTTTATAATGTTATATGAGAGCTGGTCTGAATTGATCCTCAAAAATGGCATCAATTAATTACATTTTATTAATATATTATGCACAAACCAATTCATTTTGTACTCTTAATAGTTTTGACTTTGGGAGCTGAATGGCAAACAGGTTTAGATTATGTGATCAAAAACTAACCTTAATTAACACTTACCAGCAATTATCCAATCCATACTTAAATTGAAATCATATTCGATAAGCAATTCTCAGAGTATGTATCTCTCTTAAAAGAGTACCTGAAGTATTGCTCATGTTTGAACATGTAACCTTTGAATCAATGTTGGATGTCGATATTAATCTTTCATTGGGACAAGTGACCAAATCTGGTAGAATATTTAACCTTTCCTTTTAGGTTTTGAATTAAGGTATCGTTTAGGAGGACCTGCAAGAGTGTAATAACTTAAAGTTAGATGGGTAGCATTTGTCGATAAAAATGTATAACTTACCTATCGTGAATTCAATTTCATGTAATTAAGGGAACTTCGTCAAGGTATTCGTATTTCTTATTGACTATTAGGTTTTGGTGAGAGAGAAGACTCATTCACTCAACCTGTTAATGCTAATATAAAATCACCTAAAGTTAGTACTTTTCTTGTGGGATTCAAAATTAATCCAGAAAACGGACCATATGCTCTTCAAATTAATTGTGCTCTAGATTCACAATTACAGAACATCAATTTAAATCTTAAAACTAAAGATACTACTCATGTAAGATATGTCAAAGTTGCTTTGATTCTTGTTGGAGAAGGTTCAAAAGCCATAACAAAATAAGGCGGTATTGATTCTAGAGGTTTTAATTACTTTGAAGTAATGAAACTTTTATTTTCTAAAGGAATAAAGCACCAGCGGAATAAGAAGAATCGATTACAAATAAGTTGTTCCAGAAACCTTCTTAACGGCTCCTTCAGAAAACATTCTAAGTTAAGGACTAAGAGGCTTTGAGGCAAATAGTACAGAAAGTGAACTTATTTCAATGAGCTTGGATAAGTATCATGTATTCGATGAGAATTATGAAATGAACTTTGGTCCATGTATGGAGTACTTTTCTATTAAGAGTGAATGGCACTCTAATCTACAGTCTAGATTTCTCCATCCTGTTGCACGAACCAACCAAAATAGAGAAAATGACAATGAGTCATCTGCGTAGAAAATGAGTTTAATAAAATAAATATAAGATACTGGGCAAGTTGAAATTGCCTTCTTTTTTTTTTCCTTTTTTCTTTGTTATTTTAGTTATTCAAGACATAGTTTCTAAATATAAATTTTATTTTTTTTGAAAAATCATTATGTTATTGTTATTTGTTATGGTTTATTTTTTAATTAAATTGAAATCATTCCTTATTTTTTCTATGATAATACTTTTTTTGTTTAAAATATTCTTAATTAGATGTGAAAAAAATGTGGTTGAGAAATATTTATTTATTTCGCAAGATTAAATTCGGAATAAAGACTAAAGTAATTTATATTAATATTTAATATTAATTATTTATATCAGTAGAACAAATGCATACTTTTCGAAAATTCGCAAGAGGCTATATGCAAACCATGTTATATGGTATTGAAGAGAGACCAAAATTTAAAGTAAACCACAAATTTTATTATATTAGATGGATGGTACATTTTATTTTATTTTGCATTTAATCAATCATTTTCAATATTTATCAATAATTGTGAATGCAAATTAGAATAAGCGTTTTAGCGACTTTAAATTAGCTTATTCACAAAACTTTTTAGAATTTTTTATATTAAATAATACCTTGAAATCGTCTATGACATCAAATTTGGCATTAGTTATAATTGTGATCTCATTTGCCTCCTAATTAATACTTATCCTATTTTTAATGTTTTCCACATTCATTAGAGTATGGACAGCTAATCTTATTAGAAGAGATATCACAGGAAGTGATAACATGAATTCCAATATATAACAATGGGTCATAAGTTTTAATGAAACACTTCATTGGTTTTTTGTTCTGTATCCTGTAATTTATCTTCAAATTGCAGTTATTTCTTTTAGTTCCCTAACATGTAATTCTGTAAGCATTTTTCCAAAATCTGATTGTGAAATAGGAATAGGAACATAGATAATAGCAATTACTCCATTAATAATATCATACATAAATGGATAAATATTGATTTATATAATGAGGAATCATAGATTTCATGAACCTAATTCTTTAAAAAGAAGATACTCCTCTCTATTATTATTAAATAACACAGTTATCCTAATAGAGATATTTTCCCATTATATTTATGAAGTAAAATTAAATCATTTAAATAATAGTTTCAAGCTGCTGATATTTTAAAATATTCAATGGCTAATTTATTTGCTATAAATTAAATTGTAGATCAATTAACTAATTTCCCTTACAGAGATCCAATACGTATTCCTTCAATTAGATTGGCATTCGTATATGCTTGGATAGTCATAGCTGTTACTGCTTTTAAATTTGGTTTGCTTGAAGAAGAGAATCTATTTTTTTTGATTATCTTACCATTACCAGGATTAGCTATTGTTGGAGAAACCTTATCATCTTTATTTTAAAATCATGCCATATTAAATTATAATTCTAGCGTTTAGATAGAAGAAAAACATATTATTATTGCAGTGGACTAATTTTATAAATATCATATTGATTATTTAAAAGTATATTTTCAAGTAATTGATTAAAGGATCCGTAAGCATAATTGTAATATCTTCAGTTTTTAATGATTCATCGTTTATATTGTAAAAATAATAAGTGTTATTCCAAACTCAAACGTTTTGAAACATTGGATGTTGATTAAAAAAAGGATCTTAATACTCTCACTTTGAGTATTATCAAATGTATATTTAAGGCAGCCCAGAACTGGCTGTTTTCTATGTACTCTTTATATTAATAAAATAGTCATAATTTAAATACAGATTTATAATTTGAGCAGTTGTAATTATAGTATATTAGTTTTGTTTCAGAAATAGCACAAAAACCCCTTATAGGATATATAGAATTAAGACAATATTAGAACAATAAATTGAATAACAATTCTACATATTTTATTGAGATTACTAACAAATTGGCAGATCAATTAAAAAAATAAATAACAGATAATTAAGTTAGACAAAACTCAAAGGCTGTATTAATCCATGAATAAAGAACATAACTTATTGAAATTTCATTGACTTAACAATGGTAAACTTAAAATTTGTATGAAAATTTATTATAAACTTATATTAATTTGGTAGATTAAAAAATAGAACATTGGTAGAATCTAATAAATGGATATCCAAGTTTGAATCCATTTTAATATAATACCTAAAAATTATGTGAAAAAATCATGAATGTAATGTATGGACATATGATTAGCTTAGGATTGCATTGGATAAGTATATAGGAGTACCTTAAGAATGGTTTGATTTAAAAACAACTACAACTAAAGGTATTGCTATTAAAAAATTAAGTCATGCTTAATTAAATATCAATGTTATAACATTAAAATTATATTCATTGTTTTATTCTTTAGTAATGAATGATTTTGATAGAGTAAGAATATATTCAATAATTAGACGGTTTATGTTGAATAGTATGTGAAAGACTTAACTTCAAATGATAGATAAAAAGAAATTGATATAATAGATAATATATCTATTTATAATGATTCTACTACTATTATTTTGGTCAGTATTGTTAAGAATAAAGGGAAGATTGTTAATAAAAATCAATTAGCATTAGCAAATTTTTTCCATTATATTGATGCTAATGATTTTAAAGAATCAGTATCTTAAGTACATAATTTATTACCAAAAACAATGATAAAAGGTCATGAATATTTAATAGATGCTTTCATATAGAAGGGTCATAGTGAATATTTTATTCGTAAGATTTCTGGATATTATGAAAATAAAAAAGGATTTATTGAGAAATGTTATGTAAAATTAGGTAATTTGTTTGAGGAATTAGATGATTATGTTATAACTGCATCTATTCTTAAATGTAATGTATCTAATTAGCTTATTTTGGTTGATGCTGAAGGAAAAATAATTGGAATAAGTGAAGAATTATATAAAACAATCAGTGCAAAAGTTCCAAATATTAACATTGATTTTTTTAAAGAATTCTGTCACTTATTTCTTATTTTTCCATCATTTTTGACTATTTTGAACTAGAATTTAAATAAAATTAATGAATTAGATCATTAATTTATAGAAGATGAAGAACATCTATTTTATATACCTTCAAATTTGGTTGAACTTAATTCTTTGTTTGTTAGGGAATCTTATGAAAAAATGGGAAATACACTTTAAGATGGTTTTGAAAGTTAAAATTTGAGTTCTTGGAGATCATGGAAATCTGTATCTAAATCTTTAAAAAGTGAACATTCTTTTGGATTTGAGAGAGGTAGTACTACAATATTAGGAGAGAAAGTACCTATAGCAGATAAATCAAATATTAATTTTCATTATTAATTTATGAATTAACATAAGGATTTATTGGAGAAGGTATTAATTTTAATTTATATTTAAAGTATTCAATAATCAGAACAAGAATAAAAATATCTTATTAGATGATGAAAGTAAAAAGATATTCTTATCCATATTTTATTATAGAATTAGAACATATGAATGAGATTACTTCTTAACATAAATTTTATAACAAATATCCAACAATGGGATAAAACTTTGAAGCTTCTACAACTTTGTTTAATTCTGCTTAAAATCATAAATCTTTAAATGAAACTGTTCCATCTAGTGCAGATAGATCACTTTAAGATACTAAACCAGTTAGTTTTTAACCAGATAAATTAGTATTAGAATCATAATATAATAAATAAATAAATAAATCATCTAAAATTAATGAAGATAAAATTAAATAATTAATTTAGTAAGATGATAGCAATATTTTATTTGGAAATGATCATTCATAAATTAGATTATTTGATAAACCAAGTGCTATTGAAGTTTAAGATATATCAGCTCCACCATCAGAAATTATTTTACCAAAAAATGCATATAGACCTGATTTTAGTGGAATCCCTGTATAAAAAGATTAAGATAATGATTCGGATGAATTCTTTGAATTACATAAATAGTTTGATGTAATAATCTAAAATAATTATAAAGGAAAAATCAATTAAAGTTGAAGAAAAAGAATTATAAAAAGAAAAATCAAGTGATGAATTTAAAGATAAAGATGAATCACAATAAGAGATAGAAGATAATCTTGAAAAACATTCCTCAAATTAAAATGGCAATAAGAAAAACTTTATTTAATTATTAATGGAAAATAAAAAAATGCAATAAGAGTAAGATTGAATTATAATATCTATTTATAGGAATTAAAATGATAATGATGAGGAGGAAAAGAAAAAAAGGTCAATTGCAAGTTCATCAAAGACAAGTACATCTAAATCACCTTCTTTACTTGTTCGCTCCTTGTATTAAGTAAGTACTTTTGGAGGAGGTCTTAAATCTGTTATATTTGCAATTTTAGTGTATCTTATTTTACAATTCTGTCTTGTATTTGTTAAATTAAGTATTATACAAAGTAAAATTTATTAATTTATTTAGATAATTATGACATATTATAAACTAATATTAATTATGTAACTTATCCTGAAACTTTGAATTTCTATTTTTAAAAGATAGCTTTTTTTGCTTGGATTAGTTTATAAGAAAGATTAGATATAATTAAATATAGTGATTTCATTAAAAAATAACAAATAGAAGAATTGATAGCCACTAGAGCAATCATAGACATAAAATTAAATGAATTATATAAAGGTATTATATAATTTGAAGAATAAATTATGAACGATGAACTTAAATTAGTAAGTATTAATGATTTATCATTTTCTGAATAATAACTTGATCTTACTTAATTAATTTAATAAATTCAATTACATGCATTTAATTATATGGATAATGCTTAAGATGGTGTCATATTTTCTGATTGTATGTTCTTTAGATTAAATATTCCTTATGTTTATTAATTTGCATATAAATATATTACATTACTTAATGAAAACTTGGTTTATTATGAAGATAGAATCATAAATGATGTAGTTGTATTAACAATGACTTTTATTGCTGTCAATAGTTGTATCATTTTATATATATTATATAATACTTATTTATTGACTTAATATGAAAGATAGATATTAATGTTAATAACAAGAGTATCTCATAAAACTGCTGAAGATATCATGTAAAAATTAACTGATGTTAAAACAATTTTAATTGAACCTTCATAATTGTTATGGAAAAGAGTTAATTATTTTGAATTAAATTATGAATAAGTATAATAAAATCAATAAGTAACAAGTCTTTTGTTTTCAAAATCAGTTAAAACATAATCAGTTACAAAATCAAATGAATTATCTGTTTAAAAATCAAAATTAAGAACAAAAAGATCATATTAAAGCAATTCTTTGGCTTAAAGAATTTATGATTTAACTTTAAGTTATCCATCAAATCTTATATTCCTTTTTTTCCTTTGGTTTCTGGCTATATTATTTATTATTGGAGGAATTTTAGTAACTATCAGTTAAGTATCAGATATTAAACCTACACTTAATCTTAATTTATAATTGATTCGATTTAAACTTAGATTTGACACCTTGATAGTTTTAGGCGAATGTTTAAAAACACAATAAGTAATTAGTGATTAATTTAATACTAAATTTGGTAATGTTAATATTGATATGAAAAATCAATTAATTTTAGATCTATTTAGTGAATAAACTGATGGATTTTAAGATTCTATGAGAAGTATTTATGATTCCCTTGCTAGTTAATCTGGACTCTTAGAAGCCTAAAAAAAAGAATTATTGATGTACTTTGAAGATAGTTTATGTAATTACATGAGTGAAGAAATACCATTTTGTACTATTAGAGTATCTAATTAAAATTTTTCTGTTCCTGATACCTTCAAAACAACTTATGGTAATCCATGGTTAGAAGATAATAATTTTGATTATTTATCTGGAGGTATTACTGGTTGTGTCTAAGAGTTTACAAAGACATTAAATTTATATTTCTCTAAAGAGATTTTATTAAAATAATTTCAAGTTGCAACAACTTAAGAGGCAGTATCTTTTTTAAAAACATAAATTCATATAAATCAATTTGTTGAATATTATCTAGACTCTGGAAAATTATTGTCCATCATAGGAGACAATTTATTCGAATAGAATTAATCAAAATTATAATAAGCCACAACAATCATGCAATTATACATTTATATAACAGGGCTAGGTTTGCTAATTATTTTAGGTTCTATCTCATATTTTTGGGTAAAATATGTTAGTTCTAGAATGAAATTAATGAGATTAAGTTTGACACTCATCCCATATGAAATCCTATTGGAACCAAAGACAATGAGTTCTTTAAAATAATTATGATATTTACTTATTAAAGTTATCTATTCTTTCTCAAAATCTTTTGTATTTTTTTATTGAATTTAAAAAAGAAGTTGTTTTTATATATATATATAGATATTTCAATAAAAAATATAATGTTTTTGTATTTTTCACTTTAGAACCTATTATACTTAAATTAGTCAATTATATTTGAGTTTATATTATGAATTGATTACTTAGATTTTAATCAAAAGAAAAATTAGGAGAGTTTATCTATTTTTAAATATCTATTAATTAGGATTTTTAATTAATATATTTTAATAGTTAAATTTCATGAATATTAATTCTATTATGATAATATATTTAATAAAAGAATAATGATTGTAAAAGAATTTTTAATTACTTATTAACAAGAATTTATTGAATATATATATTGAAATTTGCATATTGTATAAAAAAAATAATATAAATTTTATTAATTGATGGATTAAAAACAAGAATAATAAGAAGAAGAACAGGTTTAAAATAAAGTATAATAGAAATAATAATAATAATAACCTAAATAATAACCTAAAGAAAAATAATTAGCAGTCAAAAATCCTAAAGGCACAAGAGATTTCTTACCTTAATAAATGGTAATAAGGAGATAAGCATTTAAAATAATTACAGATGTATTTGAATAACATGGAGCAGTTGAAATTGATACTCCTGTTTTTGAATTGAAAGAAACATTAATTGGTAAGTATGGTGAAGAAGGAGGAAAATTGATTTATGACCTTTAAGATTAAGGAGGTGAAATCTTATCTTTACGATATGATTTAACAGTACCATTTGCCAGATATCTAGCAACTCACGGATATAAGAAATTAAAAAGATATCACATTGGAAAAGTTTATAGAAGAGACAATCCATCAATATAATAAGGGAGATTTCGTGAATTCTTTTAATGTGATTTTGATATTGCTGGAGAGTATTAATAAATTTTAATATTAGAAATGATCCTATGGTAGCTGATGCAGAATTAATAAAAATAATTGATTAAATATTTACTAAGTTAGATTTAGGACCATTTCAAATTAAAATATCAAATAGAAAGTTATTAGATGCAATGATTTAAATAGCTGGAATTCCTAAAACTTAATTTAAGACAGTTTGTTCAAGTATTGATAAATTAGATAAATAACCATGGAAAGAAATCAGATAGGAATTAATTGAGAAAAAAGGTGTAACTGAAGAATAGACAGAAATTTTAAGTAAAATGGTTTAGTTGAGAGGAGAGCCTTTCTAATTGATTTAATAACTTAAAGAATAAAAGATATTTGAATAATAAGGAAAAGAAGCTTTAGATGAAATGGAACTATTATTTACTTTGTTGAAATATATGAATGGATTAAAAAATGTGATCTTTGATCTCTCTTTAGCAAGAGGACTTGATTATTACACAGGATTAATCTAGGAGACTGTATTATTAGGTGGATAATTAGGTTCTATATCTGGAGGGTATATAATATATTTTTAACTATTTAGAGGTCGTTATGATGATTTAGTTGGTATGTTTTCGAAAAATAGCATACCTTGTGTTGGTGCATCTATTGGAATAGAAAGAATATTTGCTATATTAGAAGAAAAATATAAGAAAAGTGGAATAGTTTTACGTGAAAACTAATCAGATATCATCGTAGCTACAATCCCATCTAAAAATATTGATATGATTGCTGAGAAATTTAAAATCTATGATTTGTTATGGTCTAATGGAATAAAAGCAGATGTTTGTTATAAATTAAATTGGAACTTGGGCAAACAATTAACTTATGCAAATGATTAATAAATCCCTTATGCAATAGTTATTGGTGAGGATGAAGTCAAATAAGAAATTGTTAAATTTAAGGATTTAATAGAAAAGAAGGAAGAGACTATTAATTTGAAAGATCTTGTTTAAATAATAAAATAAAAATTAGGAAAATGAATATATTAATAAAAAATTAATGAGTAATAATTCTTAGATTGATTATTTCGATTTCTTTCCAGATATTGAATTTAAATTTGAGCAATTAAATTAGTATTTCTGTAATTATTGTACTCATTTATATTTATATCTTATACAATATTAGTTAATCAATTTTAATATAAATATTCTCCATAATTTCAATTGCTTAGAGGTCTTATTAAAATATAGATTCACTATATTAAATAATAAAATAAACTGTAATGTTAATAATATAATAATTTCATGATAATGAATGAAAAATAAGAATTAATTCATTAAATTACAGATGAATCAATTGACATAAATGTTGCTAAAGACTTGTTATCAGAAGCAGTAATTGAGAATCCAAGTAATTATAATTAGTCATAGTAGAGGTTCTTGGAGTGATTTTTGAATAGAAATTAAATATGCATGCTCTTTGTATTTTGCATAACGTTTTGAAAGAGTATAGTCCTCTTTCATCTTTGATAGCAGAACAATTTCTAAATAAGAATATTTATGCTTAATCTTCGATTGTTAGGATTTATTATTCTTATTTATAAAAGACAGCATCTGTTCATGAATTATATTAAGCAATTAAAAATTAAAAGGTAGAAAAACTAGACAATCCTTAGATAGTGGTTATAACTGCTCATAAGGTTTAAAATTTATCGAATGTTGGGCTTTAATTACTTACATTATATACACCCTCATTCAAAAATATGTAAATATAAGTCTATGAAGATGTGTACGATTATGCACAATTTGTAAAAGATTAATTTATTCATATCATAGGTATGACTATTAAAATAGTATAGATAGTTATCCTACATTTTCAACATCAGCAACAATCAGTTTATATTAAATATATAATGATGTATTAATATAAGATGCAGAGTTAAATGATTTTAGAAGATGTTGTTAAGATAACACTCTTAGAGAACCTATCAAATTAAATATACAAGAGAGTCTATTATCAGATTTCTTGAGTCTTTCTTCATCCCTTTTACTTGTAAGTGCTAACACCCTCAGACCTCTCAACATTCCAACTAAGCTTTTACCATGTGGAGGTCAAGAATAGCAAGTTATGAGATATTACAAGAAATTTTATTCAATTAGTTGATTTATAATTAAAATATTAAATTAATATTCAATAGCAATATAACCTAAGTTTAGCTTGTAAATTATTATTCTCTATCCTATAAAATTAATAAAAAACTATTTAGCCATTTTATATTAATATTTACTATAATTATAGCATTCATAGAGTGTTGATAATTCAAATGGAAATTAGTATATGTCCTCTTCAATTTATTATGCATTAAGGTTGAAAAGATCATAATCCTTACATAATATTGATCTATCCTTATAATTTATTATAGAGGTTGCATAATGATTGTATTATGCGAACTTAGCATCTTCTAGAATCATTTTGAATTAACATAAATATAATATAAAGTATAAAGTATAATACACATTATTAAAAAAGTAAATACAATTGTGATACTAACTATTAATTAAATTAAATTTCACTGCAAATAAAATTTTATACAATTCATATCTTTTTTTTGGAATTAAGAATGATGTTCCTAATCTCATAAATACCAGATTAAATTAGAAATCCAGATAATAATTAAAATAAATATGGAAAACTATTCAAGCACTTACTTAATTTTCTTACTTGTCATTATTTCTATCAGTTAGATTTAGTCATAAACCTTGGATGAAATTAAAGCTCAAATTGTCAATGAATGGAAAAGTATTGCTTTAGAATTGGTTCCTCTTGATCAAGGAAACCAAGTCTAACCAACATATGAGAGAAGACTATGGAATTTCATATCAGATTCTGAATTCTCAATGAAAATTGAAGTGTTTAATGACAGATCTGGTTCAAATAGACTCTAAACTTTCGAAGGAAGTGGAATTATAACATACCAAGGTGAAAGTAATGTAATTCAAGGAGCATTCCTTTGCTAATTCCATTTAAATAAGACTTTCATCTTAACACTTCATACAGATGATCTTGTTCTTTAATTTAACTAAATTCAAAATGGAGGGATTACTTGGACCAAAGACAAACCTCAAGATATAACATTATTACCAGTGCCTGCTTTTAATAAGTTAGCTGGTCAATATTTGATAGCTTACGATTTAATTTATATTAGAAATAATTACCTATACATGGGTGATGTTGATGCTTTGGGTAACATGGCTTCTATTGACGAGCCACCACGAGGCTTATGTGCTCCATTAATACCTTCAAATGATGATATAACACCACTAACATTGGATGAATTAAAAGAAGAGATAGTGAAAGGAGTATGGACTAGCTTAGCTAAAGAAGTTCGACCAGGATTAAATAGTGAAGGTCAAGTTACTACATCATTCTAAACTAGAAAATTTACTTTTCCTGATGATTCTTCATTCACTTTAATTGTAAGTAGTTATCCTGGCCCTGGACAAACAGAATCTCTGATGGATATAGAAATAATTGGGGATTTGATATGGGAAGAAGATGCTTCTGCTGTGGTTCCTGGTGCTCAATTTGCTTAATTTGTGGTGAATGAGTTTTATCTAACACCAAAAACTGATCAAATGGTGTAAAATTTCAATTAAAATTTACCTTAAGATCTTGATCCATTTTAATTGAATTAAAAGGCAAATTTAACAAAAAAGGATTTTCCAGCTTTTGGATTATCAAAGGATACATAAATTAAAGAAAATGATTTATTATATTAAAGGGAAAACCGTTTATATTTAGGTGCAAGGCCAGTTGATGGAAGAAGACCTTTCCCAACTGAAAGAAGAACTTACAGTTTAAGCGATGATCTAATAGATCCAGAGAGAAGTGCATCATTTGCCTACATAATCATGCTAAACATATTAATATTTAGCATATGGATTTGAAATATAAATAATTGTATAAAAATCAAAATTGTTATCAAAAGTTTATTCTTTTAAATTATCTAGTTTAAAAATAAAGGGGAAGTATTTTGATCTTTTTTTTTAATTAGAGCTATTAATTTACATCAATTTACACTGTACAACATATACTTTTGGTTGCTAAGTTTATAAACTTTAATGAAAAATATATAAAATATAAAAAGTTCAATCGACTGTTATATAATATAGTTCTTAAAAAAAAGAATTTAATTCCCTTTAATAATAAAAATTATAAACAAAACTACTATGATTATTAATATGTTGTTATTAAATAAATATAGTAATTAATTTAAGTTAAATAAATTTATATATAATTAAAATTCATGCATCTTAATTAAATAGATTGCTTTATTCATCTCTATTAACATATTTGTAAATAGTTTCTTTTTTATCATAAATCTATATATAATAATTAAATACTTCTTCCATTTCTTTAAATGCTTGTAATAGTTTATCATTGTAAGGATAGAAAATGCCTTCTTTATAATTGACAAAATTAGCAGAAGCTGGTACCCATTCATTGAAATTTTCATGAAGATCATTATCAATTAAATTATCAATTTGTTTAACATCTCTAATTCCTTATTGTAATAATTATCTTAAAGTAAAATTATTTTTAGCTGCTTCTAAAATTTCTTATTTATCTAATTAACCATCTCCATTAATGTCACATTCTATAAATATTTTTGAAATTGTTTTTTTTAATTTCTATCTATCACTAAATGATGCAATATTTAATTTTAAAACATTATATAATTCTTATTCTGAAATAGATCCACTACCATCAGTATCACAAATTTCAAAAAATACTTTCATTTTCTCTTCAATTGAATCTTCCTTAAAGACCTCTAATCCTACAATTAATTCCTTATAATCTATTGTTCCACTTTAATCTTCATCAAAAACATAAAATAATTTTTCAGAAAGATCAGTACCCAATCCTACAACACTTAATAAATCTGTAAATTCAGCTTTATTTAAACCATTTTATTTCTTTTTTGCATATTTAACCATAACTTAATAATTACTAAAAAGTTATGTGATAGCTTCTTTTCTATTTTTTAATAACCATTATATAGTTTTCCACTTCATTTTAAACTTAGATCTAGCAGTTACTTTTTTGGTTAGATTGAAATTAGAATGCTTTTATGTTTAATTATTTAACATAATAGATACACTACCTTTAGGAACTGACACTGCTTTTTTTATGTTTCTGTTCTTCTCTGTATATTTGCATTTATTTTATAATTTCTTATTATAAACTAATTCTTAAATCTTTTCTAGTCTCACCAACTATGGATTCTTGCATTAATATTTGTATCCTTCATTTCAAATAATTCTTACGTTTCATTTAAGGATCTTGTTCAGATTCTAAGATTACACTTAAATCCTAACTTTAAAAGCGAGTAGGTAATTCAATCACACTATTTTGACTCTTCTAAGAAGCTATTGATCTTGGAGATGGCTATATTGAACGACTAACCTATGAAGAATTCATATTCTATTTGGGACCATAACTATGATCTAATGCATATGAATGAGTTTTCATTAGAAAAAGTTTTTATTTCATGATATTTATTATTTAGAATATTTTCTAACAAAACTTCAATAATTCTGTTGTTAATAAATAAATATAAAAAATTTATTCATTTTTATTCTTATTCAACCTTCTTAATTAATTCTAAAGTAAAATCCCATAATTATTAAGCTCTCTATTTAGAAGTGTATTTAGGTTAAGATAATTCACAATTATCATAATAACCACCGTCTACCAATTAATCATCACTCATCATAATACAATGAAGTGTTGTTTGACATCCATAATAACAATCTTTTGTGAAATAGGCAAAGAATGGCCATAATATCTTTAATAACCAATCAAACCATTTTGCAGATAACTAATATTACAAAACTTCACTTCTAACAACACCGGGATGTAAAGAACATGCTTTAATACCAGTTCGTTTTGAGAACTCTTACGCATTCAATATTAAACTTAATTTAGTGTTACCATAAGCTCTATAAGTATAAATTCTACTCCAAAATATACTATTAGCCCATTTATCACAATTGATATCATTAAAATCTAATCCCTCATATGTATGAGCAACAGAAGCCACATTAATTACTCGAGGACTATCTGATTTTTTTAATAATGGTAACTAATTTAAATGATAACAATTACTAATTGTTAAGTTAAATAAAAGGGTCCAAAATAATTAGTACCAAATTATGCTTCCAAACCATATTATGTTAATTATCTTGTTAAGGTACCCATTATAGCAGCATTATTGATTAAAATATCAATTTTCTTTACTTCCTTATTAACTTATTCAACAAATTATTATATAGATTTCCAATTTTATAAATCTAAAGGAATGTATTTAATAGTAGTTTTAGGATGGTATTTATTCAATTGATTTAAAAATTCAGTTGGTTTAGTTCTACTTCCAAATATTATTGTGCAATTATGATTTGCTAATTATCGAATAGTCTCTTAGCCAATTCCTTTGCTCCCTCCTGTGATAAGAATTATCTTGTTTGAGATATCTCTTCTTATTATGCATTCTTTTCCTCTAAAATATATTCGGAAAACATATCCAAGAGTAAGAGCAAGTAACAAAATAATTAAGTCTAACCACATATTTAATTTTAATAATAATATTATTAAACAAATCCAAATACTAATTTGAGTTAAGTAAATTGATTAAAAATAAGAATTTAATTCTATATAGATAATTTTAAATATACATGATCAAAACTCAAAATCACATCTAATAAAACATAAGTTTAGTTGGATAATCTTTCTAAATAATTTATTAATTAATTTATAATAAAATAATTGTTTGAAATCCTCCTCTATTCTATTCTTTATTAAGTCCTTTTTATCTAATTTTATCTATATTTTAATTATTCTTCAAATATAAAACAATTTAAGTAATTTTTGAGAATCTAAGTTGTATATTCAATATTCAGTTATCTTATTTTAGTTTACAATTTTGAATTTATTTGTAAGTTATCAATTAGATTATGAATAATAGATGATTTATTATGTGAGTTTTTGTTAATGAAATTTGAAAATCCTTTAAATATGCTCTCTTTCTTAATTTAAAATAAGAAATAATTCATATATTTATTATTAATGAATAGGGCTTAAACAGCAAGTGAAGGGTTTAGATAAAAGAAGACAATGTCATCAACAGGTTTCAAATTTCGTCCAAGCACATAATAAATAAATCGGGATGTTCACTACAAAGATTCATTGTCAAATAATGAGGTTATTGAAATTAATCCTGATCATATAATGTAAATAGTGTTTCTTAAATATTGTAACTTAGATTTTACAATATTCGTAAACAGATTCCTTAATAGAAACAAGTGATTGTCCGTAACCTTACTAAGATTCCAAGAAGAATAAGGATTACTCAACCAACAACAGCACCTGCTCGATTTAGAGTAGACTATGATATGTAAGGATCATTGGCAGCAGGTTTATCAATGATATTAGTAGTGTATTTTGAATGTACAGTCGTTGAGGATTATTTTGATGTTTTTGTCATTACTTCAGAGGATGGCTTTAAATTTAATGTAAAATTATCAGCACTTAAACCTCAACCATTCATTGAATTTGATACATTTTTAGATTTAGGATATTGTTAGATTAATAAATGTAAGGAAGGTAAGATAAGATTTAAAAATGTTCCAATTGAAGAAGAAGATAAGAAAAAAAAAAAAGGAGAAAAAGAAAGAGATTCAGAAATTGAAAAAGAATTGACTGCTGAAATCACATTAAAAAATGATAAACTTACATTCGAACCAAGACATACATTTTTGGTTAAACCAGATGAAACAGTTGAAATAACTGTTAAATATTAAACAAATTAAGCAAGCATTTTTAGATAAAGTATACAAGTCATTAAACATTGGAATAATAGTATTGATACTATAGAAGTTTCTTGTATTGCTGTAGATTATTCTATATTCTTTATTGATTAAAATCAAGCATAGAGTACAACAATTGATTTCTAAGATCTTGTTATGGGATATCCAAAATAATATTCTGGATCATTAGTAAATAATACACCAGTTAAATAAAATTGGAAAGTTTTAATAAAAAAGGGTTTTCATACTATGACATCTTCAGTTGGAGGATTTTAAACTCCAAATGAAGTAGGATTAGAATGGTTAGAAAAAGTAATTAGAGTAACACCAGAGAAAGGTTCAATGGAACCATATGCATAAATGCCAATTAAAATTGAATGTAAGGGTCCAGTAACTGAGGAAGGAAAAATGAGATGTGAAAATTATGCGTTCTAAGATAAAACAAATGATAATTTAAAGTATGAAGCTCCAATTGATTTTGGATATTCTTTATTTTTTGAATTTTTTGGAGAAAAGAATGAAGAAACTCTCATAGTTCATGCACAAGGAAAACATATAAGACCACAAGTCAAAGTTAATAAATAAGCTTTAGCTTTTGGAGAATGTTAAGTAAATGATACAAGAGATGCAATTTTGGTTATAGAAAATACTCATAAAAATTAAACTATTGATGTTACATTTAGCAAAGCACCATAATTTTTAGTGTCTCCTTTACAATACTAATTGGGACCACAAATGAAAAGGTAATTTATAGTAACATTTGCACCTAAAAATGTTGGAAGAGTAAATTCTTCATTAAATGTACTTCTTGTAGATTCTTAATATCCTGTTAAAATATAATTAAGTGGTCATGCTAATTTTAATCCAGAAAAAAGACCAGTCACAAGAGGACCAGAAGCTTTACCAAAAGATTTTGATTTAGATAGGCAGTTTGTGGATGAAAAATAATTACAATATATAGAAATGAGAAGAAGAGAAATAAAATCAGAAATGCAACCAAAAAGATCAACTAATTATATTGGATAATTATTTGAAGATGAAAGTGAATAAAGTTTACATTAACAATAATAAAGAATGTAAGGTATGAGTGAATATGAATAAGAAAGATATGCAGAAAAATTATAATAATTTTATTAAACAAGATAAAATTAAGATAAATATAATGAATATTTAAAAAGTGAAAGATAATCAAGATTATAAAAAAAGAGAGATAAAATACTTAATATGAGAGTTGAATCTATGTAAATGGAATTAAAATAAAAGTTCTCAAGTACTGAAGATGATAAACCAATTGATGTAGAATTTAAATTAGGTATTATGGGTAGAGAAACTGATGAAAATGATCCAGAGTTACCTGAATATTGTGATGGATTATTTGTTACTAAACCTATTGATAAATATGAACCATTTACAAACTAAAAAAAACTATTTTAACCTGATCCATTATAACCTATGCGTAAAGCATTTCCATAGGAAGCATAAACTCATAAAGAAAAAAGAGAAGTGGCTATGGAATTAACAGGAGAAGAATTAAAGAAAATATAAGCTGGTCCTGTAGAAATTGATTTTGGGAATGTATTTGTGAAAAGTGAAATTGCTAGAACTTTTCACATTAAGAATGATCTAAGAACCAGTATCAGTTGTTAAATTATTACAGAAGAACCAGAATTAGAAAAATCTTATACTAAAATCTAAATAATCCCATCATCAGATACAGGTAGATTTAAAATAGTACTTAAATCTGATAAATTAGGATCATTTAGTAGAAGAGTAACTTATGTGATAAATGGAAAACATAGATTTGAATTTAATGTGAAAGCTGAGATCTAGAATGTAAAAATTGAATTGTCATTTTAAAAATTTGATTTTGGTTTCAGAGAGGAAAATATGTCTTTAGAGACATGTGAGATGGTAAGATTAACAAATAATGGAAATGCTACAGCATTTTTTTAATGGTTAGTTAGTGAATAGAAAGTATTTACAGTAAATATAGAGAAAGGTGAGATATTATCAGGGAAATATATAGATGTTTTAATAATTTATAAACCATCAAATTATATAATAAAAGAAGATAAACCATAACCTATTTAAGGTAAGACAAATTATTCAGTTTCTATAAATAATTAAACAAGACTTGATGAAGATAAATTAATTTTATAGACTAAAGATGGACTTGATTAAGCAATAAAAGTAGTGGGTTAAGTGAGTGATGCAAGATGCAATATTAAACATTCAATAGTAGATATGAAAGAATTATTGGTATGTAAAACTGAAATTAAATACTTCACAATTCGTAATGTTTCTAGAGTAAATGCTTTCTTTTCAATTATGACAGAGAAGTTACCAGCTGCTTGCGATATATCTCCAAGTAGTGGTAAGATAGGACCTGATGAGACAAAAGATATAACAGTAAAATATATGTCTAAAGAGTAAACAGATATCAAGACTGATATTCAGATTATAATTAGAGGTGGAAGAATTCTTAAGATTCCATTCTTGGTTAAAACAATTATACCTTAAGTAGAAATAGTGTAGGATTAATTTGATTTTGGTAAATTAACGACTTTGGGTAATGAAGGTTCTTTAAAGATGACATTAGTTAACAATTCATCAATATCTGCTGAATTACTATTAAATTTGGATAAGGATAGTCCAGAAGCACCAAATGGTATAGAATGTTTATAAGTTATACCTGTTGATGATCTAGATAAAAGTGTTTTAAAGAGTATTCATGAAGATGAGAATACAATAAAATAAGTAGCAGATAAGAAATCAGAAGAAGATGAACTTGCATCTGAGGCTATTTCATCTGCTGATGAAGATGAATTGGAATAGAAAATTAAATCTAAATCATATATTTTAACTATTTAAGGTAATTCAAAATTGGAATTTTACTTAAAGTTCAGTCCAAGAGATGTTCAAACTTATACATTTGATCTACCCTTAACTTTAAATAGATATGGTCGTCTTTTGAGTTTGACAAGATAAATAATTTGCAGAGGATTGAAACCTCGATTTGTAATGGATCCTCAATGTGTTGAATTTCCAAGAAAAATCATTACTTCTTTAGAAAAATGTTTTGCTGCTACTGTAGAAATAACACTAAGTAATCCAGAAAGAAAACCAGTGTATTGGAGAATGGATGTTACATCTATAACAACTGATAAGATATTTAATATCACTCCAATTGAAGGAAAAATTGATTCTGGATAGACAGTAAAAGTTAAGGCTTCTTTTAATCCATAAAAAGCAGATGATTATTAAAAAAATATTCCTGTTTATATTGATAGCCAAGAAAGTTGCTATTTAGAATTAATACTAAAAGGGAAAGCTGCATAACCAAAAATATTATTTGATAGAAGAGAAGTTTTATTGCCTCCAGTTCCATTAAATATTGAATCTAAATGTTCATTTAAAATATTGAATGATGGATATGAAAACCTAAATCTCAGACATAAGGTCTTTGGAGAAGAAGGAAATATTAATGTAAAATTGAGATTTCCAGAAGGAGTAAGTGTAGGTATGTCTAAAAAGAGATTAAGAGTAGATGCTCTTTTTTAATCATAAAAATCAGTGTCATTTACTACAAAAATTGAATTTTATGATGAAATGGGTAAAGTATATACAATACCTGTTTCTGGAACTGCAGATAATTGTTTACTAACTAGTTTTAGTTATTAATAAAGATGTGCTAATGAATTTAAAATAGATGAAAAGATTTCTTAAGGTTAAACTTCTTAAGGTCCAATATGTTTAATGGATGATGACGATGATGCTAATTCTGATATTCAGAGTCCTCATAAAAAAGGTGCTCCTAGTGTTATCAGTTATAGATCTCTAAGTTCTATGAGTAATCAAACTACAGCAAGTGCACTTGGTTATATTCCCATTCCACAAGATTTGGTTGAATAGAATAAATAGTATGCAACAAAATGGCTGAAATTTTTCTTATGGAGTGCTAATATTCATGCTTTTCCAGAAGGAGTCATAGAATAGGATGGCTAACCTATTTTTGAATTAACATCTGTATTGAGTGGCAAATCATTACCACTCCCTTGTTAATCGTATCTAGATAAAAATGCTAAAAAACAAGAGAGAATAACTCAATTATTGAAATAATATGATGATTTCATTAGAATGTTAAAATCTGAAGGAGCTTTACTTAATCATATTCGTCCTTATCATCTTCTCAGTTTTAGTGATTTGAATGCTGCTTTCAAATTATTGCCAGAAGAAGAAAAGGAATAAGTGCATCCTAGTGTTTTAAAAATAACACAATAGAGATACAATTATATATCAATTGATTCTTGGTGTGCTGTATTTCACTAAATTTTAAAGATTTATGGTTTACAAAGAATTAATATTAAATATTATAGATAAATCCCAGGTTGGGGAGATAAACCACTTCCTGATTGCTATATTAATGGAAGCAACATTTATTCTCCTTAAGAAGGATTGTTGATGAGATGGCTTGAAGTTTGTGCTGAATCTGAAGGACATCAATTACCAAGATTGAAATATTTTGAATAGTTGAAAGATTGCCATTATTTTGCTGCTGCTTTATAACATTATGTGGGACCTTCCTTGACTAAATACTTGTCCGGTCTAAAAGTATGTGAAACTGTTTAAGATTTTAAAATAAATTCAAATAAAGTATTAGCTGCTTTGATGGATATGAAATTTTCAATTCCTTTTGAATTAGGCAATTTTGCTGAACCAAGTGGTAGGGAAATGCTTATATTAGTCTTACATTTATTTAATCAATTGCCCAATTATTTAAATAAAGGAACTGAAGTATTCTCATGTGTTTTGGGTCAATCAATCTCTAGAACTTTACTCATTATAAATAAGAACAATAGACCAGTTTCTTATTGGGTTAAATTGGAAAAAGAAGAAGATTTTAAATTAGAAGGAGGAGATCACATTAAACTAGAACCAAATTAGCATTTACCTTATAAAATCAAATTTGTTTCTAGAATCTCATAACCTGTAACTGATAGAATTACTTTTATGCCTAAGAGAGAACATAACCTATTTACTGCTGCTATAGTGTACGATCTCAAATCCTAAATTTTGGGAAGAGAAAGTAAATCAGTTGAAGAAGTAAGTTCACCTCTTTACGAAAGCAAAGATTTTTATCTTTAAATCTCCAATGAATTCACAAAATCAGAATTTGGAAATTTTCAAATTAAGATGTTATTTGAAAAGGTGATTGAAACTAATAAAAGAAAACCTATCCAAAATAATAATAATAAATCTCAGTAAATTGAATAATAAAAGGAAGTTTTTCCAGCAATATTTTGTTAATCTGAGATAGTCAAAATGAAAAAAGGATCCTAATTATAATTATAATTGAGATACGTACCTATGGTCTTAGAATAATAGAGATGTTTCCTAATATTTACTGATCCAAATGTGGGAGAATTTCAACATGAAATATTAGCTACTGCTGAATTGCCTGAAATCTAATAAGAAGTAAAATAATATTAAGTGTTTGTTGATCAGCCTGCTATCATGGAATATATGATACTACCAAAAAATGAATAGATTTTTAAGGCTAGAGAATCAATACTCAATTATACGAGTAAAAAATCATTGCCATTACCTGGAGGAGAACCTGAGACTATTAATTTTGATATTGAATTAAGCAATCATTTTGGATTCTTGACTGCTCCTAAATAGTTTACAGTTTAAGATTTATAGAAATAAAAAGCTAATAGAGTACAAAGAGAAAAATTGGAAAAATAATAGTAATTAGAAAAAGATAAATAGATGCAAGCATTATAATAATAATAACCATAACAATCATAATTGTAATAGGGTGCCAGATAGAATACAGAAATAAAGAATATTTCTATGATAAGCAATATTACAGCTAATCCAAATAATGTTACTGCTAATATTTCAATGTTACCTGATGTTAATAAAATGCCTTTGTAATTTCTATTTAAGAATCCCGTTAAAGATATGCCAATTATCATGACTCTCAGAAGCAATGATAAAACTGATGTGAGAAGGTATAAGTTTTTAGTGACTGCCTTGCCAAAGCCAACTAAAGCTTAGATGGAAATGAAATGTCCATCTAGAGAGAGTATAGTTCAAGATATTCCATTTTCAAATCCAAGTGATAAGGATTGGACTTTTAAATTTCTATTAAATTAAGAAGGAAATTGTTTTTCGTTGTTGAATGTTCCTACAGCATAACCTGATCATGGACACAGTTCAATATTTATTGGAGGATACAAAGATTTGATTTTGAAGAAGAAAACTAAAATTGATATCAAATTATAATTTACACCAAAGTGGATGTGTAAAGTAGAGGCTCATTTACAAATTACTAATGTAAATACGAATGATATCTATGATTACACAATTACAGGAATAGGAGAAGAACCTTTAGCCTAGTCAAATATTGTATTATAATGCAAAGCTAGATAAAAAACAAAAACAGAAATCATTTTGAACAATTATTCCTAAAATGAAATGAAATATAAAGTAGAAACTGATTTGATCAATGCAAGTGGTTTATAAAATTTTACTATTGCTCCACAAAGAAAATATCGTTATGAATTATCAGTAATGCCAATGCTAAGTGGATAATATAATGGATCAATAACATTTTATGAGGAAAGTGGTGAATATATTTGGTACACTGTAGTATTGGATACTGATTCCCCAATAGCTGAAAAGGAAGTTGAAATTTCAACTCAAGTGAGAAAACCAGTAAGTTTTGAGATAGAACTTAGTAATCCTATGCCATTTGAATAAGCAACCTTTGAAGTGAGAATTGAAGGAGATAATTTACATGGCAGTAAGACCTTTACAATTTTACCTTAAATGAGTTCAATATATGAACTATATTATTTACCACTTTTGCCAGAGAAGAAAAAAGGAGTGATTGGATTCATTCATCCAAAATTGGGAGAAATATGGTACAATTTGAGTTTAATATCGGAAGAAAGACAAAGTATTAGAATTCCAACTCTGAAAACAGAATTAGGTAAAGTTGAGGAATATGAAATTTAATTGGAAAACCCTATAGATAAAGAAGTTAATGTGCAAATTTAAATTAGTAATCCTGCTAATTTTGATGTTTTGCCTGCTGATATAGTTTTGAAGCCTCATTGTGATACGAGTGTGTATATAAGATTTACTCCAAGCAGTCTTGATTAAATTTAAAATGGAGAAATAAGATTCATCACATAGGAAATCGGAAAATGGGAATATTTAGTTTATGGAGTCGGAATCCCCCCAACAGCCTTCCCAGAAATGACTGTGACTGTTGGAATTAATAAAGATTATTCAGATGTAATACATTTTAAGAACCCATTCAGAGATACAATTCAGGTGCAAATTATGATTGAATCAGATGATGACGCCTTTTAATTACTTATTAAAAAGAAGAATGATACTAAAACTACTATTGCTGGACTCTAATAAATTTAAATCCCATTCTCTTTCACACCTAGAAGTATCAGATCTTACAGGTGTGAATTAGTTGTTGCTATGAATGAAAAGATTAAATGGAGATACCCTATTATAGGACATACTGAATCATTTGCAACTGGAAAATTTACATAATTTAAAACTAAATGCAGAATCTCTTTCTTATAAGAATTTAAATTTTCATTGCCAGGAGTTGACAAAATTGGTAAGTCCAATTTCACATTTGAAATTAAGAATATTTCAGAAGATGTTAAGATGCTAGTTGATAAATTTTTTAAGATCAAAATGATTCAATCATCAGCTGATGATTGTGATGAAGTTCATTTTGATGCTGCCTTTATTCCTTTAAAACCTTTTAAAGCTAATTTTGATTTGATTATCAAAAGAGATATAGGTGGCGTTTGGAAATTTCCCATGAATTTGGATGCTACCGAACCAGATATAGATGATCTTATCATTATTACTAGTCCACTCAATAAACCTACTAGCGTTTCATTTAGAATAACTAATCGTACTAAACATTAGGCTACTTTCAGAGCATACTTCACTCCATCTTCTGATTAAGAATTCTCAGTTACTCCTAAATATGGAGAATTATAACCAAATGGAAGAGAAGGTACTTAATTCATTATTACTTTTACACCACTTGAATATGGATAAATTAGATCTGGAAAATTGATTATTGAGACTGATGATATGTATTGGTCTTATAAAGTCAGAGGCACTTTACCTAAATATGAACCTCCTGTTGCTTAACCAAAGGTGGATGCTAAACTAATTGCCAATAATAGCAGCAATTTTAAACCAAAGAATTTCCTATAAAATAATATAAAGTATAGTGTTTTCTTAAATATTAGACGCAACCATTCACCTCCCAGCATACATTAAAAATCTACTGCAATTACTAATTTAAATTTCAGTAGAAGAACTTTTGGAGCAACCCTCACTAGAGAAACAAAATCAGTTCAATTAATGAAAACCTAGAAATTAGAATGATTTAATTATTTTCATCATATTTTTAATTTTTATTAGTAAATGATTTGGTATCTGTAAAGCAGATTTTATATTGAATAATTTATAGGATTTTTAGAAATCCATTCGAATATTTTATTATGAGAAATATAGATTTGATTGGTTATTTTTTAATTAATTAAAAAGTGTAAAATTACAATAGGGAAATTATAGTTAATAAAATTAAAAAAGGGACTAGGGTAACTTTCTTACATCTGAGAAATCACATAATAAACTAAAAACGTTATGATTTAGAATAAAGAAATGCTTGTCAACCAATCATATTGGTAAGTTAGCTCCTTTAACACTAATCCATTAATTTTTAAAACCATAATAATACATTTTCTTATTTTATAATTAATCACCTAATTTACTATTTGATATCTTTCTCAATTTCTTATTTTTATGAATTGCCAGAGACAGAGGTAATGGACCTATCAAATCATATAAAAAATGATTGATTTTGCTGTAAATTAATGCAGATATTATATATTTCCAAGGATAGTCATATGAAGTTAGTATCAAATTTTTACCTTCCAACTTATTGTTATTATATCAAAGTGGATATTATATACTTTTTCTAAAATAAGGTTTGTTAAAATGAGAAAAAAATTCATTCATAACATGCAGTTCCAAAATATATTTTATGTTCTATTACATTTAAAATGCATTTTTCTAATGAAGTAGGTTTAGTATTTATTTAAATTAAATGGAAATTTGTTTTGATACAATTCAAGATTAATTGGCAAAGCACTCTGATCTGGCAAAGATAGTAGATTTTAATGCGCTTTCTTAAAAACCTGGCTTTAAAATTGAACAATGTAATAACCGGATCTATATTGGTCAAATGATGAATGGAAGGAAGCATGGAATAGGTACAAGATTTGATATCTATATAGGCATTCTTAAAGTAGTGGATTCTTTAAAACTTTATATAGGCGAGTGGGTGGCAGATCAAAAATAAGGTTTAGGATATGAAAAATTCTCAAATGGAGCTGAATATTATGGTAGTTATGAGAACAACAAATAAAATGGATATGGCGAATATTTTTGGGTTAACGGAGAAATTTATAAAGGCCACTGGATAGATGGAAAGAAAAGTGGTTATGGTGAATGGTTGAGTTAAAATTCATGGTATAAAGGTGAATGGAAGAATGGTTTTGTTGAAGGAAGAGGAGTCTATTAATCTGAAAAAGGTATATCAAATTTTAATTTTAGGAGATATATACACAGGTGATTTTATTACATCTATGAAGCATGGCATGGGTGAAGAACGTTTTTCAAATGGTGATTTATTTAGAGGAAATTTTAAAAATGGCAAACCAGATGGTTATGGTGAATACTTCTGGAAATGCGGCAGTTTCTATCAGGGTACACCTTTAGTGTGATATTTAGGCTTTTTTCTAAATGGTATGAGGCATGGTTAAGGTTTATGGCAATCTTCAACGTCTAGTTTGTGTGACAAATATGATGGAGCCTATTAGTTTGATAAAAAATCAGGATATGGTGAATTTACTTGGGTTAATGGAACTACTTATAAGGGCTAATTTCAAGATGATGTTAGGTAGGGATACGGAGAAATGTATTCCAAAGGTATTTTAATTTATTAAGGGGACTGGGAAAGGGATATAAAAATAGAAAAGTTAGGAGTAAGATTAAAATTTTAATAGAAATAATAAACTCAAAATCGCATAGCCTAATAATCAAAACATTTAAACGTTGTAGAAATTAAGGAATTAGAAGAAGAATTTAATGGATCAGATCCTGAAAGCCTCCTATAAGAAGATAAGAAAATAAAAATTAAAAAAATGGAGAAGTTTAGATTAACAACATTAAATGTGGACAGCAGAACTAAAACCCATCGTATATCACCAATGAAACGAAGTTTAGATTTACAAAAATGCTAGGCTTCAACTTAAAATAAAAAAAATAGAGCTAAATCTCAAACATTATGCAAAATACAAGTTATTCAATAAAATAAGTAGAGATCAACTTCTTTTTAAAATGAAGTCTAAAAAACGAATAAATAAACAACTACACATATCAAAAATTCATAACCAAAACAAAGTCGAATATAATTAGAAAAATTGAAATGATTCAACTATCCACTGTTATATATATATAAATAGTTATTTTCAGAATTTTTTCCTCATTTTTTTTAATTTTTGCTTCTAACTCAAAGTTTTCTATTTTCATTAAACACTAATCTTGAAATAAATATATTACCACAGGATATTATACAGAAGGCTTTAAAGATTATCTCAAATGATAATTATATCAGCATAATATCTTAGTTTTACTATATTATCACATATGAAAATCAAGCATTTTGCTATTGTATTAGAAATGTATATACATTAACAGAGATATTATTGTGATTTTAAGATTTTCTATCTGTAAATAATTTCAAATAAAAACGAAAAAAATATATTTTATATTTAAAAATTTATATTTTGAAAAATAAATTAAAAAAACTTTATTTAAGATTTCCTCCTTCTTCTAAAACCCTTGCCATTCTTGAAACTCAGCTAAATGAAATGGAAAATTAAAAATTTTAGATAATTTCTCAGGATAGATGTAAAAGTGAAAATATTATTAAATTTATTTAAAAAATTTTTTATTTTCATCATTGAAATTAAAAAAGGTAATAAAATAGGCCAAGGTGGGTTTGGCTTTATTATCAAGGTGAAACAACAAACACAGTGATGTAACCCTCGAGTAGTTAATGTTGAAAAATGATAATGAAAAATAAATATTGAATGCCATAAAAGGAAAAAAAATAAACAGATAAAATTAATGTTTGTTTAGAGAAAGAGAGATGAAATTTTTAGAATAATGGAACTTGGAGTAGTTAATGATTTAAAAAGGCTGTCCGATAAAAGAAAGAAGAGTTTGCAAGTAACTTAAATTTCAACCCAAATAATATTTAATTGGCAGAAATGATAAAATTGATTTAAAAGATTTTGGAACTTCAAACTAATCAAAAGGAACTTTAAGTATAAACCTTTAGAAGTGATTAAAACTTAAGATTATGATTTAAAGGGTGATATTTGATCTCATAATTGATTAAAAAAATTAAATATAGGTAGTAATAGTGAGAGATAACCTAAATAAAACAAAATTAAATATATCCAGTGAGTGATTAAGAAAGAAATATTGAATAAATAAATAAAATGAATTATAAAATAAATGATTGTTGCTGAATAAACATAATTTAATCTTTTGAAAAAATAAGCACAGTTTAAATAACTAATAATCTAGATTAATTACTTTATGTTGAAAAAACTGGATAACAAGAATTAATTCCAAAATTAAAGGAGGAACTTGATAAGATTTTCGAATACTTATAACATATTAATTAAAAATTTCTTGACCTTTTAGATTTTAGTAAAAGATAATAAATATTGAAAGGAAAAGCATCTTAAAATCACCAGTATTTTGAATATCCATATAATTTTCAGAAATATCCACTATTCTGAAAAAGAGTTGATATTATACATTAGTCTGTATCTCTCCTGATGGAAATATATTGCATCAATTAAATAAAAATAAAAAATTAAATCTTGGGAAGTGCATGAAAAATTCATCTACTGTAAAGACAATAAAAGGACCTGTAATAATGTGACCTTTATGTTGGGAAATGATAAGAGATAATCTTATTATCCAGAACCTAGAACTTTTGCTCTCTGTATTGAGGAACTTATAAACTTATAATGATACTCGTTCAGCTTTCTTTAAATTAATAAGCTGGAATACTAGGTCTATGCCATGGAGGAAATTCTAAATTATTAGGTAATATAACGTAGCTCTCTATCAAGAGGCTTATTGGCATCTTGATAAATAATTATGGGTTTATCAAACAGGTTTCAAATCTTCACTTAATAAATTATTGGTAAACCTTTAAAAACCCTGGTGGTTTGGAAAATTGTTGGTGAAAGAAGATAAGATCTGGAAACTTAAAATTCTCTTGTGCTATAAATTTATCTTTAGAATCTATCAGTGGTTATCAGGGTAGACTGGAATATTAACTCTCTCATCAAAAAAAATTGTAAAATGCAATTTGCAAAGTTATCTATTACATTATGATAGCAATTTTTAACGGTAAGGATATCACTCAAGTTAATAAGTAATTCAGACTATTAGATACTAATTATCATAAAAGAGGTTAGGTTACCAAATGATCTTGATTAATTATTGATTATAATTTTTTTCAATCTTTTTTTTTAAATACAATAAAACGTTATCGAAACATTAACGAGAACAGACAACTTTGTTTATAACTTTTTATAGATTAGGTTAATTGCTTTAATAATCTAAAAGAATATTTAGCAAACCTATCATTATAATAACTTTGATGAGTGAAGAGACAATTAAAAACTTTTTAATTTTCTCTTCACTGCACTTATCGTATTCAATTAAAATATTTGTAAAGAATTTAATTATTTATTTGATATATATTCATTGATATTAACAACTTAATAACAATAGATTTGATAAATGAATAATCATTCCAGACACTAAACTGATAATAAAGTTTTATAATAATTAAGTAAAGGAGCCATAAGATTTGAAAAACACAGAAGTAACTGTTGAGAATACATCAGTTTGTTTTGATTTATAAATTCATTAATAATTAATAAAGATTTTAATTCGAAAATCTTCTTAGACATAATTTCACTCATAATTAATTTATAGTAAATTGTCCAAAATACAACTTCCTCTTGATTCAAAAAATCTTTGTAAATCTTCTCCCCAAGTAGTTAAAAATTGTCCTTACAAGATTAAAGCTCCATTTGCTAATAAAAATGGATCTTTAGATATAACAAGAATTGTATTATTAGGATTAACTAAATAAAATAACAAATTAATACCACTATTGGGTAGATTGTTTAAGAGTATTGGAGACTTCCATTTTTTAAGGATTTCATTATAATTGCAATATAAGGGTTGAGTTTCTATTCCTGTTTTAACAATCCATAAACGGATAGAGCTATCTCTACTACCAGATGCTAATGTATTTCCATCTGGAGAAAAACAGATTGATTTAATATAACTAATATGACCATCAAATTTAGCTATTTATTCTCCTGTTATGACATTCCATAAACGGATAGAGTTATCATTACTACCAGAAGCTAATGTATTTCCATCAGGAGAAAAACAGACTGAGTTGACATCATTAGTATGACCATCTAATTAGACTTTTTATTGCCTTGTTTTAACATCCCATAGGCGGATAGAATTATCTCTACTACCAGATGCTAAGGTATTTCCTTATGGAGAAAAACATACTGATTAGATATAACTAATATGACCATCTAATTTAGTTATTTATTATCCTGCTATGACATCCCATAGTCGGATAGAGTTATCATTACTACCAGAAGCTAATGTATTTCCATCAGGAGAAAAACAGACTGAGTTGACATCATTAGTATGACCATCTAATTAGACTTTTTATTGCCTTGTTTTAACATCCCATATACGGATAGAATTATCATAACTACCAGAAGCTAATGTATTTCCATCAGGAGAGAAACAGACTGATCTTACATAATCACAATGACCATCTAATTTGGCTATTTATTATCTTGTTATGACATCCCATAGACGAATAGAATTATCATTACTACCAGAAGCTAATGTATTTCCATCAGGAGAAAAACAGACTGAGTTGACATCATTAGTATGACCATCTAGTTAGACCTTTTATTATCCTGTTTTAACATCCCATATACGGATAGAGTTATCATTACTAACAGATGCTAATGTATTTCCATCAGGAGAGAAACAGACTGAGTTGACATCATTAGTATGACCATCTAAGTAGACCTGTTATTATTCTGATTTAACATCCCATAGACGAATAGAATTATCATTACTACCAGAAGCTAATGTATTTCCATCAGGAGAAAAACAGACTGAGTTGACATCATTAGTATGACCATCTAATTAGACCTTTTATTATCCTGTTTTAACATCCCATAGACGTATAGAGTTATCACTACTACCAGAAGCTAATGTATTTCCATCAGGAGAGAAACAAACTGATTAGATATAACTAGTATGACCATCTAATTAGACCCTTTATTATAGGGTTTTAATATCCCATAAACGGATCGACTTATCATAACTACCAGATGCTAATTTACTTCCATCAGGAGAGAAACAGACTGAGTATACATAACTAGTGTGGCCGTCTAATTACACCTTTTATTCTTTTGTTATGACATCCCATAGACGAATAGAGTTATCATTACTACCAGATGCTAATGTCATTCCATCAGGAGAGAAACAGACTGAGTATACATAACTAGTGTGGCCGTCTAATTACACCTTTTATTATCCTGTTTTAACATCCCATAGACGTATAGAGTTATCTCTACTACCAGAGGCTAATGTATTTCCATCAGGAGAGAAACAAACTGATATAACAGCAAATTAATGTCCATCTAATTTTGCTTTTTATTCTCCTGTTATGACATCCCATAGACGGATAGAATTATCATTACTGCCCGAAGCTAATGTATTTCCTTCAGGAGAGAAACAAACTGATATAACAGCATCATCATGACCCTCTAATTAGGCATTTTATTATCCTGTTTTAACATCCCATAGACGTATAGTATTATCACTACTACCAGAAGCTAATTTATTACCTTACGGAGAGATACAAACTTACCAAACAATATCACTATGACCGTCCAATTTATTCAATTCCTGAATTTTCAAATTTTTCCATTTACATTTGAATAACTAAGCTCCATTCAAATTCAATCCACTTATATCTACATTATCCAACTCTGATCCACTTAAGTTGCATTTCACAAAGTGCCCTCCAATCAAAGAAGTATTCTTAATCCTTATATTCTCTAATGATTGGTTTCTGAGATCTATCTTCATACCTAATAATAAATTTAATCCATTTGACCCACTTTAAATAAATTTTTCATCTATGCTTGTGAGTAGAACTAAAAATTTGATAAAATCTATGATACCCTTATTTTTCGCTAATTTTTTTATTAAATCTTATCTTGCTTTATAGTATGTGCCTGAAGAATAATCATCTTTATTAAATTAATGATCCTAAATATTACTCAAGACTATTGTAATTTTCTTTATTATCTCAATTGCATCGCTTGTATTCATTTACTCGTTGATTAATAATTCATAAAAATTGCTTTACTTTGAAAGAAATCCTAGGATATCTGAAGCTTTCTATCTTCTAAGTATTTCAAGAATATTGTTATATATAGATTCATCAATATTCTGAATCTAGGATAGCATTTCAAAAAGATCTTCTTTCATAACTTCGGCTTCTACTTAAAATTGCTTTATAGTAGTAATAGAAGATTTAAATTGCTATTGAAAAATCTCATTCATTTCTTTTATCTTTTCACTAAGAGACTTTATTTCTTAGCCCCATAAATTCCTTATTTTTTTTAACTAATTCAAATAAAATTTTTTCTCAACATTCCAAACATTTAATGTTTATCCTTCTAATATTTGTACTAATTTCTCTAACTCAGTATTTGAAGTTTCATTTAGATTTATATTCTGGTTAATGATATCAAGATATGATTTGTTTTATTTTTCAATCATATCATATAACTAAATGATTGATTGTGACAATTCTTCCCAAATATTCTTCATCATACTCTCAGTATGAGACAGCATTGATTTAAATTCAGTTCGCTCTTCAATTATTTGAGAAGTCTCATCAAGCTTAAGTTCTTTTAATTTCTTCATAAGCCTTTCATGAAATTTATTAATCGGAATTGTATGTTTTTTGATATCCACTTCATGGTCGTATTAGCATTCAACGCATAGTTTTCTTTAGCATTAACACTTGTGAGGAGCTATACATATCAAAGATATTGGACTATTTATATGAAAAGTGCAATTCATTAATTTTTATTTTTAATATTGAATTTCTATTATTCTAACTTAAAGTTAAATACTGCAAATCAATAAAAGTACCTTATTTATTTTAGAAAATTGAAGTTCAGACTTTGTTGAGATTTTAATTGATGTAAAATATGCTATTGAGAATTTCAGCACCTGCATTGCTTTATTCTTTAATAATATTGAACATCTAATTTTTAAATGAAAATAAACTAAATTTGACTTATTTGATTGATTATTGAATTTTTAGTTGTAATGATAAATATAGAGAATAATAAAAAATGCCCTTAAAGATTAATGTATTTGATAACATTATCTTAATATTTAGATTCTAATGAAAAGGTATATTTACATAAATTTTTGAAATCTCTTTATTTTTATATTAGACATAAGACTTGGGTAAATAATATATAATTATGAGAAATACTATTTCGGATTGGTACCCATGTTTGTTAACATTATCAAAACCTTATTAAACAATCCTGGAACACCAGTCGCAACCTTAAAAACCGTGTGTAACAGCAGTCGCAACCCCAAAAAGCTTAGGGGAAATGTAGTAAAATGTACATTTTAGAAAATTGCTTCCACACTTTCCAACTAAATAGAGAAAGAAATAATATCTCACCCTATGCTGAACTAACACATCAGAAATCTGGCAGCATACGAAAGATGCGCCTATAACAGATATCCAAGTCTTTACATCAGGATTACAAAATCGACATTCCTTCTCTGTTAATATGTTTATAATGACTCTCAAGAGTAAAGTATTTTCAACAAACACCAGCTGAGAACTCTAAGGTATCATTAGATCATGAGTCTCATAAGAAGAACTCCTCTTACTGAATTTGCTAGAAGAGGGTTAATTATTAAAATTTAATGAAATATGTAAATTTCTACACACACTTTTATGTTAGGAAATGAGTTTGAATCTTTTTTGTTTTTATTTGATATTAAAATCTTTCATAATCAATTATTTTAATTATTTTGAAATAATTTAGCTAATTTCTTGCAAATTTTATTGTCTATTTAAAGTATGTGAACACCTATATACTTTGATTCTCAACTAAGACTATAGTTTAAATGTATGAAATACTACGTGAAGGATTTGCTCAATAATTAAAAAAAATAAAAGTAAATTGATGAACAATTTCCTAAAAAATTGAGAAATAATGTTTCATCTCATAAGTTTTCTACATCAGAATAAATTCAACGTTATAATTTAATTAAAGAATAGATCTAATTTAAATACCTGCTATACATCTAATTTTATAGTTAGGCTTTACTGAAGTGAACCTATTTTACAAAAGGATAAAATAGACAGTTTTTTATATATTCAATGGCAAATTTCAAAATAATTTGAAGGGAAGAAAGAAATAAAATAGTGATTAGGAATCAA